AGATCAGTCCCTGAAACACATCAACAAACGAAATTAAAGGAACAGGAGCCAAGTAATAGCTTTTCTATAAACAACGGTAATAAATATTTTTAAAAAATAAGCTGTGGTTGCTGAGTTTTTTAAACCATAATTTATTTTATTTTATTTTTTCAGTAACGCTCGGACATCAACATTGGTCCCCCCTGGAAGAATGTTGTTCAAATAACCAAGAAAAAGCGGAAACAATATTGTAAAAAATGTTCCAACAAGTTCTTGTTAAAGGTCATCAACTGTTCGGGAACATTAAAAAAAATACCTCTAATTACATGATGAGCCATTTCACACAACTGCCAGAAGAAATTATTGTGGAAATTTATAAATATGTATCCCATTCGGATATCATCCACAAAATGTCAAAAGTAGCTTCTGAGTGGAGAAGTGCTGTTTTTAAAGTAAAATCATTGGAACTTTTAGTTTCCGATAGAAAATTCACAACCGAAACATTACATTCTATATTTTACAGTCCACTTTTAAGTAATGTAGTTCTACTCTCTTTGGAAAATTGTGGATTGACTGATTCTGATATTAAAATGCTATGTGAAAGTTGTAATGACGGAAATTTTAGAAATTTAAAAGATTTATTGATTGGAAGCAATCCTATTTCAATCAATTCGGTTATTGCCATTCATAATAGTGAATTGGTGAATATTTTAAAACAATTGTATTTTGAAGATACACTAATTACTGTAGATGGCATGAAAGAGTTCATTCATCAAGCTGAATCACATAAGAAAGTGGTATGGCTTTATTCGATTGGATATTTTTTAAGTATGGAAGGGAATAATGAAGAAAGTTTGGAATATTATAAAATGGCAGCCGAGTTGGGAGATGTAGATTCATTCTATGAACTGGGCGTAGCGTATAGCATGCAAGATATTGAGCAGAGTAAATATTGGCATGAAAAAGCTGTTAAACAAGGACATCAAAATGCTACAGCTTCTCTTGCAGAGATTTATCTTAAAAAGGGAGATTATAAGCAAGCTTTTGAGTTTTTTTCACAAGCAGGTGAAAAAGGATGTGCTTATTCAATGAAAAATATTGCGTTCATGTATGAAAATGGACAATATGTAGAACAAGATTATTCAAAATCAAAGAAATGGCTTCTGAAATCAACTGCATTTGGAGATATAGCTTTACACGAGTTGGGAATGAGATATTTGAATGGTAGCTTTGGATTTGAAAAAAATTTGCAGAAAGCCATTAGATACTTTCAATCCCAATACCATCCAAGTGAGTCAAGCTATCAACTGGCACTCATGTATTTGGAAGGTAATGAATATATTCAAAAAGATGCTTTGAAAGCAATTGAAATATTGGAAAAAGCTTATGATACGAATGCAGCATTGCTACTAGGATCAATATATGCTAAGGGAGTCGAAGGAGTAGTTCCAAAAGATATTAAAAAGGCAATTGAAGCCTATTACAGAGCCTATAATAATCCAGAAGGAGCCCTACAGATTGGAATATTATATTTGGAAAAGTTCAAAACAGAGGAATCATATTTCCATTATATGGCTAAAGGAAAATTTGAAGAAGCAGCCAATGCAGGATCGGTAGAAGCCATGTTTAGGTTAGCAGAGCTTTTGAAAACAACTTTCAAAGATTTAGATGAATCAGACCGAAATTACTCTATGGCAGCTAGTAACAATCATGTTATAGCTCAATATCAACTAGCTCTGTATCACAAAGAGGGTATTAGAAATTTTGAGAAGAATCCTGAAAAGGCTAAATATTATTTTGAACAAGCAGCTAATCAAGGACATTCTGGAGCACAATATGAGTTGGCTGTAATATTATCCCCAGAAAATTACGAACAATCTTTAAAACTATTGAATTTGTCAATTGAGCAAGGCAACAGTTTTGCAATGGACATGTTGGCAAAATGGTACTTAAAAGGCACTGGTGTGGGAAAAGATGAAAAGAGAGCTGTCGAATTATTAGAAAAGTCATGTGAAATTGGAGGTTGCTCCAATAGCTATTATGAACTCTCCTTACTTTATGAAGCTGGATTAGGTTGTGAGGTCAATAAGGAAAGAGCTGCAGAATTGAAAGGAAAGGCAATTGAATTGGGAGAAGCGAGATCTCTAATTGATCAATTCTTCTTTTTCGAAGATGCTTAATGAATTACGATCATTTTTTATTCCTTTCATTAGAACGAACACATTAAACCAATAATGTTGTCCAAATATTCCTTTCGTCATTCTTAAAGAAAGTTGCACTACTTCATTATTGTATTAATATTCGAAAGTGTATTATGCAAGCATGTCACGAAGAAATATTCCCAAATAAAGTTTCGAGTTTGTTTGGACAAGGAAGCCAGAACCACGATCTGCACCAAAAACACCCAGATTACCCTTTGCAGATTTTAAATCATAACAACTACAAATTCTAGGATATGTTGTTAATCGGAAGGGATTGAGGCAACCTGTTAAATCCTCAAAACATTTCTTGATTTGTTTTTAAATCGTTGATTCGTCAAAGGCAATTTTGCCATCAGCATCATGATGATTGTTAGCAGAAACAGCAAAGATTGGATTTTTGACGAATTGAAATATGTCATTATCAATCGACATTAGATTTATGACATTATGTGTTAATCCATACTTATTTTGATTATTCCTTTTCAAAATATTGAGGATAGGTTTTACGCAACGCTTCAACAAGAGGGTACTTGTTTGCATCTTTCTGTTCCGTTGCTTCCTTAATTCCTCTCTCAAAATATTGGTTTGCTCTTTCTAAATCTCCTAAATGGCAATAAGCTGCTCCCATATTGAAATAGGCAACACAAAAACTTGGATCAATTTCAAGAATTTTCTCACACTCTCTAATGCCGCTCTCATAATCTTTTTCTACAAAGAAACAATCAGCCAAGTTACTTAAATTCTCTAAATCTTTGGTTTCATTGTAGCTTTCCAAGTAGTATTGTCTTGCCATTTGATAATTTCCATTTTGAAAATAATATTCTGCAACAAATCTCAAAACTGCAGGATAATACTTTTTAGCTTCTTTTGCCAATTCCATTATGAGATGGTCATTTCCCTTCTTCATATGTGAATAAGTGAGAATAATGTAATAGATTCCAAGTAAATGCTCTTTTGGAAAAGTGTTTTGTGGCTTCTCTAGTAATTCCTTCAATTTTTCACATTCCTTAATGGCATCATCCAATCGATTGACATATGAATATATAGTACACCAAGTGGCAGAATATTGCAAAATACGTTGGATTGGTGATTCTGTTGGTGGTGGATTGTTTTCAATCATCTCAATACCATTCTTTTCATATAATTCCAATGTAGTAATATAAAATCGTGTACAATCTATAAACTCTGCATAATCTCCAACAATTAGGCATAAATATCTATACATTCCATGATTTTGAAACATTAAAATGGGATCTTTTTGATAATATTGCTTCATGCATTGCATTGCTTGTTTGTATTCCTTTCTTTTCAAATAGTATTCTTTCATCATTTCGTGTAGTTTTTGATATTCTGATAAAATTTTCTCATCCGTTCTAGTTTCCTTCTTTTCGAGCTCTTTCACCAAATTGTACGTCTCGATAACTAGGTCGTGGTTCTTTAAATATATGAAAGAATCTAACATGAGAACTAGAGATTCGTATTTTGAGGAAGCTAATGAGAGAGCTCGTTCGAAATCTTGTCTTCCACATTCAATCATTTTATACTTTATAATCAATACACTTCCTCTTCTACATAACAATGAAGCCAAATCATCAGCTTCCTTACTTCCAATTTCAATTGGTCCAATTGACTCAATTGATTTAATTCCCTTTGTGGCATAAGAAATAGCCTTTTCAAACTGTTCCAATTCATAACACATGGAATAAAGTGAACTATAATATGAAAATGGCACTTGAACTGCATTATTCGAAACAATTTCAAATGCTCTTTCCAAATAATTATTAGCCAATTGAACATTGTAATTCTCCTTTTGTATATAAAACCAATACAATTGTTCCAAAAGTGAAACCATATCATCTCTATTTGGTTCAATCTCTAAAACCTTCTCTAGATCAGCACATGCAAGTTTCCATTCACTCAATCCTTCATAACATTTTGATCTTTCAATCAAGGCATCTGTGAAATTTGGATTAAATTCCAACAGTTCATTCAATTCTCCAATTCTTTTCTTGTTCCTCACCTTGTTATCATTATTTTCAGCATCATTTTCATCACCTCCGAAATTATCTAAATTATTATTGTTGGAGGAACGAAGAGGTGAAAACAAGTTGTTGTGAAATTTGCGTTCGTTTGTAGGTGATGATGTGAATTCTTTTCTTAAAGTGGAAATTAATGATCGGTGATGAGGAACCTTGCAAGTTGATTTTTTGAATGTTGTGGAGAGAAATCCTTTGGGGAGACGACTGGAGAGTTTGATCATTTTTTTTAACATGTTATTTTGAAATTTGATTGATCCAAGTCAATCAGGTCTGTCTGTCCAGAATTTTAAAGATTTGATAATTAAAAACAGATAAAAACATATATTGATTGAGAATGATTTGTTTATTTACAGAAATTCGTGATTGGTAGCCAAAAGAAAATTGTGAAACTTAAATTGACTACAAGATGAACAACTTGATCAACAATAGAGTCAATGAAAGAATCCACATATTTCCACCTCTGACAATTGAGAATGCTCCATTGACAACACCACTTGTTCCAGCACCTCCCTTAGTTGTCTTTGGAACAATATCAAACAAACGATAAGTCTTTGAAACAACTGCATTAGCTACAGGATTAGCTGCCAAACTTCTAGTGTCTACATTTTCTTCCTTGAATAGACTTCTAACAGAGGTAGTATTTGTAGGTAAATAGGCAGATTCAATGGTAAGGAAACATCTTCTGTCGAGACCATCTCTGATTGCGAAGGGAAGATCGAATTGGAAAGCATAACTGGAAGTGGATGGAGGAGGAAGGGTAGCAGCATTTAAACCACCAGTGCTTTGAGGAACTCCATTGATATAGATTTGAGTACTGAAATCAGAGTTGGAAGCGTTACGACAGTCGACATTGACAGGAATGGTTGTGAAATCAAGGAAACAACACATAATGACATTGTATGGGGAAATGGTCATGTAAGGAACACTAGGAGCACCTGGAACATCAACTCTGACATAGATAGTGTCAGTTGCCGCGAATTGAGTTTGAGCAACTGTCAAGGCAGCATTTCCATAAGTTTGAGCTGTGGTATTATATTGTAAAACTTGAGTAATAGGAGGGTAAGGAACCACATATTGTAAAGAATATGAAATTGTACAACCAGTTCCATCAGGTGATAAGTAGGTCAGTACGTAATCACCATAAAAGTCAATTGGACCATTAATGACATTTGACTGCATTACAATTGTATATTGATAATAACCATTTGAAGTACCAGTGAATATAGCATCAGTAACATTAAAGAAATATGGTCCAGTAACTGTCCATGATGTGACAGGTGGTGCCAAAAGTGTCCAAACAATCATTCTAATTTCCAATTTACCCAAATCATTAACGAAAATTCTCTTTGGTTGAATAAAAGCAGTACAGTTATTACCTCCAGAACTAGATCCATCAGTAGTATTAAAACTGACACGTGTCACTTGAAGAACCAATGTCAAAATATAACGTTGTTGATAAATGACTTTGTAACAAGTTCCAGAAATTGGTGGAGCAACGTAAACATCACCTCCTGTTGAAGTGGATGGCAATGGTGAATAAGTAGTAATCATATATTCAGCATACATCAATGCAACCAAATCAATGACACCTCCAGTTGAAATTTGTTGGACATTTGGATTTGACAAGTAACTTGACAATGGCAATGACAGGACATAATCACTATACCAGTAAGTGGAAGTTCCTGCATTATAGACAAATCCATCTCTGATTAAATCAGTTTGTTGACAAGCTGTCACTGCAGAAAGTCCAATGTTGAATTTGACTTCCGGAGTTGTGAAAACTCTTAAATACATTCTGATACGGAGTGTGACAATTAAGGTACTTGGATCGACACTGGCAAAGAAACCTGGACGTGGAGCACCAATGGTTCCTCTTCTGAAGGCTGTGAAAACAATATTTCCAATGGCGGTTGTACTAATATTGAATAATGGATCATAGACATTTAAGGTAAAAGTTGGGAGTTCTTGATTACCAAAATGGGAGAATAAAACAAGTCCGTTAGTGACATCGGCAACTGTGAAAGTGTTGGTATCGAGATAGAAACCGAAGGTAGTGTTATAACGGAGGAAACGAGCATTGGTGACTGAAGTAACTGTGTAAATGACACGAGGTTCAACAATTCCATTGACAGTTGACTGTAAATTGGTTGTGGTAATGGTAACATTGTCGCCATTATAAACTTGCAATGAGTTGTTGATCACTGCTATGGTTTGACATTGAACTGGCTTGTAAAAAACAAATAGAATAGCCAGAAGAAACAAATACGAAATGAAACGATTCATTTTTTTGATTTTGATATTGAAACTGAACCAGAGAATGGATTAGGTTTTAAGTTGAAAAGAATATTTGTCATTTGTAAAGCTAAAACAATGAATTGTCCAAAAATATTTTGATGGCATTCCTAAAATGGAACGAGGAATGACGAAAAGGGTTTTTCATATTCGATAGCAAAAAGTACAATTTCTAATACGAAACTTTGAAATCTTGAAAGTTGCGTAATCTGAAATGAAGTTTGTTTTTTGATTTATTTAAAGACCTAGAATAGTATTAACTAGTTTCGAATGGAGCTGTTTAGAGATTTCCTTTAGATTATTCTCTGTTTCGTAAATAGTATTAGAAGCGTAAGGAGTTTTTTCTAGTTGTGGTGTTGGACCCTGATTGATAATTCCAGCAAGTCTTTGTTGAATATCAGACATGATCGATTGTCTTTGATCATTTACAACATTAGAAATTGGAGAAAATTGGTAAGTTTCGAATGGAGTTTCTTTTAAGATTTCTCCTCTTAGCAATAGCTTCTTGTCAATTCTGGCAAACCATTCACGAGTTTCTACTCCAATATCTGTGAAATATAACTTGTGTTCATGTTGATCAGATTCATGGAAAGATTGAATGCCTACAGGAATTAATTCCTTCTTTCTTTCGAATACTAGAATTGAATCGTCTAAGGAATCAGCTTCTCCAGAATAGGTAACTTGCTTACAAATGGTTCTTCGCCACTGAGTTACGTGATCTTTCAAACAATCAGAGCTTTTCAATTGTTCCCTATTCGAAAGTAAAATCAAATTTGCATCAAACTCTTCAGCTCTCTTCTTTTCCAAATCTTGCATAACATTTTGTAATTCCCTGCGAATTATCTGTTGACTACTTTCATTTCCAACTTGCTCTTCACTTCCAGTTGATAACATGAGCAATGCCAAATTGCTTTCTAATGTGAAAAGATTGAAACGATCGTGTAATTCGACGTGTTGGACTTTTCTTGTTTTTCCCAATTCAACTTGAACTGAGAGTAGGGATGAATGAATCATGGGTGGGACAATCACTGAGGATTCCTTTAAAAGTGGATTGAAACCAAAGTTTTGAGAGAGAATTACAAGACAGTTGGCACGAGCGAGAATCAAATTTGGTGAGAGCACTAAACCAGTGCAAAGTGAAAGAGAATCAGAAAGTGGATTGACTCGTAATTGAATGGTAGCTAGTTTGGGAGCAGTCAATTCAGTTTCTGCTGAATTAGCACACCAACAGGTGGAAATGAAAAGAAGGACAAGAAGGCAGGACAGTAAAAGTGTGGTTGCTTTCATTTTCTTTTTAAGATATTAAATAATATTATTATTCAATCAGTTAATAAGTGGTTTTGTTAATATAAAGATGTAGGATTGTGCAGATGATTGGATATCTAAATTCTTGAAAAGGAAAAGTTCTCGTATTGTGATTGGATAACTTGGCTTCAACAATTGAATTGAAGGCTTACACCAACTCAATTGACTCAATTGCATATAAGTTTTTGTAAAAGATTGAAAATAAATATCGATGAACGAAAATTTATTTACAATTCTTTTTAGATATTGAAATAATTCCCTAAAAAGATGTGTGATCCTAGTGAACGAAGCTGTTGATAGCATTGTTATGGTGAAAATTGCAGTGGTCGTACTAACCATGTCTTTTAATATTCTCAAGAGACATGCTGCTTGACAGTCTATGGTGTATATTCAAAGAGAAGAGGAGAGGTAATCGGAATAAAGTTCTTCATCAAAACTATGAGAACATTACTTGGTTCTTCTTGTGGTGGAAGAGTAACCAATAGAGGACTGGAGTGAACAAACTTGGATAATTCTTCATCAAGATTTGGAATATTTCCATTGGCACCAACAAGAGTTACTCTATTGCTGAGATCATTGAGGGCAACAAGAGTATCATTGTCATAGGAAATAACTGGATTAACACAGAATGCTTTCAAATTTTGTCCATCCTTAACTTGAATGATGAGGAATTGGAGCATATCTGTTGGCCTCAGTTCAAAATTATGATTGAAGGAAACAATGGCTGGTTGGGAGTATGGACCATATGATGGTGTGATATTGTATTGATAATTGTTGGCAATATTGAGAAGGTTGAGATCATACTTGGAGGAAGGAATAGGAAAGCTACTCATTGGTCTTCTATTTTGTTGGTTCAACAATTCCATCAATTGTTGATTCACTAATTGTTGTCGTTGTTGAATATGATTCAAGACAATTTGCTTTTTAAGTTGTGAATTTGCATCGTTAACATCACTAGCAAACAATTGATTCATATTTCCCATATTATTGCCGAGACCAATGTTACCATTGCTAGGTATTCTCCTCATGGAATTCATCGAATGATGAAGACCATTAGCACCCGAGCCCATCATGGAACCTCCATCATTACCACCACCAATATTTGCAGAACCATTACCAAACAAATTAAATTGTGATTGTTGAGCCAATTTTTCCATCGTTGTTGTTGTATTGTTATTGTTGTTATTATTATTGTTATTAACACTATTACTATTAATATTTGACGAAGACGATGCACGAGTTAAATTTGGTTGAGAAGAGGTGGCCGAACTTGAATTATTGGCGTTACGGTTAGAGGAAGTAGTTGTGGTGGTTGCTGAGGAGAGCTGTTGGCTTTGATTTGATGTAGAGACGTTTTTTTGACTCAAAAAAGGGTGGCTTAGGAGTAATTCTTTCACTTCTGCTGACATTACTGCAGCAACTGAATTATTTTGATGGTGAGGTGGTGAGGTGTTGTTATTGGTAGCAGAAGCGGAGGAAGTATGGAATGCGTTTTGTGTTCTGGAAGATAATTTGTTTGATGGTTCAGATTGCAAAGTTTGAGGTATTTGATTGGATGAGGAGGAGAAGGGATTCTTTTCCGAATTGTCTTCATCATCCATCATGGTGGCTTCATTATCAAATGTTAAGGATGCAGCAGAAGGATTTGAGAATTTGGAATCAAGGGAAGAAAGTAATGAGGTAAGGTGTTGAGACAATTGAATGCTACTTGAGGAGGTTTTCGTAGATTTGGTAATGCCATGATAATGTCCATTTGTGTTATTTAAAAATCCGTTAGGAACATTTCCGTTTTGTGTGTGGTGATGGCCAAATCTAGAAGTCATTAAAGAGTTATTAAGCGAACCGTTTTGTGCTGGATTGGTGCCATTCGTAGGAATTTCCATATTATTATTATTGTTAGAACTACCCATTAGGTTATTTAAGAGATTTAAATTGTTATTACTCTTTGATGAAGTCATGTTATTATTAACAATGTTATTATGACCATTATGACTATTATGGCTATTATTACCAGTGGCACCAAGATTAGATGTAGTAGAAGGTGCATTTAGTGGAGGAGGAGATGATTTCTCACTCGATTCAAATGTTCTTTCACCAGCTTCAATGTTATTTTCCTTCATGAGTAACCATTCCAATACCCAATACTTTTCATCACTGAGCATGTAGACAACACATTTAGGAATACGTTCCTTCTCATGTAATGAAGAAGCCTTCTTGTGATATACAAAACCAATTTGATCAACTGTTTGAGATCTTTCTCTGAACATGACAATATCACCAATATTATAGAATGGTTTCACTGTAATATCATGATGAGAACCAGCAGATTCTGAATGTCCATTCGATGATGCATGTCCATTAGAGTTTGTATTTTGATGGTGGTTTGTAGATGATGTTGCATTATTAGCAGTGTTTGTAGTTGTTGCATCCATCAAGAGAGCTGAAAATGAATCAGAAGCACCAATATTATTAGACGAATCAAAATGATGAGTATTAGCATTATGAGGATTCATTTCAGGGTCAGTACTAGTAAAGATCTTTCTCAACTTTTTCTTATAAACACCTCCAGCATCCTTATCATAAATCACTGACTTTTTTTTAAGGATATTGTTGGCAGACATGATGTTGTTGAATAATACTTTGAAATTGTAGAGTTTGTTTTTGATTCTAATCGGAATACATTCAATATTCGGCTACTATGAGAATTTAAGTGTAGACTTATGAAGGTCGTTCTTATTGGACCAATTCGTTGTTTTTTTTAAATTGATAAAACAACCAAGGCTTGGAAAAAATAGCCTTTATGCCATAGTAGTTCGGTCTGTTTGCACAATTTCGGGAATTGAGTTTCGGGGAATTTTTCTTCCAAAGTTTGGAGGGAATATTCAAACATTTATTTATCAATTCAAATTGAATAATTAATGCGAAGATAATGATATTATCATTGAATATTACATTGAGAATTGATATCAAGTGAATGATAATATCATTATCGTATGGAATCGTTTTTATAAAGATGGGCACCTGTGTCACTAAGTATTATGTTGAGAAAGATTCTCAGAGAGAGAGAAACTATGGACCTTCCATAGTCAGTGTGAGGTGTTATGACCAAATTTCCAAGGCAATTTTCCAAATGTTGAGATAAGAGAACCATGTTAAAGGACGACTCGTATTTTCCTCAATTCGTATTCGAATTTCCATTAGAAACTTTCAAACTAAATACGGTTCTTTTTGAATATCTGCGTGAGTGGACTCAATTCAGAGAAGTCGCCAGTATTTTGACCGGATGATGGGATGTGATCTGAAAATAGAGAGGGAGACAAACTTGTATTTTCACTAGGGAAAGAATTGTTACCATTAATCATATTTGCACCGAAACTTGTTGCACTATTGGCATTGGTGCTGATATTATTATGAATAGTGTTGGAAGATGATGTTCCATTCATTGTGGTATTGATAGATCTGAAAAGGAATCGTGGAGCTTCATCATCCTCATCCTCATCACAATTATTAGGCACATTAAGCATGTGAAAATCCCTTTTGAGGGAATTTTGAGAGAAAGATCCATTGTAAAAACTACTTCTCTGGTGAGAGGTACAAGATCCCTTGTGATGTTGGCTGTGTTGATGGTGATGATGATTTGAGGATCTTGTAGTACTATTTGTAGAGTTGTATGAATGAGGATGATTAGGGTAGGATAATTGTTGAGTTGTTACACTTCCAGATAAAAGTGCATTTGCAAACGAATAATCTGTTGGAAGTGAAGAAAAATCAAATGGACCACTAATTGTTGTATTTGGTAAATTGGAGAGGGGATTAAATTGAAATGGGAAAGCAAATGGATTTGGAGGTACTTGTTGTTGCTGATTTGATATTGTCGTATTATTATTATTATTCATGAGAGGAGCAATTCCTTGTGATGTGTTAATATTATTATTCAATAATGAGTTTGATGAAGAAAGATTTGAGGATTCAATACTTTGTTGTGATTCATTACTCATAGTTGCAATTGTACAGTTATTATTATTGTTATTATTGGAAGTCAATGGTGAATCGGAATTCAACATGGTTACATTATTGATTGGAGAGGAAGGCATGGCATCATCATTCTTATTCGTCTGTTGTGGTGAGTTACCATTCGAAGATATGGAATTATGTACAGAGAGTGAAGACATTGGAGAGGTAGTGGAGGCTCTATTAGGAGGTGAATTTTCTCCATTATTCATTATTGATGAAGACATTGGCTCGGAATTCATAGTTGTTGTTGCATGATTATTACTATTATTACTATTATTATTATTAGCATTATTTGTATTGTTATTGGTAGTGTTAGTAGTATTGGCAGCCAACTCTTCCTGAAGTACTTGATTCATCATGGTCAATACTAAATTGATGGGAATTTGTGCATTTTGTGTTTGTTGTTGGTTAGAGTATTGCAATAATAGTGAGGAGAGTCTTCTGAATGATTTCTTGACTCCTTGTTGATAGGATTTTCTGTAGGCTAGAAGAGAACTCGTATAGAATTGAGCAATTAAATTGGCTGATTGAACAAATTGTCGGTTGAGTTGATTTTCATCTCCACTCGGATCTATAGTTCCAATATTTGCTGTCTGGGTAAATACAGAAGTAAACAATCCCTCCGTTGAGCTATTATTTTGTTGATTTGTTGTCGAATAATTTCTATTGTTGGTAGGTGTTGTTTGATTGGCTTGCCAATTACTACTTGTTGATCGATTCCCAGAAGAAGAATTGATAGAATTAAATGATGAGGTTCCGAATCTTTGATTTGTATTATTATTATTATTACTATTGACTCCTCCTGTTCGATTATTGCTGTTGTTCATCTCTGAATTTGCAAACATTTTTTCAAAATAATTATTTGATTTCTTGTTCTATAATTAAAACGTGTTGATAGGATGCTTGGAGAGTAGATTTGCTGGATTATCAGATTTCACAACTAGAGTTCTTGTCGTGTTATTGATGTGAAGAAATATATATGATAAATTCTTCTTTTTTTGATCGGAATTGAAGTATTTGCAAACCTGAAATATAAAGCGAGAGCGAGTGAAGGCTTTTTTTTTGATGTTGAACACTAAATTATTTGTCTTCCTCAAAATGATGGAAAATTCGAATTATTTGAAACAAAATATTCAGTTCTACAAGACAAATTAAACATCAAGATTTAATTTTGTTCAAACAATTGTATCCAATAAAGCTATCTTTCGATTTTTTATTTTAAATAATTTAAAAGCTTGAGGAAGAGAAAACCTTTTGTGAATTAGATTCGAGAAAGATTCACAGTTCTTTATTCAAATATAAATAATTAATTAAATTTAACTCAATTTACTGTAATAAAACAAATTAACAATTTTTGTATGCTTTAGTCCAAAACAGTTCGTTTCAGTGTTTCGACACCTGACAGAAAAGCTCAAAAATATTAACGTTAAAAAAAGTCAACAATCTTCTCTTTGAACCACTTCAAAAGAGGTTTCTTCCACCACAAGTGAACCAATTCTTGGTTGTCTTCCAAACGCAAACAAGTCAACAACCACCAACAAGTGCACTCTACACTAACTCAAAGATTTCTTCATCAATTTTCATTATCCAATCTTTCATGATGTTATCATCATTATTCACCATCAATTTTAATAGGAAAACAATTCCTTCCAATCATCATCATCACCATGTAACTCTGCAGAGTGTGTTGAAAAGGTTTGGCTTTGCGTTGCTTGTTGTTGTACTTTTAATGATAATAACTCCCGCCTTTTCAACTTACACAACCGAAAAAACAAAACAAGAACATGATACGAAGGCTTTGCATAGGCTGGAAAAGTTTCATCAGCATCATCACGATGATTTAAATAACAATAATATTCTGCGAGTGGGAAGGAAAGGAAAGAATAGACTTTACCATCATGATGAACGAAAGAAGAATCATCAAGGAAGAGGAGAAAAAGTTTTAAAACAACAACTTAGAAGTGTTTCCACTTCACAGGCTAGTGTTGTACCAACATTTTCATTACCTTCGGTGGTGAATTTATATGCCAATACGCCTCTGTATATTCCTATCATTTTGACTAACCAAGTAACATCAGGAACAACATTTGAATATAGTTGGAAAGTTTACAACTCTACAAATGATATTACTTTAGCATCTGGAACTACACCAACAGTTTATATTGGAGAATATGATTTGGATCTTTTGAAAACAGTAACTTATTATCAGAATATTGTTGGATCAATATCATCACCTGTTTCTTCTTGGAATATTTATGTGGAGGTCACATCACGAGGAGATTATGGAATCATCATTGCCCAATACAAAAAGACAATACCATTCAATTTGTACTTGTTGGGTGTACTTGCAACTATTGTGGGAGAGAATCAGGACCTGACCTTGATAACAGATCTGAAAACAAATCAAGTATTGAATGTTTCCATGTCGAAAATAACACCAAAAATTGAATATTATGATTCAGCAGTGAGTAAGATGGTAAAATCCAATGGACAATGCTCGTGGACTTGTACCTACACTTTGATTTCTGGTTCAGTGAAGAATTGTTCCAACTTTGAAACATTTAGAACATTATCGAATAATAACAATTACTTACAAGTACTCATCCTTCTACTATGTCGAATCGGAAAAGTTTGAAATTCTTATACATAGCATACGTGTCAATGATTCAGTTCCAATCTTCCAAACAATTACATCCAACACTACCATGCAACAATATCATCCACCCAATCTTCCAATTACACTCACTCCAAATTTTGTCAATTACAACAATACTGTCAGAGTGGTGTTTTATTGGGAAGTTAATGGTTCACCATACCTCAAGCAAAACCTTACACTTGATTCCCTCTCTCCAAATAGCAAGTATGTGGCCAAGTGTGAAATTTACTTTCTGGGTAATGTTCAGAGATACACATCAATGAGCTATACATTTTTCACAGCAAACAATATTACCAAGCCAAAATTCAATATTGTGACCAGTTCTGCTCTTGCATTTCAAACAAGAGTTCAAGTATCTGGCTATATTGGAGAATCAAGCAGAGGTCCACTTTGCATGACTGAAATCTTTGCAGAAACCACAAATTTTGGCAAAATCAGCTTGACCAATGGAAGACCTGTTTGCCTTCAATCGCTATTGCAAACCAGTACGGATGCAATTGCATTCCTTAGAATGCCACTCAGGAAAATCACTCTCTACGATAATATCAAGCTCTCTTTTGTGGTAACAGATGGTATTGCACAGGAAACGTACTCTCTTACCACTTCTTCAAATCCTTCCACTATTTTGGATTACTTTTCATCGTCCAATATTGTCAAATTAACAAGTAGTGTTTTAGACACGACATCAACTCTGTACGAAAACGATAGAACCTTGCTTCCTTCTCACATTGTTGTGGCTGCATCATTAATTATGAACTTTAAATCTTCTGCAGAAGAATCCAATTCAATGAATGTAGACTATTCAACACTGGCCTCTGGTTTAGGATCTTATCTATCGAGAATTTGTCCTTCTTCTTCAAACTATTCTCCATTGGAACAAAATTTGAATTGTATTGAAATAATTGGAAAATATGTATCAATTTCAGGTCTCACTACAACATTTGCTAGTACAACTCTCTCTCAGAGTATTAGTTCCAATATTGTTACATCTATATTTTATCAATTGAATCAACTCGTTTTCAATTCAATGAATGGACAAGGCACATTGCAAAATGGTGTGCTATTCCAAAAATTCTCCAGTGAAGGAGGTGAAACCTATGTCAGTCTCTTGATGGACATGCTACAAACAGCTTCCAGTTATATTGCTCAAGATTATACTACAGTTCCAATCAATGGTACCTACGTTTCCATCAATAGTAATACTATAACTAGTACTATTTATGCAGTCTCCAAGATATTCCTCTCCAGTAGCTCCACTTCAACATTTAAATCATCAAGCTCACTCATTACCAAATTGGATTTATCTTCATTTCAATCAACAACATTATACTCACTCTCTTTGAATGGAGATGTTACTGTGCAGGTGCCACCTCTTTCATCTCTTCTTGGTAGTTTGACATCAAGCAGCTCAGTGGTCTTGTCACTTCAACTTTCACCTCAAAACAATGTCACAGATGCTGTCAATAGTACAATTATTTCTAGTAGAAAGGTTCAATTCCAGCTTTTGGATCCAAACACTGATAAGAAAATAGAGTTGAAAGATCTGAGTCAACCAATTACTCTTAAACTTCCAATCACCTATTCTTCCTTGTCAAATTCATCTCGTGACAGCTCCAAGTGTGTATTTTGGAGCGATTCTACCAATGCATGGTCCAACACTGGTTGCGTTTTAAAACAAGCTACACAAAGTTATTTCTATTGTGAATGTAATCATACAACAACCTTTGCTGTGCTTTCTACTACTCTCACAACTAGCTCAAATAATACTCAAATTCAAACAGCAGCATTCGATATGGTTCCACTTATTGTCATTTCCTCTGTAACTGGTGGTGTTATTCTAATCACTTTGGTTTTTTCTGGTGTTGTTCAAGCTTTTATTCATGTTTTGAAGAATGTTGACTCTGCTGAGTCAGGAGATTTATTCCTTCCAGCAGAATTCTTCCCAGTCAATGCCCAAATAGAAAAACCAAAAGAACCAGAAACAACAATAGAAGAGACAGAAAAGAAAGAAGAAAAAGAACCAAAGGTGAAGAAACGATACAAGGATCTTTCATTTGGTCTGAAAATTTTTGAATGTCTCAAAGAGTTTCACCCTGTTCTTGGTATTGTTTTTCCAAAGAAGTATTTCAAGAGTATTCATATTAAGAGATTGGATCGTTTAATTATCCTAATGGATATTTTCATTACCACTAGTACTGTTAACGTTATTTTATTGTCAGTGAGCACTATTTCAAAAAATTGGATATTCGTAATACCATCACTCATTTCGTTTGGCTGCTCTGTTATCAATCAAATACCAATTACATTATTATTTTGTAGGAAGCAAGCTATTTGGAAAGTTTGTGCCTATGGTTATAGCTGCGTGTTTGCGTTTGTTTGTTTGGTAATTTCTATTATTGCTAGTGCTGGAGTTTTTGTTTCCAATCAGTGGAATATGAATATTTTGGACTGGCTGTATGCCACTATTCTAGGTGTTGCTTGGGACTTGATTGTTTTTAGAATTGTTTTGGCTTCCATTATTGCATTTTTGATTGAAGTTAAGGTTACTATTGACATGGGTATTGCAACATTCAGAAAAACTGATGAGGCAGAAAAAGAAGATCAACCATTACAAACAAAACGTATGGTAACTGTGCAAAATAATGTAAGAATACCTATGCTATTTTCACAAAAGGAAAAGCCAAACATTCCTAAATTGAATCTCAAAGCAGTTGAAGGTGTTGCCACTCCAAAAGAAAATCCTGTTAATGAGCTATCTTCAATGCATGCTTCGCCTACAGCAAGTGATACCACTTCCAGTAGTTCAGGTCTTGATTCCTATTTTTCACCACACAAAGCTAATCAACCAGCTGTGGAAGAAGCAAAAGAAACTTCTGCCAATGAGGAAGCCAAGACATCAAGTTCTGGTATGGAGCACTCGTCTGATAATTCAACTAGTAAGGAGGCAGAACAACAATGCATTACACCAGGATGTATTGTCGTTTTGGATTCTCCTGGCATTTCTCCAATATCTCCACTAATTCCAAAACAAGATCATGATATGTCCTTTGTGGAGAAAGTCCAATTGAGAGATGAACTGAATATGAGCGAGGGTAAGGTTGATGAAGCCATCATCCCACCAGTGTTGGAGGATACCATGATTATTGATGGAACTGAAAAGCAAGATAATGTGGAGGAAAGTACCAATGAACCTGTTCAAGATTCAGTTCCACAACAAGAAGAGGAAAAGCTAATAGAACAAGCAGAGGATATCAATGAAGATTTGGAAATTGTGGAGCCAGCAATAGTTGAAACAGAACAAGTTCAACAACCTGTTGCTGAGGAAGTTTCTACAGAAGAGGTTCCAGAGGAAACAAGAGTATCTGATGAAGAAATTACCACCCCACATGAAGAGCCAGCAGTGGTCATTGTTGATGAAGTCACAAAGGAAGAAGTTGCAAATGTTGAACCAATTGTAACTGAATCTGTCCAAGAAACTACTCAATTGCCTGAAGTTGAACAAGTCACCGAAGCAACAATCGAACCAATAGAGCCAGTTAAGGAAGAATTACCAGAAATTGATACTACCAAGAAGAATCCTATCAAGATTTTGAAAGAAATTCTCAAAGAAAAGGATGTTCCTCCACCTGCTGCTGAAAGCCAAGAGCCAAAAGACAAATCAGAAAAGAATATTTTGGATTATATTGAACAAGTGACTGAACATGAAAAGAAGATTACATCTGAAAATTTGGAAAGTTTCACATCAGAAATTCTTGAAAGATTATCTGGAAAATCAATTAGTGAAATTTTATTAATCTTGTCGGAGACTAAAGATCAACAATCAAGCAGCCAACAACAATACTCATCCCCACTTCGTACCAACTCACCAGTTGCAAGAAATGCTCTCCAAAAGAATACTCCAGGAAACAAATCAGCCAGAATGCTCAAGAGTGGTGGTATTGAAATTGATAGATCAAGAAAACGTTCTCTCAGTTTCAACAAGTTGTATGGTATTGAAGAGGCTATGATCAAACCTCAAACAGATTTCTTTGATCAACTTCGTTTATATGTCAATCAAAATTATTCTGAAGAAGCCAAGGTTAAGGCATTGAATGAATTACTCTTCTTACAATGTATCTACCTCCACTATAAGATTATTTCAGTAACTCCTGAGGCAAGAAAGGAAATGGCAGAGCAAGTTGTTGCCACCTTTTTGAATGAAAAGGAACAATATCACATTAATATTGGTTTCTACAAGAGGGTACTTGCCTCATGTATTAGTGATGAAAATTTGAATGCCAACACATTTGAAAGAGCTTGTGAAATTATTGAAATTGCTTTAAAGCCTGTTATCAGCAACTTTTTGAAGCATATTCAAGAAAAGCAAGCAAATGTAATGACAAGTGTTTAGGACTTTCAATAAACAAAACTAATGTTTAACAAGTTGAAATTTACCAAATAGTTTTTCAAAGTTCATTAAAGCTTAATTATCAAATCCTAAATAAAATTCAAACAAATTTATTGTAAAGATTGGATCTTTCAATTGTTTGTGCAGCCAATTTCCAATCACTCAAGTCCAACGATAGGGCAACCTTACAATTGTTAACCATTTCACCTTTGTCCACAACGCCATCAACACTCTTTGTCAATACAATGGAATATAACAACTTTTGAATCTTTACACAACTCCAACCAAATAAATAGAACCACTTGTATGAGCACTTCCAATCAGAAATATAGTTATCCGAATCAGTTTCTTCCAATGGTGGTTCCCATTCTTGATAATATTGAATGAATTGTTTAAATCCTTCCGTTTGTAAAAAATTGGCTCCATCTCCACAAATTGTAATTGCAGTATCAATGCCAAACGATGATTTGACAGCAGGTTGCCAATAATAATCTTCAGAAGTTAATTGATGAAGTGGTTTGCACGTTTCTGATAATTTGATTAATTCTCTCGGTTGTAAAAATTGAGAAATAACTCTCCAATCATAATACGAAAGTTTCACATTCTCATTAATCCTCAAAGATTTCTTAATTTCAACTGGAGGAGGTTCAATAAACAGTTGCATTTCACTTCTTTCCTTTTCAAGTTTCATTTCAAATTCCTCTTTCGGATAACCAACAATAAATGCAAAATATTTCAACTTGTTCAAAACTTCCTTAACAGGAATCAAACTCGAAAAGATAAAATCCATAACATTAGATCTCCTTGAATTGTGAAGTTTTGCAATTTCTTCACACATTGGAATCCAAACATTTGCTGAATTTGGCACATTTCCATAATAAATTTGTCTCATCAATTGATCTAAGTGTGTGAAAACTGGAATGACACTCATATTTCCATATTTCTTACAATCTTGACAGCAATATTCGTGAGCCATGTAGATTGTATCTCTAAATCTAGTAATTGTATCATTTTCGTACAAGTTTCTATTATATTCTGATAAATTCATGCAGAAAATGACATATTCGAAACCTTGTTCCATATATCGAGGATATTTCTTTCGTTCTGCTCTCTGACCAGCAACTAGACAGAAAGAAAGTTTGTGAGGTCCTAATTGAAGTGTAAATTGTGAACATCCTGTCAATTTCTGTCTAGAAATGAAGAATAATCTCAAAATCAACTCTTCTTCCTCTTTCGTAAAACTATTCGAAGGTTTCTCCAATATTTCACACAAAGTTTCATGTGAAACTGATTTTAAAATTTCAATTCTATCAAAAATTGTTCCATGTTGTTGAGTTTGCAGCAGGTCATGATATTTCCTGATTAATAATTTAACATCTTGCCTTTCAAAGAATAAAATTAAATTATTGTAAACTTGTTTTGTGATTAGTTTGAGAACAACTTTGCAATTCGAAGCCATTGGAATGTTATTCGAAAGTTTGTTCACTTGATCCACTGAAAATTCTCTATCCATTGGAATATCCTCAATTTCCTTTAAATCTTTCAAAATTTCCTGAATTATTTGTGGTTCAACATTGGCCAAAATTGGTGGAAGTTCATTAATGCACTGATTTGGAAATTTCAATTCGAATAACATTTGGTAGAATTGTTCTAACAAAATTATTGTATTGCTGAAAAAGAAATATAATGTAGAATAACTTTGATTTAAATCAAATGCTTGTTTTTCAATAACTTCAGGCTCCAAATTGTATCGAATAAGTTTCGACAAGGTCTTTCGTCCAGATTCTCCACTAGCAAGGAAAATAAATCTAATATGACTCTGATACACTTGCAATGCACTCGATTGCACTGAAAGTCTAGGTGAAGGAATCCCCGTAGAAAATCTTGGAGAAAGTGTTGGCGAAAGTTGACCAAGAAACCTTGGACTCATTGGCATTAATTGAACAGGAGAAAGGTTTCCAATACTACTATGTGAATTTCCACTACAACAATCACCAGATGCAACACTTCCTTCAACGCTGTTGAATGATTCGGCCGAGTGTAAAGTTGTTAAATTATTATTCGAAATTTCTCTTCTTCGGGGAGACCGCTGGTTTCGAATTTGATAAAAAGTTTCATGATCACTTCCACTGGCATTACTCTCTTGAATGGATCTCAATTTAAGTAGTGCAACCTTCTTTTTAATGGAAGAAATCATGATTGACTTTTTTTTTGAAGATTTTCTCATACTTTCAATACGAAACTCTTCCAAATTAGTTTCCATTCCATTCCTGAGGATTACACATATTGGCGGCATTTTCTTCAAGCCCCTTCAGTTTCTCTCCCAATACTGCATAATACTTACAAAAATGGAATTTAATGAAGGGTTGCTGAATTGCAAATTAATATTTCTCGTGTTGAAATGTGATAATTGTGAGAATATTTGAGAATAATAATTCCTCCACTTGCCATGTGAGATTTAAAAATTCTGAAATGGAAGAATTGAATAGTAGAGGCAGTTTTCGTGTATTGTTCAATAATAATCTCTCATATTTTATTATTGACCTAGAAATTTAGAAGTGATGACATTCATACTAGGTAGTAGTAGTATGAATTGCATTAGTTTACATGTTATCCAATAATCTTGTCTTTCAAAGCGAGTCCTCCAATGAAGCCAACTCCATAGAATAAGAAGAGTGGATTGAATGCACCTAGGTTAGTAACAAATGGACCTGGACAAACACCAACAAGTCCCCAACCAATACCAAAGAGAGCTGCACCAGTAACAAGTTTCCAATCAACAACAGTAGATGTTGGGATATGTTGCTTACAACCCATACAAGTGAGTTCAGAACGAGAGGCACTTGGTACAACGTACATGTTGAATACATACAGGTTTGGAAGAATAGCTCCCAAAGCAACACAAACAAGTGAAGGATCATAATTGTTTCCACCAAAATCAAAGAATCCAAGAACTTTCAATGGATTAGTCATTCCACTAAGTGCCAATCCAAGTCCAAATACAAATCCGTGCATAAATGGAAGATAATAGTCCAATTTTTGTTTGGTTGGTTCACTTAAATTCCAAATATTCATAATTATCAAAGCATAGGCAGAGAGAATCATAGCCAACAAGGACAATAAAGTCAAAGCATGTGAAGTTGTTGGATATTGAACGAATGGCAATAATGATGTATCCACTCCAACATTGACAATATTTCTAGAAACATAATCGGCACTTCCACCAAACAAAACCATCATCATGGTCACACCACAGAAAACCATTGTGGCCACAAAACTTCTCTTGGACAAACGAGCCAAACCACAAATCATGTGTCCAGATGTGCAACCAGAACCAAGTTGTGTTCCAAATCCAACAAACAATCCAGCCAATAAATAGAGTCCAACAGTTGATGGTGATGATAACAAGGAGAAGGCACTCGAAATTTTCATGAAATTATTAGGAGCTAAATTCAAGGAGAAGGCAAACAATCCGGCCACTATCAGACCACAAAGATACAAAATCTTGTGAATCCATTCGGTATGATGATGAGTTGTAGCTTTGGCTGTTCCATCAAAACATCCTCTCACAACACCACCAACAATACCCGACATGCCTGATATTCTTCCTTGAAGATAGGCATAGGCTCCAACAGATGCACCAATTAATAAGCCTCCAATAAGTGATTCAAATGGAGTAAATACCATTTTCTTATATTTAATATTTATACTATATTGATATATTATTTAAATAAATATTTAATGATGATGATGACAATCAAAGGGTAAATAGAATTTGATATTAATATAACACTAGAAAAAACCCTTCTCTTAATATTGTTGTTGTTGTTGTATTTTTTTCTTGAAGAGTTTCAAGTCCCGAGAGAATTTTCCTTCATCAAAAAGAAAATCTTCATTCAAATAAGAGAAATTCACAATAACAACAAGTAATATAACAAACACGGCTAAGGAGTTGTTAATATATGAAGATGGGAATGAGAAATGATGCTTTCAATAGAGAGATTCATGAAATAATTGGCGCCGAATTGTTGAGGAAGAATCGTTTGAACAGAAAAGAAGAACCATTGATGAAAATAAGTAAGATATTGATTGGGGGATTCTTATTCAGTAAATTGGTGGTTATCAAAGAGTGGTTTTTGGTGGCTATATTGAGATGGAATGGATCGGAGGGTTAGTTGAGGATAATAATAATTGAAAAAATTGGATTGGTTGAGAATATAAGAATGAGTAGTGGCGAAATGGTTTGGAGGGAATGTTAGATTTCCATCTTCTTGCTTGTTTTGAACAGATAATATATTGCATGAATTGAAATATTAAAAAGAATATTAAAACAGTATTGAATTGGCGGGAAACCAATTCGGAATTTATTAAAACAAATTGAAAAAAATTACTCCAGAACGTCTTCATGAAAAATCCTCACACACGAAAATCAAACCGAACAATAACAGCAACATCAATAACCAACACACTAACGAGAGGATTTTTCTTATTTTTCATATATAGGAATTAACCATCATCACAGAAATTATTGTTAATTATTATTATTATTTTGATCGGAGTATGATGAGGAAACAAGAAAGTTTGATTAAAAAAACAGGGAATTTTGGTGATTTTTCTAATGCTGCCACAGCATCTATATCGGAAAATTCGGGACAGAGGATGACACCTAGCCAATCGAAGGTTTATCCAAGTTTAATGGCAAGGAGTTCACCATTATCTTCATCTCCATACTGTTCTTCCAAATCATCAACATCTGCATCCTGTAAATTATCCAATCAAATCACCAACACAAACAAGAATGTAAATAATCAAGATTCTGAAAATCAACAACAAAAAAGTATTGAAAGTGTAAAAAGTTCTTTTCACACTAGAACTCATTCAATACTTTCCCCTCAATGTAAAAACATTCAACCATCACAGTCAACTAGCTCATCAAAAACAAATGAAGGAACAGTAACAAAACATGTAAAGTTTGTTATTCCAGAACGTAAAATTCCAAAACCAGAAACAAAAAAGGATATAACAACTACAGTTCCAAAGTTGGCAAGGGAAAAACAAAATCATCGTTACAATATTAATTTTTTTAATAGACCAACAATAACTCGAGATGGTCAAACAGTTCAACCTCCCCAAACCACTCAACCTTCTCCTTCATCTTTACAAAATAAGAGAAGTTTTGAAAATTTCAAATCTAGCTCTTCAAAATACGAGACATCAAAAAAACAAAAGAAAGACATCAATATGATAAACTTTCAAAAGAATTTATTTGAAATTCAGAAAGAGTTGTCAGAACAACCTTTCATCTCAAATGCCAACCCACTGACACCATCTCCAGAAAGCAATGGTCACTCATCAGTATTTAACAACAACAATACTGTTCAGAAGGAGGAAAATCTCAAAATGCAAACCCCTCAATACTCTAACACCAATTTCATGATACTATCAGACTCTCTAGAAAGTATTACTATAGCAGAGGATTTATTAACTATCGACGATTCAATAGTGGAAGAAGCTATAAGCAAGGTCTTTAATTCAAAGCTTGGAAGATCTTTTTCATCAAGTACCAAAGAGAAGTACCTTCGTCATCTAATCAATCCCGAGGAAATTTCAAGGCTGGGAATTAAAGATTTATTTGGAGAATATTACCCCTCAGTGGGATATTTTACATTGAAAGATTCCAAGCCAATTTTCAAGCAAGTCAGCGATGGTTCTTTGACAAACATTACTGAAGGAACAGGGAAATCAATATATTACTCCTACTCTAGATTAGCAAGATTGTTAATGAGTTTGGATTTAGGACGAGCCATGATGTTTGTCATCTTTTCTGAAGATGATTGGGATCATGAGGAAAAACGAGTTTTAATTGAAAAAGCTTCTATAGATGGATTTAAGCATTCCTCTATCGAGTACAAATTCTTTGGTACAAGTAATTCTGGTATTAATGGGCATACAGCTCTGTTCATTGACACTCGATTGAATTTTGCTAAAATACATGACCTGCTGGGAGATTTTAGTGAGTGTGCCAAAGCTGGACCAAGGAAAGCTTTCAGTCGTATTGCTCTTGCATTAGGAAAAAGTTTTCAGAGTTTAGTCGAGTTGAAAAAGGAAGAATTATGGGTTCTGTACGATGAAGAGGATTATCCAGGTGTTGGTATGTTTTTTATTTCATGAAATTCAATAATTCTTACTTGAAAAGATGGTGCAGGCTTCATGCATGAGGATTACTTTCAAGATATTTTGAGAAATACAATTTGCACACCTTATTTTGAAACAAGGAAAAACACAACTGAAGCAGTATTTATGGATTGTAAAATTGAGGAAATTGTTGCAATGCAATTCAGAGCATTGGGAATGAAGGGCGTCTTTCAGTCTATTCCCGATGAATATTGGAAGGAACTTCAAACGAGGCATGGCTTTCCAGATACTGTAAAATGCGTGGCAAGACCTTCAATGATCAAATTTATGGGAAATTCGGAAGTTTATAGACATTTTGATGTTTTAAATGTTTCTAGAATTCAAGGAGGATCCATTAATAGAACATTCATGTCATGTATGCTTAGAAGAACAACTAATAAGGAGGCCATGCAACAACTTTTCGTTAAAATGTTGGATGAGTACATCAAGAGTGAATCCAATATTCTAGATACAAAATTCCTCTACAACTCTCTCCTTTCGAATGAAGTTTTCGATAATGGAGATTCCGTTTATAGGACAATCAAGAATTTACTCTTGGCAGGATTTGGAATGGAAAATCCATTTGTTTACAAGTACATTAAGAAGAGAATCAAGGCAAGATTTCAATCCATGATTGATAACAAGCTGTGTCTCAAGATGAAATCAAAATTCTCAGTAACTCTGATGGGAGTCATAGATGAGAGTGGTGAGCTAAATGCGGATGAGGTTTATATTCCCTGCCTCAAATTGCAAGAGCAATTAATGAGGGATTATTACAAATTGAAAGAGGTGATTGTCTATAGACATCCACTTGCTTACGAAGGAGATATTGCCAAGTTGAAATTGAGAAAAGATCCATGTAATGAATTTCTAGCATCTAGATCTAATGTCATTGTATTCCCAAAGGTTTTCAAAGAGAAATCTCCTCATCAATATCTAGCAGGAGGTGATTTAGGTATGTTTTTATTTTGAATTTTTCAAATTGACTCAATTCTTTAGATGGTGATGCTTATGAAGTTGTTTTTGATATGGAAATTTTGAAATTATTCGATAAGCATCCAAAACCAATTGATTACGATGAAGGGAAGCAATCCAGTGGAGCAACCTCACAATCTATTCAACCTGTTACCAAGTTACAACCTTGTGATATTATCAGGGAACATGTAAAATGTTTTATTCAAAAACATACTCATACAGGTCTCCTTTTCTACTTTAATACTATTGCCAGAGACTCTGACGATATCAAATTAAAGGTTGATCTAGCCAAAGCATATTCCCATTCTATAGATGCTATGAAGGGCTTTGAGCAGGATTTTAACAAACTCATTGAAAGAGCACGAGCTTTACCAGTTCCATACTGGTATCAACAATGGAAGTCGGTAAAGGTTTCAAAATGGGCACCAACTGATGCAAACATTACAATATTTGAAAATTTAATGTTAAATAAGGTTGTACATGCCTATCAGAAAATTGAATTTAAAAAGCCAGTAGAGATTGATCCTGAATTAATTGTTGAAACGCCAAAGGACACAGTCATGTGGAAGCTTGATTTTGATAACACGTATCAAAAATGGAACGAGTATTGGAAATCTAAAAAGAGAGTATTCGAGTCAACAACACAAGTAGAATTTACATTCAATGATAGATTCTTCAATGAACGGCTCAATTCAATTATGGCCAACACGATCTCTCACCAAAAGAACAAGTACCATAGCGATGAACCAGATTGGCACCAATTATTTTGTGGAAGTACTGTTGGAAAACAACTCGTAGCAAAAGCAAGTTATTGGATGCAACTTGCCTACGAGAAGGAAAAGGAACTTGCACAAAAGAAAAGAAGGGAGAGTTCAAGAAATCAATTCTAAAAAGTCCCTTTCTCTATACATGTGCCTTGCACTATTTGCAAATGCTTAAAAGTAATGAGTACAAATATCTTTTTCATCCGCACGTTAGAGTAAAGATTTGTTAGAGTGGTAATATTCGAGTTAAAATGGAAACTCTCAATTCGTCATTAGCCATACTTGCCTCACAAACTGATAAGTCCTTGATGAGCTTTTTCTAATTGACAAAGTTTCAATTATATCTTTTAAATATGGAAAATTTTCAAATCGGGTCTCTTCATAGAATTTAATTAAGAACCCGTTCCAATATAGTATGACCTGTATTAGGAATTCTTATCAAAATATTGTCATTGGATTTGTATTTATTACCTTTAAACAAACATGTTTACTTCAATCATTCTTGAAGAAATGAAACAACAAACCAATAAAACTAAACCTTGCAACAACTCCAAGCAGCACCAGCACGCACGAACCAGTTGCAACAGTTGTTGGAATCAAGAAGAAAAGGAAACAAAAACTTGATTTTGTGAATGTTTCCTTCTACTCATCTTCTGTTCCCAATTGTCCCACTGATAGAGTTTTCAAAATGGAATACAGACAACCAGGCACTGTTCATTCCTCATCCAACAATTATTCGAATCCTTTCGAAACAACACCTTCCGAGAAGAATTTTCCAATCTTTCATTGGAATATCGAAAAAGAGCAACAAACAACACAAATACATCAACAACCATTCTCCAATTCTCCCCATAGTTCGAGTTCTTACTCCTCTCTCAAAACCACCAATCAACTTCTCAAATTCAACAAGACATCACCTCCAACATCATCAACTCCACCAACACCAAAATTACCTTCTCCTAAAATTCTATCAAGTGCTGCAGAATTGAGAGCTGTCAGCATTCATGTGGAATCTGAAAAGCCAAAACTTCAATCATTTGATCAAACTCAACATTATCATAATGAAACAGCAATTTTTGAGTGCGCAAATAGTCGAGTGAGATTAGCAAAGGAAGATACACCACCAAGTATCAAGATTCCTAACAACAAGAAAATTCAGAGAACAAGAGTTTTTACCATTAGCGAGTTATTACAACAATAAATTTCAATACATCTTTTATGATTTCTTCCTTTCCAACTCTTCACCAATTATTCGAAACTAAACGAAACTGATACTATCCAGTACCAAGTTACAAAAAGAAAACTCTTGTTTATAAAAATCAAATTTCATCTAGATTTATTTACAATACAGAATTGAATATTGACAATTCATTAATTAACAAGTCAATCTTTTCCTTTCCCTTATCAACATCCTTTCCCAAATTATCAACTCGATGCACAAGTTGTTTCAAATCCATCAAATTCAAATCAGCAACCACTTGTTTAATCATATTGAAATTTGCCTTTCCACTAATTACCTTATTCGAATGTATTTCTTCCTGACTCAACACATATTCGAATACTTCATCTAGAATCGAAGCCAAATATTCACATTTGAGAACTTCCTTCTCAACAACCTTTCTGTGATGCTCTTCTAATGTGGAATTGAAATGTTGGACGAAAGATTGTACCTCACTCCATAATTCTAATAGTTTCATCAAGATTCGGTCATTGATGGAATGTTGATGGTTGGCAGAGAAGGGTTGTGGGATAAACTTTTCACTGCTTACACCTTGTTCGTATTTGACGTGGTTGAGACCTGATTTGGTGGTGTTGATTGCTCTGTGAAGATCGACCATTTTTGAATTTTTTTTAGTTTAGTTTAGTTTTGGAATAATTTCAAATTTTTATTGGAAAGTTGAAAAAAATTGGGAATGGAAAATTAACATTTATAGAAATGATAAATTTTAAGAATTTTCTAACCAGTCAATTAACCAAAAATGTCTGGATAATATATTCAATTGTGAAATTTAACATTTTTAAAAGATTAGAATTAAGGAAATTAAAAATTTTCAAAAAAACAATTCGAATCCTTATTAATAATAAATTTTACAAAATTTAATTTCTCACTATTTCATTCAACCAGTAGCCGTTAAAAAATATATAATTTCGAATAAAAATTTATTCACACAAATTATCCTAAACTTCAGAATTCAATGAAGGTAAATGATAGGACGAAGAAGAGTGCATTGAAGATCGTTTGATGTTAATTCTGTTGATAATCTTTAAATAACAAAGTTATTGGAAAGTAACTTTGTGAAAGTAAGAGCAATGAAATAATTGGAGTGTTATTAATCAGAGACCAACTTTCCTAATTTCTTCGGTTGACATTTGATCTCTTTTAGTATGACCCGAGTCAACTCTATCCGAAACTAGTGACTTGTAACTGAAACAGAAAATAATCATTTTTAAAAAAAGTTTCATCACAACGAACGTTATATCTTGCTACTGTGGCTAGTGCGAGTTTCTTCTTTGAAATATAATAGTTTACTTTCGGATAAGAGGAAGAAGAAATATTATTCGAAACAACATGACTTCTCTATTTCGTCATTCTGATGGCAGTAATTCTGCCACGACATTATCAACTTTATACGAACCTTTAATTTCAACTTCAAACTCTTACTATGAACCACTTTCTAAATCACTTTCGTCTAAATCTTCATCATCATCATCAACAACAACAGAGAAATTATCAGAAAGGGATCACATAGCTTCCTATCAATGCGCCTCCAAACTAAACGAATGTTGCAAACGTCATGATTGGATAGGTTTCGGCTCCCTTCTTTCTCCTCACGAAATTGAAAAAGGAATCAATGAATTACAATCCAAATACGACAAGGAAATCACTCCACAAACATATATTAGCATATTCATTCCTCGATTAATGAAAAGCAATCGAGGAAAGTATAATAATTTGGTGGATTTTGAATTTAGAAGAGAATTTATCTTTTCCAACTTGGAAGTTGCCTTTGTTTTCAATTATATTTACAAAAATAATGTGGAAAATGGTTATTTGATGAATCAGAATGGGAGAAGGGAGGGTTGTCTTGAGAATTGTGGAAAGAGTGGACGAAATCAAGTGTTGGAAAGTGAAGATGTGAAAATGTTTGAGGAGGAGGAAGTTTTGTGGGTTAGGAGAGAAAGCCCAAATCATTGTTGGAAGGTGCAATTTAGTGGCACGCCCATTCAGCAGTCGATGGCTCCACAGTGTTGCATTATACTGTGAGTTGGTTGCTTCTTATGTTGATTAGTTGAGTTTCCATTATGTGATTGTAATGGATTTTTAGAAACGATTCGTCCGCTTTCTCTTTTACTGTAAATATTTAGAGAGTCACTTCCCTACCTTCCCTTCCTACCTTTTCCTGTCGTCAATTTTGAAGATGATGATTATCATCCACTTTAGACAAAATTTTTCACAACTTTTGTAACGGTTTTTAATTTCCTTTTTGAGAGAAACCATGTAATTTTAAAGAGATTAATACAATATTAAACTATAATATTATATTTACTAAGTGTTCTACCATATCAACTAATACATTCAGTCACATATGATTGCTCCTTCAAGACAAAAATCATTATTTGTTTTAGAACAACTCATTCTCGATAATTACTAGGAGAAAATAAGGTAGTATTTCAGCTGTAGGTAGCACGATAAGTGAATGTGAATATGTATCAAGATGAAAGATCGAAAAAGTGGAATGGTGGAGAAAACAGCAAAACAGTAAACTAACCATTAAACAATGGTGAGCTTTACTTTGCACTACAAGATGTGAAAGTTTGCTTGGGAGAGTTTGAAAATTTTTGGATTTATCACAATTCGAATCTTAAATAATATTACATGATTTTCCATTGATTTCTTCTTTTGGAATTTTCACATTCGAATCCGTATTTAATGAATTAAATCTCGCCAATAACTTCAATAATTCATAAAACATTTCATTGACATTTTCACCTGTTTTGGAAGAAGTTTCGAAAAAGAGTTTCAGTTCATGTTTCGTCGATAATTCCAGACCTTCTTCGTACGAAACTTGACGTGAAGGCGAATCTGATTTGGTTCCAACTAGAATTATTTCACATTCCACTTTTGGATTTAATTTCGAAATTTCAATCCACCTTTCCACATTCTCAAAACTTGATCTATTCGAAATGTCATAACAAATAATTATTCCTCTAACTTTTTTAAAATAAACATCTGGAATATTAGAAGGTCCATAAAAGGAGCTCCTGAACTCGAATTCTACTAACACTGATTCAAATCTATTCGAAACTTACACTTTCGTCAGAATACCACAAACGAAATCATGCTTGTAAAAAATTGTTTTACTGGTCATGGGCAATGGATTATCGTATTTCGTATCAGGTGTCATATATCGATTCGTGTTTAATCTTTCAAGTAGTCTTATCTTGCCACTTTTTTTATCTCCGACCAAAATTACTGTTTCGAATAATTTAATTAATTAATTTTCGAATAAATAGATGAAATTCAAACACTAACTTTGATGCATTTCACTACAAAAAGAATTGCTAACAAATAATTTCAATTTTTCATTCAATTTCCTGTTAAGTCCACAAATTAGTCCACTTTCGTCCACTTTATCATCAAGAATAATCACAACATGTTCTTTCATTTTTTTTAAAATATTAAATAAATTAAAATCAAAATTAGATCTTTTCTGAATATTGTAATCTAGTTCCCAGTGAATAGATTCTTATATTGGAAAGAACATGGAAATTGCTTTCGAATAATTAAAAAAAATGACAACTTTGCTTTCGGATTTTTATGAATGGATTTCAAAACTTTCAACACCTAAACAATTAGCTTCTTCTGTCTTGGCACTGTTTCTTCTCGGATCAGGTTTCAGGTTGTGGAAACATTTTACTCCGAAATCTAGACGAAAGTCACCTAATTCTGAAGAAAGAAATCAATTATCCACCCATGCAGAATTATTAGAATATTTATCAACAAATATGCCAATGGAATTTAATCATTGCATCAAGTTTCTATTCGAAACTGTCGATCGTAAGAAATATGCAACAGATTCGAAACTTTCCAATGAAGATTTTCAATTATTGAAACCATATGCAGATTCTGCCATGCCTCTTCGTTGTAATGCCACAATTTCAGCACCTCACATGCATGTCACTTGTTTAAATGCTTTGAAAGATTCGATTAGTTTGGAAAATTCGAAAGCAGACGAAATTTCATGTTTGGATATTGGAAGTGGAAGTGGATTTATCAGTGCAGCTCTTTGTCATTTATTGGAATATCATGGAAAGAAGGGAAGGATTTTAGCAATTGATCATATTTCAGATTTGGTTGAATTGGGAAGAGAAAATGTTGAACGAGACGAAAGTTCAAAGAAATTTTTGGACGAAACTTATCCAATTCGATTGATTTTTAAGGTTGGAAATGGATATGATCAAGATTCCATTAGAAATCTCTTTAATGAAAGTTTCCATTTGGAGGATCAACTTTCGAATAATGAAAATATTCCACTTTTCGATTTAATTCACATGGGAGCTGCTTGTCCAATTCTTCCACAACACTTGTACAAATTATTGAAACCGAATGGTAGATTAGTTTGTCCAGTAGGTCCCTCAGTTGGTATTCAAGAATTACTTTGCATTGAAAAGCAACTGAAACTCATTTCTCCAACAAGTCTCGAAACGAATCAATTATTCGAAAGTGGAAATCAATTTAGAGAAATCCAACTCGTCCAATCGATTGCCAAGGTCCATTTCGTCCCATTATTCATCAACACTGAAGAACAGGAGAGACATTTCAATAGATCGAATCCTCGTCTCATTCAAGTAAATGAGAATGAGAAAGTTGTCGTCCTACCTTACTTGCATTTAATTGATAATTCGATAACTTGTTTGGAAGACATTAAATGGGAGGGTGATGAATAATTAATTAATAACATTAAGTATTGAATTAAATATTTATAATATTTCTATATTTGGTCTTGTTAAATTTTTTGTAATAAATTGAATAAAGGAACATTGAACAATAGACAAGTTTCCATTACAAATCATGAGTTTCAAAAAAAATGGGTAAACATGAAAGCAAGGAATATTCACATTTTTCAAATGACGTTTTATGGGAAATTTTATCATTTCTCGAGAAGGATTACAAATTTCAAATATTTTCGTTCGGTTTAGTTTCGAAACAGTGGTATGCTTTCATAAAAGAACGACTGAAATTTTCAGTGACATGTGGAAATGATAAGAAATTGAAAGGTGACTTTCTACAAAATATTACAAGTTGTAAAGTGATGAGAAAAAGTGAAAAAGTGAAACTGAGGATTGAAAAGTTGAAGAATTTGACATATTTGGATATTAGTGAGAATTATATTTTTGATAAATTGGTCAATTGGGGAAAATCTTTTGGAAAATTGGACAAATTGACCCATCTCAATATTTCAAAGAATCGAATTGAAAGAAAAGGAATCAAATATCTTACCCGAATGAAACAATTAAGAATTTTGGATATTAGTTGTAATAATATCGATTATTGTGGTCTTTTCCTTATTTGTAACATGAACCAATTGACCAATCTAAATATCAGTCGGAATTTTATCAAAGAGAAATCTATTTATCTTGTTGATTTGAATCAATTAACAACTCTCATTGTGAGACAGAATGATATTACACAAGTTTCATTTCTTTCAAACTTTACAAAATTGACTAATTTGGATGTCAGTCAAAATCTTATTGGAAATGAAGGAATTAAATTTGTGGGAGAAATGAAACATTTAACATGTCTTAGGGCTTGTTCGACTGGATTTGATGAAGAAGGAGCAAAATGCATTGGTCAATTGAGCCAGTTGACTTGTTTGGACGTTAGTCATAATAGTATTAAGAATCAGGGAGTTGAATTTATTAGTCAACTGAGCTACTTGACAGATCTTACCGTTATTCATTGTCATATAGATCTTGAAGGTGTCGAATTTATTACTAAAATGAATCAGTTGACCAGATTAGACATTAGTCTCAATCTTTTTGGAACACCTAAAAAGATAGCTACGGAACTATTGAGTGCAAATAAGGAATATTTCAATATATAAATATCAAATAGATATTTTTCACATCCCAACAAAGTTATCCTAATTATTAGCACTTTACAACTTGTAATATTTTGTATAATTGCCACTATTTCCATATCTGAATAGTTTTATATTTGAGATTTAAGGACATTGAATGGCTACGGCCATATCACGATGAATGCACCTCATCCCGTCCGATTTGAGAAGTTAAGCATCGTCGAGCCACATCAGTACTGAGGTTGGAGACAACTTGGGAACCTGTGGTGCTGTAGTCTTTTTTCAGTTTTGATTCTTGTCCATACTATGCAAGAGATTGGATATCGAGCTGTATTTCTTAGGTGAAGGATGAGTTAACAATAACTATCTTTCGAATTGGTTCCAAATAAGATGATAAAGTTCACAACAAGTTCATACTATTGTAACAGTGATAGTTCCATGAATCGGTAATATTTTATCGGAAAGCTTTACAATAGTTCATGAACCTTTATGAACTTTCAACGATCGTAGTGAAAATCACCACAAAAAAAAATGGCACAACATCAATACCACTACATTCTCAACACACAAAACGAACATCATTCCTATTATATGAGGAATAATTCTCGTCCAGAGACTAAACTGCAAGAAATTAAGAAAATTTTCAAGGATAATTTTACAAATGAGAGTTAATTGTTGAGTGTTTGAAGGGATTTGATGAGAAAATTTATGCCAACTTGTGTTATACAGAGGTGAAGGAGTTGAATTTCCTATCGAGAATTTCTAAATGGTTATTATTGGGATTCGGAAGAGAAGAACAATCAGAAGGAGTTTTAAATAGTGTAAAATATGATGCAAGAATTGTTGGGGAGTATTTTAGAATTTTGGATATGGCAATTATACGTGAGCTTCATTACAGTAATATGAACAGTTCTTATTTCTTATTCCCTTCAAAGAATGAACAAGTGTGGAAAGAAATTATTAATTATTGTCTTAGTTTGATAGATTTGGCTGATTCTACAGATAGAGGTTTGATAATTTCGTATGCTCTTAAAAGATTTATTCAGAGAGACAATAGAATTAAAGGTATTGTTGCAGAAAAGAGAGAAAACTTGATTCAAATGATGATTAGATTGACCAGATTTCCAACCAATCAAACATTATTGACAAATAATCATTCTCTGATGGTTTATTGGACTCTCAAGTTGCTCAACTTGAGTGGTGCAGAGAAATGGGACGGATTAATTGAACACAAAACAACTTGGGAGAAAATTCAGGGATTTTACTTGAAAGCATTAGTTGACACTCTTCCTGAAAACTTGCTTGATAGACATTACACTCAAACTCATATTGAACCAAATGAAATTGTAACAGAGGTGTTTAATCTGGTCAATTCTTGCTATTTGAAGAATGGTGACTCTGTTTCTTGTCTATTTGATGATCAATTGACTTGTACAGGAAATATTTTGAAAAAATGTACAATAGTTTCTATGGCAAATACTATCATGAATAGATCAGAGATTGAAATCGATGGTTTGATGCTTAATTCCTTAGCTAGAGCTCTCAAGTTGAAAAATGACAATAATGTGTGTAAGCTTTTCAGCTCGAAGATTTCTTCCTTCTTTGAGCAAAATCCAAAACAACCAATTTCCGAGCTCTATTACTCCATAATTAAGCTATACAAAAGCAAATATTCTACCTTCAAAGATTATTGTGAAATATTCGACAGTAATGAACAAAGAGAATTTATTTCCAATACTATTATGGATCCTTTTCTCGACCATTATATGGAAATAAGGAAAGGAACAGACAAAACTTATTTGCAGAATATTGTAGACGGTTTTGAAGCATTTGGGAAAAGTAGCTCGGTTCTTGATGAGAGAATGGTGACCCTGCTTGTGGATTTTGGTGACAACTCACTCCTATATGCTTATTTACATGAAGGAGGATACTGTCAAATTTATAGTGTCTTTGAGACGTTTGCATCTATTATTCAAAACAGAGGAGCTGAGCTGATGAACATTATGGATGGAGCAATGTGCAATCGTTTAGAAAAACAATTAGAATTAAGTATTTCAAGCTATAATAGTGACGATGGTTGGTTTGCTGTTTTATGTTCAGCACTGGAAAGTGGATTATTTTGGAACATTATTGAAAAATCGAGGCAATTAACTGAGCCAACCTTTACAATAACTGAGAAATTCAAACAAGGCTACACTTTAGAACTTGTGAAAAAGGTGAGACAAGAACGTGAAGGTAGTACTCAGGATCCTTCTTTCTACACTCTCTACTGTTTGTGGTTCCTCTTAATGGAGAATATTGAAAAATCTAACAAGGTTAGAAGAGGAAAGAAAACTGAAACATACAGAGCTCTCGTTAATCTATCTTTGATTCCAAGAGATTATGACTGTGGCAATCCTCGTGATTCTGTGTTTGCCTTTTTACTACTTGCAGAACTTGAGGAAAATGTGGAAGAAAACATGAGTATTATTTTGCAAAACATGGATCACATCATTAATAGTATGTATGAACAATCACACAGAAGCACAAGCTTTTTAAGCTTTGCAATAAGTAGACTATTGGAAAACATTGAAAGATTTCTCTATCACTACAGTGGAAGAAATGAATTGCATTCAATTCGATCTAATTTAAAACAGGCATTAATTTACTTGCCAACTTATGAACATCCAAAACTTTTAGAAAATATTCATAATCTTCTTGATGATAATGAAGTTGATCATTAATCTGTAAATTGTCCATCAGAAATTATTAAAGTAATATTGATCATTAATGAGTAAAATATTTACCACCTTATATTAATTCCAACTGTTTCTATTTTCGAACTGAAAACTTTGCAAATCTTTCAAAATCTAGATTTTGATGAAATTCTTCGAGAAGGAGAAAATTCAATTATGAAAATGGTGCACAACATGTTGTGGGTGAACAGAAACAATTAAGCCACTAATGAAAATAGTATCGGGATAAAAAAGAGAATTAATCTTCATTTAAGAGTGGATCAGTAGAGGTGAATGAAGTCATGCTAGGAGGAACAGAGCCAGGTGGTTCCCTTACAAGAGACAAGTCTCCCATAGCTTCCCCACGAGTCAATCCATTCCAGGCGATCTTATAAAAACTTTCTTCCTTTCCACACGAGTTTGAATGGATGAAGATTTTACTCTCCAAAATTGTTCCCTCACAAAAATAGGGCATTGTTGTGGTTGTGAATATTTTTAAATAATTTTCTTCCTCATCTCATGGAATTTAATTTTCGGGTGTGATGAGAATAAATCAAAGGTTTCAAGCAGATAGTAATATTCAATTTGTTGGTGAAAGGCAAAATTATCCTTGTAGAGTGTTATATTCAGAGACCGAAACTTAAATAATAATTATCATCAAAGTAGTTATGGAACACTTGTAAATCATCATCAAACAGAGAATACGAGTACAACATCCTTCTCAGTTCCTTGAGAAAATGTTGTGCATTTTTTATTGTGGTTTTAATTTTTCAATTTAAATTACATTTACGACAATTATTTAAATATTAATTATTGCCAAGGTTTTATCTGAGGTTTAGGGTAGTGGTTGTTTAGCATTATTATGTGAAGTTCACAGCAAACAAAATTCAAAAAAATTGAACCAACATCCACCACGTGCCACTGTTCTCTCCTGCCGAGTATGAATATCTTGTCGCGCATCACATCCCCTCTCAGTATTGCAATTTCTTCTGGTATTCTTTTACTCATGTCATTCTTTAGCTTTTTCAAGAATAAATCTGCCGAAACCAAACAAGAAGGCAAACCTACACGTACTACTCAGCAAGGAACCGATTCTACCTATCATGTCAATGATTTACTGATACAGTTTCCAGAGCAGGAAAAAGATGAACTGTATCACTTGATGAATAGTGAAGAAAATTTAAAATTCCTCCAAGAAAATCCAATTTTGAAAAAGCAGGTTGATGGTGTGGAAGGTTGTTTTGTATTGGAAAATGTGATAACTCCTCTGGAATGCAAATTGTTTGTGGAAATTTCAGAAAAGATGGGTTATAAACCATCTCCATTGTCTGTTTTAGCAGGAAAGTTTGACACATCTGTCATTAATAACTCAACAAAGCAAATTAGAGATTCAGAAAGAATTTTGACAGATCTTCCTGAGAAGGTGATTGAAGTTTTGAATAAGAGAATTGAGCACTTGTTACCTGAGAAGGTAGATATTTATGGAGAGGAATGGACATTGAGAAAGAATACACCAATTAATGAACGTATCAGATTTAACAAGTACGGTGTCACCCAAAAGTTTGGACCTCATATGGATGCTGGCTATAGGAAGAATGATCATGAAATGACTCAGCTTACTATCATTTTCTATTTGAATGAGGATTTCAAGGGTGGGGAGACTACATTCTTCCCAGGTGGAAGGAGACATCTCTTAGAAGAAGCTACTGTGCAAGAGGTCAGAATAGTTCCAAAGATAGGTCTTGTTAGTGTATTCTTCCAAAATGGTAAATTGAATCATAGGCATGAAGGATCTCCAGTTATTGAAGGTTTCAAGTACATTATTAGAAGTGATATTGCATACATCAAGTCCTCTTGGTTAGAATCTCAAAATCAATAATTAGAAACTTGCATTCCAATGAAAATACTTGAAATGACTTTGTTGTAAATAATTAATTCAATAGAGATTGGAAACCTTGAGCTGTTCCATTATTTGGTGCAGGAACAATATTCAAAATTTGACAAATTGTAGAATAAATATCCAAATTTCTAACTACTCCATCATATAAAAGTCCAGATTTGAAATGTTTTCCTTGAGCCATAAACAAGCTACTCATTTGAGCGGATTCATTATCAAAGCCATGATTTCCTTGCCCATATTTTGTACTGCTTGGTGTTCTCTTAATTGAGTATTCAACTTTGGCCAAAATCAAAATGTCAGCAATGCGATCTGATTGAGAGTAGTGAAATCTTGGTGGCATATTCTTCCTCGTGTAAACACCTTGTATAGCACTAGAGAAGGCAATAGAATTCATAATATTAGCAGCCAGTTGACCATAAATTTCATCGACTTGTGACTTGTCCTTAAAGTAAAAATCAAAAAATGGTCCATCATTCATATTCAAAACATCTGCTCCAATAATATCCTTTCCAAGTATATCAGAAACTGAAACAACTTGAGAGTCTGGAGTTTTGGCCATACCATGATCGCTCACAATGATCAAATCTACCTTATCCGTTGCATTTCTCTCATTCAAACCTTGAATGATGAGTCCTACTGCTTGATCCACTTTTCTAATAGCTTCAGCTAATTCGGTTGTGTATTCTGGACCCAATGCATGTCCAACTGTATCAACAACCTCAAAATAGGTCAATATCAATCGAGGTCTCTTATCAGAATCAAACCACTCAAAAATTGTCTTGATTCTATCAGCATATGGAATTGATTCGTCATACTTCTTATAATAAGATGGATACATTCCTTGAATTGCCACATCTGAACCTGGCCAAAAGTAAGAAGCACTCACCAAACCTTGTTTTTCAGCTGTAACCCAAATTGGCTCTCCAAGCCACCACCTAGGATTGAATGCTTCTTGTGATCCCAATTTGAAAACAGCATCATAATTGGGATCATAAAATCTATTGGAAACAATTCCATGTGATTCAGCATATAAACCAGTGACCAAAGTATAATGATTAGGGAAGGTTTTGGAAGGAAAGATTGGTCTCATACTTTTTGCCTTGACTCCCTTCTGATAGATGGAACGTAAATTGATGCAATTATCAGTACACATGGACAAGTATTCAGGTTTAAAACCATCCAATGAAACCATAATTACCGTCGAATTGATTTGATGATCAATTATTGGAACCTCCTTTCTATTCATTGCATTCACAATAATTAATCCAGCAATCACAGCGTTAGCCAATACTATAAACGAGATGATTATGAAAATACCAATCATGATAATACCCAAAGTACGAACAGATTTCCGTGAAGGTGATAATACTTGTCTTGATTCATCATCCATGTATTCGGAATCATCAAAACTTGGACCATTTTCACCATCATATCGACTCGCCTCAATATTGGAGTGAATGAGATTTCGTTCCTGTTCATGTTCTCTACTTGGAGAGGAAGCTTGATAGAGAATTCGTTCATGCTCTCTGAGGTGATGATGATTCATGTTGTTGCATTTTTTTTTAATTAAGAAATAAAAATTGAATATTTAAGTGTGAGTGGAGTGATCTTAATAAGGCAAATTTAATGAATGTGTGTGAATATGGATTGAAATTTTGTGTAAAAAATCAATGCATTCATTTCATATTTCATTACATTATTGGATTGTAAACTGTGAATTTTTGAAAATGGATGAATTTTTTATGTAATTAGGGTGTGTTGGTGAGGAAGATTTTACCAACGAGGAGGTGCATGGTTTTCATCTTTTTAAAGTAATTTTCATTGAGGTGGGATGGAAGGGCTAGTTGGATTTGATTCGAGTCTATTTGAATGTCATTGATGGCCACAAAGTGGTTGACCTGATCTCTGAGCTGTTCTCGAAGAGAATGTACTGAGCAGATGGATTTGGAAAGAGTTACAATCATGTGTTCCTTGACAGAGTCTATCGAATTGAATTGTTGAGTTCTTTCATCGAATTGGTAGAGTTTGACATCATCGAGTGAACGAGTAACAATAATTGGATTCGGTCCAAAATATTCATTCACTGATTGGGTTCTGTTTCTTCTCCGTTTCGGTCTGGATTTATGAGTGACGAATTGGCTTGGTTCGACATTAATTACTTTACAGGTCTTCTTTCGGAGAGTGTTTTCTAATGGAGCTATCAATTTTTCATCCAAACACAAAAGATGTGTAATTTTGAATTGCTCCACCATGGCACTTAGTGTGATTAGCCCTGTATGGTCAACTCTTCCAGGTGTATTAATCATCCAAAATGTCTTCTTTCCACCAGTATTAATTTTAGTATTAATGTTTTTGTAATTTTTGAAAATATTCTTGAAAATTCTCAAATGATCTGCAATAGTTGTACCAGTTGTATCTCCAAAGTTGTAAATATACTTGTTTGGTGAGTTGTGGACGAGTTCTTTCAGTTTGGAATTGATAGTATTGCACTTGGTGGATAATTTTCCTTGCAACTCGGAGAAGATAAAGTTATTGGAACTGTATGTGAAAGCTACACTTCCTGGTAGTGTCATATTATTTTGTCCCATATCCATATCGGAATAGAAACACAATCTCTGATTTTCACTCAGAGCAAAATGCAAAAAGTAATTGGTTATTGTGGATTTTCCCCTGTCAACTCCTCCAACTACCATAATTCTTGGATTTTCATCCTCCTCAGTAATGGATTGATACAATTTGAATCTATCCATAAATAATTTACCATCTCCATATGGAATATTTGTACAATCGCCAGTCAACTCTTGCAACTTGTCAATGGTAAATTTGAAATTGTGAAATGCATCCATATTTGAGGCATTGAAATTAATAGAGTATGAAAAGTCTTCGAGAGCACTTCTATAATCCCCAGTCATGTAAAATGAAACTCCTCTATAAAAGTGAAACTCTCCCAACAAGACTCTATCTCCCTCAGTCATGATTAATTTCGAATAATCACCAATTGCATTGCCATACATTTGTCTCTGATAGTAAATCTGAGCTCTCAAACTCAGTGCTCTATTATTATTTGGGTCAATATCCAACATCCAATTCAACGATTCAAGAGCTTCTTGGCTTTGATCCATCCTCAACAAACAATCAACCTTACAATTCATCACATCCAACATGAGCTCTCTAGTAATCATTGGACTCACTTCCAACTCATCCTTACTCAAAAGGAAAAAATCATCAATAGCCCTCAAACAATTCTCATTCTCCCTGTTCAAATTATATCTTTGAATAATTTCCAAAATATTTTCAATTCTTTCCATTAAATTATTTTCCATTTCCAAAATTGCAAAATTATTATCAGTATGGTCTTGATTTTCCATCACATCACCACCACCAATACTACTACTAGCAGCCATTGAAATGGAGGAATTTAATATTTTACCATTCAGAGTTGAATAATTAAAGTCCGATGATGAAGACAATCCAACAATATTATTCAAGTAATTATTATTATTGCAATTGTTGATGAGTAATAATTTCCTCATTGAATGCTTCAAAAAACTCCTTTTAAAACCATCACCACCACCAGCACCACCAATACGACTACGGATTAAAACATTCATCACGTTCATTCTCTTCTTCATATTTTTTTGCATTCGATAAATTGATGAACATTTTGTCCGTCATCAAATTCCGATCATCAAATGAATATTTAAATTATTTAAATTCAATATGATTAATAATATTCTCATGGATGAAGAAAATCTAACGTGGATTAGTTAAAAATCTCAGAAAGTTTTCTTCTTATCGGAGTAAAAGTTTGTCAAACTCCTTAAAAAATGTCTCAACAACAAGAAGCATCTTCTGCAGCCTCATCTACTGCAACAATTGTTGAAGAGAAAATCACAAATAATAACAAGGCTTCTTCATCATCGGCATCTGAACAACAGCAAAGAGATGTTCCCAAGCTGAAATCACAAGTAAATAAGCAAAAACTTCAAAAGGCTATCAAGGAACATCTTCCTCCTAATCATACATTGTGGAGGGAGGTTTTTTCATTTCTGGAGAGTGATGATTTGTTCTTTGGTGTTGGATGTGTTTGCAAATGTTGGAAATCTTCATATTTGGATGGAATGACGAGGAATTTATTGATCATGTTTAATAGGAATTTACAAACATATTGTGAAAATAATCAGATTAATGAATCGAGTAGGGAACAATTGGCTCGTAGGACTTTTATTGAAATGTGGAAGGAATATATTAAATTATTGATTATTAATGATTTGTCACAGATAATAAGATTGGACACTAGAAAGCTTCTCCTTCTCAATTATAATACAAGTGCAAATGATCATCATTCGGAAGAATCGAGGTTATTTGAAAAATTTGCAAATGAATTGTGTGACAAGGAAAGAATGCTTCCTATCACCACTAAGAAAGAGTACACAACCATGTCGATGGAATTGAGAAATATTCTCGTAGGAAAGGGAGCCAATAATAATAATGTAATTCCAACCATTGATAATTCCATTACCATCAAGCCAGTGACAAGCTCTACCTCTAGTTATAGTATTAGTATTGATGAAAATCCAAATGAAGAAAAGACAGGCCTTTTGAATTCTTACAAGAAGATCAGAATTTCCAACTTTGACATTCAAAATAAGACTATGATTGAATTGTTGGAAAATCAATGGAAGCAATACTTTTCCAGATTTGTATGGAATCATCAGAGACCTTCAATGCTTCAAAAGACTGATCTCACCTCTGGAGAGGTTGTTCTTGACTCTGAGCAAGGTGAAAAATCTGTTGGCATCATTCAAACCATTCTCAATATGTTTGGTTGTAATTTTGAGAATGACTTGTCTGCATCCAATGAAAGTTTCAGCTCTAGTTTGTCACTGGGAGATGGTAATGTCAATGTTTTGAATATTTCCCTCTTTATTAATGGAGAGTTTGGCAGTTTTATTGCTGATGGATATTCAGAGGTTGGATTTGATTTTATGGAGAGAACTTTCAAAATTGGAAAGCAAGTTTATCAATGTAAATTGAATTTGTGTGGTAAGTTCCAAAGTTTAAAACCCTTAATTTACAATTAATAATAATATTTTACAATTATTTGTGTGAAATATCTATGTGGAAATTAACAATAATTAGCTGGATCTAAACGATTCATCAGTGGAGGACTCATTCAAACCAAAAATTCAGACTATGTCATTTTGTGCACAACCAATGCAGATATGACTCAATATGAATACTTTGAAGCCTACGATACCAATCCAATGACTGAATATCTCCTTGTTCACTTAAAGACTCCACTCTCAGAAGATCTCAAAACAGAAGAAGTTGAAAGAATGAGAAACTTTTCCAAAACAATTCTCAAATGTCCATTTATTTCCTTGGATAAGGAAACCTTTGGATCCAACATTCCACTCATGTATTGCATTATTTTGCATCACTGTCTCAAAAATCAAACCTTCTCATCTTCTAGAAGAAAATAAATTGTTATCCTCACCACTTCAATGTAAATAATAATTAAATTAATCTTTGATTCAAATAATATCCAATGATTAAAATTGTCATTGTTCAAACTGATTAATGTTGTGATTGATCCTTATTTCCCTTCTTGAAAAGATAGGCAAGAGACAATCCAATAACAACACCTCCACCCAATAGTGAATATCCAATACCAGTTGCTCTGGCCATTTGTGTTCGGGTGGCATGAAAAGTCTTTGGATTTTTAACTGTTTCCTTGATCACATTTTGTATTTTGATTTCTTCGGGATTAATTTGTTTTCCTTCCTTCTCCAATTTTTGATATTGTTTAACAAACTCCTCACTCATATCTTCACTTTTCTTTTCCATCTTTTATCAATTCTTTCAATCACTCCTAATTATTCTTCTTATTTTGATACTTGAAAGATTTAGCCCGCCAAACAAGTTTCAATTTTTTTGTAAAATTAATTTTTTAAAAAAATTCTAAGAACCACAACCAAGCCTCAACACTCTCACTCACAAAGTTGGTCAGAGAATGATAAGCAGCAAAAGATCTTCATGCCCAGGTCTTAAGATCACTCCGACCCCTCTGCTTGCAGAGACGTAGTTACGATGGAGTTATTGAGTCATAACTGTGCCAAAGTTAAGCGCCACGATTGGTGGGGTTTCCTGCTGAGAGTGGTGGAGAAGCTAATCAAAGGGTATCATTCGTTGGAAACACTTGTATGGCTGAGAGATTCACCGAGTAGCAATACTCAATGTAGTCTCAATAATAAGCTGTATAGTGTGGGATGATACTACCTCACATTTTGTTTTGATATTTCTATATTCTCTTATTTTCTAATACAGAAATTTTATGAGTTTATGAGATTGCACTAATTGACAAGTTCATTGACAAGAAGAAGGACATGTACTCTCTCTATTCCTTAATATTATTTGAATATTAAACTCAATATCTTATTCTTTAGCTCCCAATGCAAAAGGCATTAGAGCATGAAACCTTCCAATTCAATTTTTTTCAATTAGAACGTTAGACAACTATTTTTAAATTCCTCATCACAGACACGTTGAATTTTCTCTAACAAAAAAATCATCAATTATTCATTATTTCTCCTCAGCAGAAAGTTTTGGCAAAGAAGAATTTAATTGATCATCACTATAATATATTAAATTTATTAAATAATAATAATAACAACAAAAATACAAAATGCCATCAATGGATGATTTAGTTTTTAATCTTAAATTTACAAGCAAACAATTCCAAAGAGCTTCTAAAAAAGCTGAAAAGGAAGAAAAGAAGGAAAAGGACAAGGTTAAACAAGCTATGGAAAAGGGTAATCTTGAAGGTGCTCGTATTCACGCTCAAACAGCCATCAGAAAAAAGAATGAAACTATTAACTTTTTGAGACTTTCATCAAGAATTGATGCAGTTGCTAGTAGAATGGATACAGCCATCAAGATGAATAGGGTGACATCAACTATGGGTGGTATTGTTAAGGGAATGGATAAAGTTCTCGGAGCAATGGATGCTAGTAAAATTGGAGCAATTTTGGATAAATTTGAACAACAATTTGAAGATTTGGATGTTACTAGTCAATACATGGAAAGTTCAATGCAACAAACAACAAGTTTGTCAACACCTGAAGATGAAGTCAATCAACTCATGGCCGAAGTTGCTGATGAAAATGGTTTGAATGTTTCTGAAAAATTGGGAGCAGTCAAAACCAAGAAGGATGATATCCAAAGTGTTCAAGTTGATGAATTATCGGAAAGATTATCCAAACTCAAATCCCAAAAATTGTAAATTAACCCATCTATTGCCAACACCACATTTGATTTTGTAAAATATTGAATATTTAAAAAAAATATAAAAAAATGATCTTTTCAATTTTAAAAAAAATGGTCAAGATCCATATTGAATATTGTACTGCGTGAGGTTTGTATTTTACGTAACAAAATTAACCGACAAATATTAATTTCTTTATCAATACATTTAATAATAATAATAATATCAATAGGATATGCCTCCAAATTTAGAAATGCTAAATTGTTTATTGAAAAGAATATTGAAGGTGCCACTGTAGAAGGTAATACAAAGTCCAAGCCTAGAGCTGGAGCTTTTGAAATTACTGACGAGAGTGGTAACTGCTATTACTCCAAGTTGCAAACTGGTACTCATATTACCAATGAACAACTTGAAGAAGTAGTCAAGGCCATTAAAAAGTCAATGGAAGACAAGTAATCTTGTTTTCTTGATTGACTTTTTGGATCAAGACAATTGTACATTTCGCCGCTATTCTCTCAATGATCCTAACAATGTGTGTTGAGAATTTAGTGGAGTAGTGTAGATATGTTCTTGATCTGTAGGGCCAAACAGGTTAGATTGTGAGCAAGTAATGAAAATGTTGACCTGGTGAGTGACAACTCTGCAACCTTGAATTACTGGAGTCTGCATCCTTCTAATAGATCAACTCTGGGGGGTTCTTTGTTTGAGAAATCAGGCAACATTCTTCTGCGTTTCCTCTCAATCAACCTGCAATAATATTATGTGAAATATATTCAACACTAGTAAATTTTTCTTTCACATAAATTGTTGTGATTTATCTTTTTTTCAATGAAATTCAATAAGAAGAAACACTGTTTCATACATTTTCATATCCCTTCCAACATTTTACCTATTAACATATTAACATTTAATTCAATTTAATAAGAATTTAATATTTAATTTGATATAAAAAAATGCAAAAACGTGAAACCCTCACTTCCTTACCTCCAGAGCTTTTCTTCTCCATCCTATCCTACCTCGATAATTGGCAGGAAAAGATACAATTCTGCACCCAATTTACTCGTGCCAAGGAGAGAAATTGGAGAGAAACATTGAGGGGAATGATTTATGAGAAGAAAACTCATGAATTGGATTTTATTGTTAATGTTTTGCCTCAAAAATTGTTTGTACAGAGGAGTCGTTGGAATGTCAAAAAAGAACAACCAATGCCTTACTTTGCAAAATTGGTGGACTTGTTGAAATTTGTCAAGAGTAAAAGAAGACATGACATTATGTTCACAAAAAAGTATGGTAATAGGAAATATAGCTTATTGGGATCTGTTTTGATTTCTTTCAAAAAATACACCAAAAAGGATAACGTTGAGGAGGTCAATGAAATTCTCCTTCCTTTTATTAATTACTATTTAGAGGAGGGATTTGAATATTATGGAAATTATTCATTCATAACAAACGAGTCTAATTTTGTAGCCCTACTAACTATGGTTGAGTTAGGTTGTTTGGATACTGTTACTGATATTCTTACCAACAAGATTGGTGAATTCAAATTTAATGATAGAAATGCTCAATCATTACTTGTCAGATTTATGAAATCCCTAGTTCCTCTCGAGGTTTTGAAGAAATGCCTTATTGAAACAAGAATAATAACAGCCTCATTGTTGGTTTCACCTAAAGAACTCTATCGAAACAGATACATTTCTCATTGCATAGTTTTTATTAATGCAAAGATGGATTACACAAACTGGGAATATTTCAAAAATCTCATTGATCTCATTTCAGATCTAATTCTAGAGGCATGCACTAAGGAAGAGTTGGAAAATAATAATCATAGAACTAACATGTTACAATTATTTGGAAAGAAAACGAAAACAGCAGATTCTAGTTTCGAGTATTCTTCAATTGATTTTCTTGCTGAAACAATAACAAAATCGGAAAAACCAACTTCAAATAAGATGAAGTTTTTATATCATGTGGAGAATAGAGTTCGAGTTTCCATTGTACCTCGTTATAAGAATTTAGCTGAATATTATGCAAAGAGATGGATCTAAAAGCTTTAAAACCTATTTGATTTTACAATTGTTTATTGAGCGAGTTCAATAAAGTCGATTCAAGTTTTGAATAAATGGTCAAATCAATTAGTGCATTCGGATGTGAAAATTGTTGAGGTTGACAAACTTGTTGGAGGGGAGGCAAAATTGGTAAGGTAATTTCATGGAATGATTTCGAATAATTATTCGAATAAGAATAGAAGGCACGAGTTGCTGCACCTAATGTTGTACTATCAGCAGCGTTAGGAATAATGTGAACAGTGGAATTAAAGACATTGGACAATTGTTGGAGAAGAGTAAGGGAATTGGAAGCACCACCTGTCAAGACAATTCTAGGTGTTTGTTGTGGAGTGAGAAGGCCATTATCTTGGGCATGTTTACGGAGGGACATGAATTGAGAGAGAACGAGTGATTTCAAATCCATGGACTTGAGAGCATTGGATTGTTCTACTTGTTGCATTGAAAGTAGTTGCTTGAATTGTTCATCATTGAGTAGTTCGTAATTTTCACAATTGTCATATTTGACAAATCTATAAAATCCATTTTGAATATGTTGGGGAGTATGAGGAGTAATTTCTGGAAATTGGAAATAAAATCCAATCAAATGCTCCACAGTTTTGAAAATTCCTGAATCACTTTGAATTTGAATTGGACTTGGATATGGAGAGCCGATGATATTCTCAAATTCCTTCCAATCTCCATTGCAATACATGGAGCAGAATAAATCTCTGACCATTCCTCCGTTTTTAAAGCAGAGTAAGTAGAGGTATTTTTCCTCATTCGATGATAAATGATAGCTAGGATTGATGAAAATGTGTCCCTCCAAATTATTGCTCACATGAAGTGAATTTTCATTAACGAGTCCAAATATTGTGTGACTGGTACCTAAGGAAATGCAAATATCATGATTACTTCTCAGAAGGAAGGATGAAGAATTTTGATTATCACCAGAGAAGGAGCAAACTTGACAATCCTTTGAGAATTGGAATTTTTCACACAGCTTTTGATGAACTTTTCCAACAATAGCATTGGAAGGAGTCAATTTCTTATCTAAAACCTTTTCAAAACCCTCAACACTTTGATTGGTTAATTTTGACATGGTTCGCAAAATATCTTTCGACCATTCCAAACTGTGAATGTCCAATAAATTCATTCCTGATCCATCTGAAAAATCAATCGATTGATACTCTCCAACGAAATAACTTGCAAAGAATGAGGAAATTAAACAAATTCTTTCACAATTGTCTTCCAATTTCTTTCCAACCTTTTGGGCGAATTTTACAATTTGACTAGCTGTGAATCTTTCATGAGCAGTGCTTCCACTAATTTTCATTAATTCTTCTGCACCTCCTACTCCATTTTCCAGTTGTTGACAAATCTCAGTTGTTGAACTATCCATCCAAATAGGACAATTCTTCATTGCAAAATCACTTTCCTTCAAATTCCACACACCAACACCACCCTCTTTTCTCCTCTTCCACAATTCCTCCACACCATTCTCAGAATTCAAATAATTTGCAGCAACATAGACCGATCCATGCTGCTGAGCAGAGCCTCCAATACACCTAATTCTCCTCCTAATTTCCACAGGAATCTTCTCCAACAATCTTTCCAAAGCCTCAACGAACATTAAAATCGGAGAAGAAACCTCTCCAAGATCCTGCTTCTCTCCCTCATGAATCAAAACACCACCCTTTGTATGATAGTGAGGACACTCTGAATCATAATGAACATGATCCGAGTGTAGAATTTGAAAAGGAGAATCGAGTGATGAGACCACACTAATCACACTCGCTTTCATTGATTGTGTTCCGACATCAATACCAAGAAAAAAGAATTGTTCTTGTTCATCATCTTCATCATGATTGTGAATAATGCCCTTTGGTGGTTGAGACATTTTTTAAAGATAATATTTAAATAATTTACAATGATGATGATGAAAAAGCTGTAAAGCATTGTTAAGGAAGATAAAGTAAGGAAGAATAAAACTGTAAATTGATCATGAATGGAGAAGAGTACCAAAAAAGTACTTTTCCTCATCAATAATTGACCAAACCAAGAATTGATAATTATAATCCGTAATTACAATAAAGCAATATTTAACTCATCATTCCATCTCCAATTACTTCTTCTCTATCACCAAATATCATCTTGTTCTTCTTATTAAAATTATTTTTCATCAATGAATTGTTTTAAAATTTTGATCATCTTTATTTTTGTAACAATTTCCGATCGTACAAGTTTTTAGCTGTTACGAATCTAAGAGTTATAGATGATCATCATTATCTTCATTTACAATATGATACAATTATTGTTCAGAATTCAAAGGAACGTGGGTTTCCTTAGTTTCGACGTGCTTCAATTGAACGTTGGCGTTCAACAATTCATCTTGGAGAGTCTTCTTCTTTTCACCAGTTTCCTTCTTGGCTTCTTGATTGGCTTCGAATTCCTTTTCCTTTTGAATCAATTCATCGAGGACTGAACCTTGCAACTTTTCCTTGGTTTGCTTCTTAGCTTCAACAGTAGCTTCGAATTGTTTTTCCTTTTCTTTCAATTCATCGAGGACTGAACCTTGCAACAATTCTTTAGTTTGTTTCTTGGCTTCTTGATTGGCTTCGAATTCCTTTTCTTTTTCCTTCAATTCATCAAGGACAGTTCCTTGCAACTTTTCCTTGGTTTGCTTCTTGGCTTCAATGGTAGCTTCGAATTGTTTTTCCTTTTCCAAGACTTCTTTCAAGACGGCAGTTGGGACTTGTGGTTGTTCAGACATTTTTTTGTAAGAGTTGATTGGTTTATTGTTGTATGAAGCATCAAGTATATTAAGCTTGATCTCGTCAACAATGATCAAAGAAAAGGCCTCTTGAGACAGAGGTTGACAGACAAGCAAGAGGTGACGTGCAACTACAATTTGATTGACAAACAACATACCTATCAATCATGAAGCAACAATGACATGATGATGTGAAGACTTGTAATGGATAAAACAGTACACCTCTACGATTTTTTTTCACAAACTGTAGAACTATGGAAGAATATGATGTGAGATAATTAAACATTTTGAAAAAAGATTTTGAAATGGTTAAAGGGTTAATAATTTATTTTTTGAATTCTTCCTTCTTGGTGGTGAGGACTGTTGCCAAAAACTTGATATTCTTGTCTGTCTTTTCTTCTTGAATAGCCTTTTCAAATTTGCTGATTTCATTGTAAACTTCTCGTCCATGTTTTGTCTTTAACAAGGCAGAAATAATGTAGGATGCCTTCTTTTCGAAAATGTATTGTTTGCAATGGCCCTTGACAAGTTTGAAAACACCATCACAGAAACCTCCTTCACTCTTCAAAATAATGCTTGACATGGTGGTCTTGACAAATATATTGTGGAAATCAAAATCTTTGGATTGTATCAATTCTAACAGCTTGGCTGAGATTGGTTCGAAATCTTTGTTTTCTGTTGAGAGGGCGAATGCTTCCTTAACGACAAGGTGGCCATTAGTATCAGCAATAAGGGTTGATAAATTTTCACAAATTCCAGTAACAATAGATGGACCGAATGAGAGCAATAATTCTTGTCTAATCTTATCTTGACCCTTCTTGCTCAAAACACCATCTTTCATCATTTCCTTTCTCAATTCCAATTCATCAAAGAGTTTTGTAGCTTGACTGTTACCAAAAACTTTAGAACTACCTGTGAGCAAGTAACGAATTGGTTTACAAGCTTGTTGGTGATGTAAGAGGTCGGATAAAACTTTTCTGAAATGCTTCAAAATCTTTTGATTCAAGAGAACAGTATCGTCAATACACTTGAACAAGTATGAAACGACAACTGAACCGAAACAATCTTGAGAGGCCAAAACAGCCAAGTTATTGTGTGGATCACTGTTGGTGAGATCATCTTCCTTTTGCTTTTCTTCAGCACCTTCACCATCAACATTTTCTTCTGCAGAACCAGCAACATCAACCTTAGATCTAGACAAACTTCTGACAATGAGCTTTCTTTCCTTTTCGTTGGCATATGCAATACAGAGGAGGGAAATCTTACAACCGAGGAGAGTATGGAGGATGAGTGGAATAGCACCAGCTTCAATCAAATCGTAGAGTGTGAATTTAACATGTGAACTGTCACCACATTCAAAAACGTCAATAATGAGCTTTTGAACAACGGCCAAATCGAAGAGTCTCTTTTGGAGAGCGTTTTGAACAATCTTGGTCAAATCTGAGACAATGGTCAAAACAGCACCTGTCTTGATATTGTTATCGAGAGAATCCTTAAGAGAGTCATTCATCTTGCTTTCTTCATTAGTCCACAAGAAATCTGAGCCATAGAATTCTTGAACGAAGAATCTCTTTTCAGTATAGTTCCACAATTCAGTGTAGCAATAGTCGAGAACTTCTCCTGAAAATCTTTGTTGAATCATTGTCTTCATATTTCCAAAGAAAACTTCCTTATAAAATTCGAGTCTTTCCTTTTGATCCTTAATCTTAACTACGTGATATTTCATAACCTTCATTACTAATTTGTGTCCATAAATATTTGAGGATAAAACCTTAAGATCACCCTTGATTTCTTTAATAACAATATTTCTCAATTTTTCATTTCCGTACTTGAGAACAGCTTGTAACAAACGACTCATATCGGAACGAAGTGATAAACTACTAATAGATCCTTCAATATATTCTAAAGCTGTTTCGAGAATGTCAATCTTTTTACTTCTCTTCTTTTCTCCCAATTGCAAAAATTCGTCAAGAGCTCTCTTAGCCATTGTTGTACTATCTTCACGCTTCAACTTCTTTTTAAAATCAGAAATACCACCACCATCTTTTCTATTTTCCGATGATGTTTCAGAGTGCAATCTCTTTGTTGGGGCATTCTTCTTAAAACCGCCTTCACTCTTATTAAATCCCTTCTTATTATTATTAGATGATGAGAAAGAAGGCTTCTTAAAATCCTTTTTACCGCCCGATGATGGCTTGCCTGTATTTTTGTTATTCATTTTTTTTTCATCAAATTGTTTGAGTTACCGCTTTTTTCATCACCAAATAAAATTTTCATCATTAATTTTCTATTTTTTCAATGTTGATGAATAGTTTCAATACCGTAATTGATAATTTACTTATTTCTGAGAAGGGAATAAATTTATTGTTTTCATCATATTGCTTGAGGCTAGAATTTTCTCTGTGTGATGATAATTAAATTGTAAATGCGAAATAAATTGAGAAAAAATGAGTAAGCGAAAATTAGTGTGTGATGACGATGAAGACGAAGAGATTGAAGAATTCAAGGCTTCGGTTGTGAATCAAATCATAGAAGTGAGTGATGAGGATAGTTTGGATAGTCCATTGAAGACTATTACCACTCCGATTAATCCTCCTAAAAAACCTAAAATTCAATCAACCTTGGTAGAAAACAAATCAACTCCAACAAGTAAGAATCATCAAGCAACAACAACAACTCCAAAGAAGGATCTTAAATTGTCAAAGAAGGGAGAATCTAGTAATAGTAAAACAGCATCAACACCAAAAACTCCAACTACTCTCAATGTAAATACAAACAAATCAAGCCTAGGAAGTACTAGTAACAATTCATCATCGAAAAAACAAACTCTCTCACCAGAAGAATCAAAGAGCAACAAGGCAACTACTCTCGGAGATATACTGGGACCAGAAACTAAGAAGGAAAAGAAGAATGCAAAGAGTAGATTTTGGAATATTGCAAATTGCCAACCTGTAAATTATAAGGATATCGAAGATTGGGAGGATTTTGTGGATACTGCAGAGGAGAAATATCTCGGACCAAATAGAAATAATATTAATGTTTATATTAGAGAGGAGGAAGTGAATGTGATTTATCGGTGGATTGAATCTTTTAAATCTGCAAAATCTACATTGGCTGCTAGAGTTGCAAGAAATGTAAAGGAACGAAATGACAATAGTTTTGATGAAAGAGTTGAGGAAGAGAATTGGAAGAAATTGAATACTCTCACTGCTCGATTGAAAAATCTCTTAATGAATCACGAAAATTTAACAACAGAAGATTTGGGCAAAATGAAAGAATGTAGTCAAGTTCGAAAGAAACGTATCGAGGAAGAGAAGAGAGAAAATGAACAATCAGAGAGGGAACATCAGGCACTCAAGAATCAATCAGATATTGCCCAGATTAAATACTTTGTTTTTAGAGATGGTCCAGTGCGTGGCCAAAAAGAATACTTTGAATGGAAATCCCTCATCAATATGAAGAATCTCTTCTCTGGAGCTGCAGCTGCTGCACAAAACAACCAACAACCCTCCTTTGAAGACTCTGATGATGAATTACTGAATGGTGATATATTCTAAACCAAGCAAAAACCAGACCATCAACCAGATCAATTTTACACCTACCAAGAGAAAACTATAGAACCTTATTAAATGTATATCATCGTCATGAAGATCAACAACATTACGTGCCCTATTAATCATATCATATGAAATGTTTTGAATGTGCAAACTCAGATTTTACAAATTTCCATTACAAAAAAAATGCCACCACACGCAAAGAAGCCAAAAGAAACACCACTCACCGAATCGGAACATGAAGTTACATTAAAATATGGACAAGCAATAATTATTAAAAATTCCACCATTAAAAAGATACAAATTACTGATGGAGTGTTGAATATTTTCGGAACGGAATTTAATGCTAATGGAGAAGAAGGTGGTGTTTTGGATTTTTCTGCAGGTGGTGAATTGATTGAAGTTGTTGGTATGAATATGAGTCTGGAAAAGAAGGATACTACATTAAAGATGAATATTTTGGGAGAAGCTGAACAAGCATTTACTACTGTGGAAAGTAATCCAAAATTTATGGAAAGTGTATTTGAAACTTTTGATAAAATTAAGGGAGGAATGAATCATGTGAGAGTATTGATTGTTGGACAAACTGATAGTGGTAAATCAACTCTATCAAGAATTTTATTCAATCATGCCTTGTTTTCCAATGAGAGAGATCAAGAGGAAAGAATTTGTGCATTTGCTGATATTGATGTTGGACAAAATCAACTTTCAATTCCTGGAAGTATGAGTATGGTCTATGAATTGCCATCTCATGAGAGCTATTCGAAAGTTGACTCTGTGATGAAGTCTAATCCACTTGCCACTATTGTGAATAGTCATGCTTTCAACTTTGGAGATATTTCACCAAAATCCACAATTTATTACGATCATATCTGTAAGCAAATGACAACATACTATGATAATATTATCAAAAAGAATGCTGATGTGAAGAAATCAATGTGGATCATTAATACATGTGGATGGGTTGAAGGTCAAGGATATGAACTTATCAAGAATGCCATCTCCTCATGCAATATAACTCATGTCATTTCATTCGATCAAAATACTACACGTAACTTGGAAAGAGACACCAAGAATGTTGTAATTATTCCTCTCGAAAAGAGTAGTCATGTGAAAAAGAGAAGTACCAATTTCAGAAAAGACACCAGAGCTGCCAATTTCAATTCCTACTTTAGTAATAGATTGAATACTCTTACCTTACCATTGGATAAGGTGAAATTATGTATGATTGATTACAAGACTCAAAATTCAGCAGTAAGTATAATGTCTGACTGATTTATTGATTTAATAATTGATTTAATATTAATGTAAATATTATATTTTAGAGAGCTTTGACTGTGAGTGATAAGTCATTGAATAGAATTAATTCAATTTCTACAGCCGATAATCTTAAAGATGTGGCAAACAAGGAAGTTCGCATGTTTGTCGTATTGCAAGCATTCAACCCAGAAAAGAATACTATTACATTATTATTGCCTGGAAAGGAAAAGAAGGAATCATTTGAAAATCTTGAAAATCCATTACAACTTCTTGGTGGTTCCATAATCTGGAAGTAATCAACAATAAACTACGTTCAGACTATTGTTTATAGTTGTTCAAAATTCAGGGCACTAAATATACTGATTAGTCTAAAGGTTCGTTTTTCAAATGGCATCGTGATATTTATATTATATTTGAACCAAATTGACCAAGATAAAGATATTATTCTTGGTGTGTAGTCGAGAAAGAAAAGCATTGTTTATTGGCCACGTAGCTTAATTGGAAAAGCAGAACAAATGGTTTCAGTACTGAAACTTAACTGCAGTAAAAAATTCGCATTTCATTCGTAGAAAAAGATGTGGGTTCGAGCCCCACCGTGGTCGATTTTTTCATTCCACTTTTTCTATATTTCAAATTTCTTTTTCTTCCAATTTACGTTGTTCTAAATTGAGTTATCGAGAACGAGTTGTGATGTTCTTTTTTACTTTCTCCCTCCATACTTTGTACCATAAATGGTAGCTTGTAGCAGCAATTATGTGAATTAAAATTGTAATACTCTTGAAAAATAAATAAATTTTTTTGAGGAATATTACATGGAAACTAATTGTTTTCTCAATAGCATTACAAGGGTTAATGATAAAATAACCATGAATGCACATATACCAAAAAACCAGTACAACGAATCAATGTCCTGACCTGGGACTTTGACATTCATCCCCCAAATGCCTGACAAGACTGACAATGGACCGAAAATGGAGGCAAAAACTGTTAAACGATTCATAAAGGCATCAGTTTTTTGTGCATTTTGGGCAATTTCAATTTGAACTCTTGTTAAATAATTAGTATGGGATTGATGAAGTGAATCTCTGGCAATATCCAATCTATCACAACAATAGGTCAAGTGATCCAACACATCTCTCAAATATAATTGAATTTCCTTATCAATAAATGGAAGAGGAACTCTGCTCGATACCAAATAGGTTATCATCTTTTGCTTGGGTAAAAGTAATTTTCTCAACACAATAGTTCTTCTCTTATTGAGAGCAATTCTCCACAATAAATCTTCCTTCTCAGTAGTATTTAGTGAAACAGTAAATTCGTCCAAAGTATCACATTCTCTCGTTAAACTGTCAACCTTTGGAATATAGACGTCAATGATGGCATCTAAGTAGGCATAGAAAACCCATGAAGGGCTTGGAATGGTTGTACTTTTTCTTTTACGAACAACATCAGCACTGTCATTCCTTCTTGGTGTTGATTCAGCACGGATCTTTTCAATAATATCTCTCTTTTCTCTAATGGATTTACCATGTTTGAGCTTTTTACGATGTTTGGCATCAATTTCAAATTCCTTTTCAATTCTGTTCATGAGTAGATCCATTCCTTCAATTGGCTTATCGTGAACCGTAATGATACAATTTTCAAATATCAGTACATTCAAGTGACATGGTAAATAATCATTACTTGCTACCTTATCAGCAATTTGACCTGTAAAAATCATAAACATGTAATTATCGAAAACTTCCCACTTTTCACCACTATCATTGTTAATCATATCTTCTGAGGTCAAGGAGTGAATTCCAAAATATTTCTGCAGTGTATGTATATCATCAGCACTGCTTTGTTGACAATCAATCCAAAATGATTCTGCATCTTGATTTTCGCCAGTGATGTGATCTAACATGTGTTGGGCTGTGTCAAATCTGTGGCACTCGTATCCCAAACCAACAACTATGAATCTCTTTTCTGCCTTTTCAAAACTTGGCATTCCTTTCAATATATCCCTAATATTTCTTCCAATGACATTATCCTTTTCATTTACAGCATTGGCAAACACATCAGTAGCAGAAGTAGGAGAGCTAGGAGTGGTCAAATCTATACTTGGTCCATTGTTTCCTTCAAAGATATCTGCTTCATCTTTACCGTCTGTTGACGGAGAGCCAATTGTAGATGGTGTTTCTGAAATACTACTCCTCACATCATCAACAGTTGTTGCATTATGTTGATCCATAATAATTGGTGTTGGTGCACTCATAAGAAATCCAAAAGCATGCGAAGACATTGGAGAAATCAATGAATGTGGAGTACTGCCACTACTATTCTTCATTTTCAGCTTTCTGTTTTCATCCAATGAATTAGGATCCACAGATAAATGATTTGGCTTTTTAGAATGTATCTTCTTAGTGTTACTCTGAGTCTTTTTGGATCTTGATTTCCTATCTGGAATTTTAATCGGTTCTGTTCTCATTACTGATTCATTATTTGTTTCTCCTCCATTATTTGTATTAGTAGATCGATTCTTTCCCTCTTCATCAGTATCAGAATTTGAAACTCCACTACTTTCATTATCACCAAATGTTACTTTCTTTCCGAATATTTCGGGTGATGAAGATCTTCTCCTTCTTTGTTCATCTCCAAGTGATGTAATATTAACATTATCATTCGATAGCATTGTACCTAGTGTTTCTGATGTATTTGTTGTTGTAGTTGTAGTGGTTGGTTGTGATTCTTGTTCTTCATCGGCAAGGCTTTCGGATGATGAGGCTACTTCGATTTGAATTTCTACAACCTCCTGGTCGTTAGGATCATTGTTAATAGAAGGACTATCGATGAATACATCATCATCATTGGTAGTATTCTCTGGTGGTTGAAGTCTTCCGTTTATATTGTTAGAATTTTGTGATGAGGGTGAAGAGTTTGAGAGAATTTCCTCTTTGTAAAATCGCGACATTTTTTGATATATAATAATACTAATAATTGTTATTTAAAAAAACAGATTAAACAATTAGTGCAAAAGACCTAATTGAATATTTGCTATTCTTTTTAAGGTATAAAATATTAAATAATTAATTTGTAATTTTTTTAGAATTTATATTTTAATAATTAAAATCACAAGTTGCTCAGCAACATTCCCTGTGGTTCTTGTGACGATGAAAAAGTATTGTTATTGTGTGTAAAAAGCTTGTGAAAAATTAATTCTTATAATTGACATCCATAAAGTAGTCTGCCTTACGTCTCCATCTTGACAATGGTTCCAAAGCAGCTTCTTCTAAAATAACAGGTGTCATTCCTAAATCTTCAAATCTCATTACATTTTGTGGCTTTTCCTTTGGAAGAACATGGTCAAAGCTCATTCTGATTGGCAAGTCAGAAGTCCAACCAGGAGTATGTGTGTATTCGTTAATATAACCAACAAGTTGTCCGACAATTTCAGGTATCATAACCTTACCACCTGGCTTTTCATCTATAATTCTAGCAACAGTATCGACAAGTTGAGACCAAGTGAAAACTTCAGGACCAGCCAATTCAACAGTCTTTCCTACAGTTCTACTATTTAATACAGTTCTGGCAACAGCACGACCAACATCACCAACAAAAACAGGTTGGACTTTAGCTTGACCCTTTTGTGTGAGTGGAATGAGTGGGAAAATTCTAATTTGTTTAGCAATTAAATTCAAGAAACCATCTTCTGTTCCGTAAGCGTTAGCTGAACGAACAATGGTAGTATTATCAAAATTGCTCAAAGCAGCTTCTTCAGCCAATCCTTTTTGTTTCCAATATTCGGATTCAGAGTTTTTATCAGCGTTCAACAATGACAATTGAATAAATCTATCAACATTTGTTTCTTTACAGGCTCTAGAAATAATTTCTGCTGATTCAACATTGGAATTGTAGACTGTAACATTGTCGAAAATTCTCTTATGATCACGACCAATACAGTTAATAACAACATTAGAACGAGCACAAATATCGAGTATAGAATCGTATCTCTTCAAGTCAAATCTCATAGCAACAACTTGACCGACGTCTCCCATACTTCTCTGGTTCACAATATCGAATTCATTTCTTCTCCAAGGTGTAATAACTTGATAACCAGCATCAGCAAGTGCAGCAACAACATATCTACCAACAAATCCTGTACATCCGAAAACTGTAGCGACAGGGAAGGTAGTATGGGTGTTAACACCAGCAGCACTTCTGAAAGCGTCAATATCTTGTCTACCAAATCTCTTTGTGATAGTATTTGTCTTGATATCACTCACTTGATGAAATGATGATGAGACTTTTTTGATAGAATTGGCGAGTCTGCAAGTTTTGTTCATTTTTTAAAAGACTTTAAAAAAATTACAAGAAATTATTTTTTAAAAAGATTTAAAAACTACCATGAGAAGCTTATTGTCATCGTGATGAATACATTGATAATTAAATAGTTGATCTTTAATAATCTTTAATAGTAAAGATAATTCTACTCATCCTTCCGTTCACTCTCCTTTATTTTTCAACATGAATATTATTTGATTGGCTGAAATGCATTTCATCTCTTTTCATCCACCTTCACCAATCTCCTTCCGAAATATTTTAAATCAAATCCTCTCTTCCTACACACTAGTAACACAATAACTAATCATCCAATCCAATAATGACAATGATTCACTCTCCCAAACATGGTCCTAACATACTATTTTTATAGCCTCAATATTTCCATCCTTAGACTTCCTCAATATGTACAATAGAAAAGAACGCAAACATCTCTCTACCTGCTTAATTCAATAGCTTGGCGAATACTGGAAAGTACTCCACGCACATGATGATGAACATCAATGATGGCAATTTTGACTGTTCCTGAACGTTAAAAGTACAAATTTAAAAATCTACAGTTATGCATTAGAGAGAACAAACAACTCTCCAGAGAAAAAAAAATGTACATAGCAACTGGAAGCGGAAGAGACTCGTTTATATTCCTTGGTCCTCAGGAAAGGCATGGAAAGTATGGAAAACTCATCAAGAATGTTCATTCAGAACAAAAACAGACAAGAATTAATGAATTTTGGGATAAGGCAGATAAGAGAGAGGATAAATATACTCTACCATCAGGTAATAGAGAGAAGGAAAATTCGGCAACTACAAGGTTTAAGGTTCAGGGAGCTCCTTCTGAATTGGACGATAAAAAGTGGTTCTCCACTACCACTAGTGCAAATGGTGGTGTAAAGAATGCTTCCTATAATTCGAGTTCTTTGGCAAGAAAAACAGCCCAAGATATAACCCTCTCCGAACCAAGAATTCCAAAATATAGTGGTCATGTACCAGGATTACACAATGTGGTTGGTGCTAGTCCTCACAGCTCAAAATTCCAAGAGAGAAGTTATCAATCGATGGACTTTGGAAAGAGCTCTTCTTTGGATGGGTTCAATAATACAGTTTCGTTACCATCTCTTTCCAGATCATCAACAGCTAGCTCATCAAACAGGCAACAACCTGAGACTTCATTCAGAGTTTCATCTTCGAGTAGAACTTTTACCAGATTTGTTTCTCCAGTTAGATCGTCCATTCAGACACACCATTCTGGTAGCTTTGCTGGTCACGTTCCTTCTTCAGTGTCTGGTTTTTCAAACTATGAATTGTCTACCTCTATGAAATATTAATTTATTTGACCGTTTGAATGCTATTATCATTAATCTGAATCAATAGAAATATTCATCAAGTCAACCTCAACAAATTAATCACATCAATAAACACGCTTTTTTTCAGCTCTTCATTAATTGTTATCGTGTGTAATTTGAGTATTCATTTCGTCAATGGTATTTGCGTCCTTTTTTGCTTGGCCTTTTTTACTTGAAGAAACAGAGAGAATCATTAATTTCATATTACTAACAGCTCTAACTCCTTCATCAGATAAATTGTTCTCACCAATATCAAGATTGGTCAATTTGCTCATCTCACTAACGCATTTAGCTCCAATGTCAGAAATATCACAGTTGAAAAGTTCAAGTGTAGTCAATTGTTTCATATCACTAATAAATTTAGCTCCTTCATCACCAAATTGATTCCAAGCAATGTTAAGGTCAGTTAACTGTTTCATTTCGCTGATTTTTTGAGCTCCAATAGGGTCAATGTTACAACTATTTATATCAAGAATACGTAATTGATTCATTCCACTGATATATTCAGATCCTTTGTGACGAATATTATTGTTGCTAATATCGAGATCAGTTAATTGTTTCATTTCAAGAATATGTTTGACACCTTCATCACCAATATTATTTTCACCAATATTAAGACGTGTCAATTGTTTCAATTCAGATAAATGTTTTGTTCCAACATCACCAATATTGTTGAAATGAATAGAGAGTTCAGTTAATTGTTTCAATCCACTAATAAATTTAGCACCTTCTTCTTGAATATTGTTATTGTTAATTTCAAGATTGGTCAATTGTTTCATTTCACTGATATATTTAGTCCCTTCTTTACCTAGATTGTTCAATCCAACACTGAGAGTGGTTATTCTTTTCATTTTGCTTATATGATTGGCTCCATTTGCTACAATATCATTGCCATGAATATCGAGAATAGTTAAATTATCTAGTTCACTAATATACTTGGCTCCTTCCTCACCAATCCAATTTCTCGAAATATTTAAACTTGTTAAATTATGTTTCATTTCTAGAATATCCTGAACTTGTTGTAAATTAATACAACTTTCAACACTGAGAATTCTCAATCCTTTCATCAATCTAAATATTTTACAATCAAAATTTTCATCCGGATGAAAAAATTTCTATTCACTTGCAGAGTTTCAATATTTTCCAAAAATTCACCTTTCAATTTCTGGTCATTCTCACAAATAAATAAAAGTTTAGATAGTTCCCGCACAACAGCAAACCACTGTTTCGAAACTAATGCACAACTCACCACTGAAAATTTAAACTCATTACAAAAAGATAAAATCTCCGAAAGCACATCATTGGAAAATACATCATCCGAAAGTTTCTTTTTTACTAATTCCTCTTTTTCATTATTGATAATTGAAGAATTAATTTTTCCTCCGAAAGAATTTCAAAATCTTGACGACTTCGTTTGCTCATTTTTTTTTTGTAAAATTCTCAAATGAAATCCTTGTAAGATATCTAGTCTGTTGAATAGATATTTGTGTTTTACATTGATGTGGGTTATTTTTCACTTGCAACATGAACACCAGTCCAATTTTCAGGAGGATTCTGTATGTAATAGTTGCATCTCTCAATCATTGTTTGAGTGGCCTTATCACCAGCAAACAATTTAGCACATGTATTGAATTCCATGCAAGCTTGTTCAAAGCTTCCAGCAAAATATTGATCCAGAGCTGATTCATATTTCTGAATAAAAGCTGCCTTTTCTCCTTTGGCATAAAATGTTGAAGAAAATTCCAAATTTTTAGATTGAAGCTCATAAACAGTGCATCCTACACTCTTTCCTTTTACACTGACCTTGTCCAACTTTCTCAATGTAAATGTTTCAAATATTTCAGGTTGACCAGCAGTTGACTCACTAATCATCACCTCAGTTCCATAGACCTTATTTTGTCCTTCCAAACGAGAAGCTAAATTTACAGCATCTCCCATGCATGTATAGTTCAATCTCCAGATACTGCCAATATTTCCAACAACGCAACTTCCAGTATGCAATCCAATCCTACATCTAAACAAGGGTTTTCCTTCTAAATCCCATTTTTCTCTCAATCTTCTCATAGCGGTTTGGCATTTGATAGCTGCTCGACAAGCTGGAAGAGCTGTATTCATCATTGCTGAAGGTGCTCCCCACAAGGCCATTACCGAATCACCTAAAAGAATATAAGAGTTAATTATTTAACACACTACTTACCAATATACTTATCGAGAGTTCCTTGCTCTTTAACAATTTCTTCAGTCATGACATGAAAATATTCACTGACATGGGTGATTAACAATTGAGGAGGAAGCTCTTCACTCCATGTTGTAAAGTTCTCCACATCTGAAAATAGAATGGTAATATTATCCAACATTGCTCCACCAAGTTTCATTTCAATTCCCTTTTCGACCATTTCAACAATCAAGTGTTTTGGAACAAATCTCATAAATGATCTCAATGTTGTTTTCATCTTATCAAAAGCTTCACCAAGTTCAATAATTTCTCTAATTCTAGTTTTTAAAGGTAAACTTCTATTTACCTCCAATCGAGAAATAGCCTTACTTTCATTGGAAAAGTAACCAAGAGGTCGAGAAACCTTCACTGAAATATAGTAAGCTATAACAATACTAACAATCACGAAAATAACACTAACCACCACATTGAGGCCAGACATTAATAATAAATTTCCAATAAAGTCTGTCTCTGGTGCTGAGATGAATACCAACCATTCAACATTGAACCCCTCTGAGGATGAAACAACATCAAAGCTCATTAAATTAACAGCTCCATAATGAAAACGATTCAAGGACTTTCTACCAGCATAGACCTTCTCTGTGGTAGATGGAATAATGTTAACGATAATATGTCGTAGCATTTCATTTGGAATTTCTTCAGCTTCAGGAATACTTAATGAACCATCACTATTCTGAATGACCAATGTTTTTAAATCCTTGTAGGCAATAACTCTCTTCCTGTATGTTCCATCTCCATTCTTATTCAGCTCAATAATACCCAAAATTCCATTCGTAGAAAATTTAAATGATTGTACAAATTCCACGAGTTGCTTGATAACAACAGTAGTGCTGACAACACCAATATATTTTGAACTATTAAAGGGAGAGTAAATGGATTCCTGATATGAAACATAAACCTGTTCTTCCACATAATCAGCAACTTGAAGTGCTATTGGTGTTATTGCCTTTTCATAAATGTGAGATAATTTGTAATATTCGTCATTTCTTGGATCGTAAACTGATGGATAATCCTCTTTTTTTGCAATTGCAATAAATGTTCCATTTCTAGTCAATTGATACGTATCTAGATAGGTAGTATTCGAAGAGGGATTAAACACAAAGTAGAGCTTTTGTCGTTTTTCATAATACTGTCGATACCAAGGTAAATTAGTATCACTGGAATAATCTGAAGAGTCCACTGAATTGACATATAGATAATCTCCATTAGGAGGTGTAAAATCCATCAAAAAGACCAACAATTTATGTTGGGAGTGTGTCCTTGCCAATATTTTGAAAATTGTTTGATAATTTTCAGAACTGTAAAACAAATCATCACTTGTTTCCTTCATATAGTAATCATCAAATACTTGCTGACGTTGAGCAGCTGCCAATATAATACACGTATCCAAATAATTCGAAACATAGGTATTTGCCTTCTCTACTGCACTTGTAACAACGAGATTTTCAATCTGATTGGCAGTAATTAATGAGAAGGTAATTGAAATAATGGTCAATAAGAGAATTGGCGACAAAATCAATGTACACATAGCCCCCAGCAGTGAGAATTTAAAACTAATATAGAGAGTTTGCTGTTGGAGTCCATAAACACTGGTGGAAGCTTCCGTATCAGCATCAAACATTTCATTGCCGACTATAACTTGTCCAAATGATGAAGGAGGCAATGAAACATTATTACTATTATTGGTGTTATTGGTGTTATTAATGTTATAAAGTGAATATTGCGAAAATCTTCCTTCTTCTGGAGCAGAATTTTGTTGTTGGAAATGTTTCCTAGCTAGCTCGGGTTGTATTCTATTGCCTTTGCCAGTCATCAATAATTGTTGTAATTGTTTTTCATAATATTAAATTAAATTAGCAGCAAGCAACGATCATCATTGTAGTGTAATGTTCAGAGATGGAAAAAGCATTTGATGGTGTTTGATGGAAATTAGAGTTTCAATATTTAATAAAAGGAGCACTGAGAGGTTGATGTCCACCTTCACTGATGAAATTACAATGATTGTTGTGATGAAAACTCATGATGTTGTACTACATTTTTTTAGTGCAGGCCAAGTTCTAACAAAACTGGAAGTTGAGGAAGTAATGGCAATGATACCAGTGCTTTGAATAGGAGCAGTTACACTTTTTGTTGTTGAGGAAGTAATTGAGCAATAGGTAGTTGATGAGGCAATTTCTCAGGTTGGATCATAAGACATACAAACAAGATTGTCATAGACTTGCAAGCGTTGAAGATCAACCTTAGATAAAAAGAACGAACTGATAAATGAATAATCGATTAATATTGTTCAATAATAATACATAACAATTTAACAGCAACTTTCTAATCGTGTAACTATGTGAGAGTTTCAATCAAACAAATCAATGAATTTCTAAGGTTCTGATAATTGAAATTCAAAAGCCACAATATTAAAAAATTCCAACCTTGTTAAAAACTCAAAAGATTCTTTCTAGTTGCCCGATTTGAGGTGGCATTCTTCCATCACCCATCGATTTTCATCAAATCAACAACAGCATGCTTCTTCACAACTTGACCTGTGATGACGATGATGGAAGGACTATTATCACACACAACAAAAAAATTAGATCAAACGTTTGCCACCATCATAGCAAAGAGGGTAATTCATATTCGTTGTTGTTAACCATTATACCACAATAGTAGTAGTAACATTGTTATCTTTGCTATTGAACAGTGTCTGCGGATTCTTGTTCATATATCTTTAAAGAATCCAGTAGTAGCAGTATAGATAATCAAAAGGCTGCTTATCATATATTTTCCACTAAATATCTTTCCTAATCTAAACCCTATTTAATTTATTAAAAGATGAACAACAATTCATCATCATCAACAACCAATAGTAGTAGTAGTAGTTGGCAAGCAGTTCGTGAATGGCTCCTCGTGAATGATAAACAACAAGACACATGGGAACAAACTCTCATCAAAAAGTTGTTGAATTCCTCCTCCGATTTTAACAAGTCCATCCTCATTGTCGAAGATTCACTCCATGAAGGATCTTCCACATTGGAAAATCTATCCTCCATCTACTCTATCAAAAACACCACCCTCTCAGCAGCAGATTCCAATACTAGTATTTATGCTGTTTTCCAAGTAAGAATTGAAGGAATGACTTGTGGTAATTGTTCGGGATTGGTCACTAGAGTAATGAAAGGATATTTGAGTGACAGATTTAATTCAAGTCAAGAGAGTGTGATTGGAAACTATTTCCATCATGTGAGTCTGGAAAAGAAGAGATTAGTTTGCATTGTTAGGAGTGATTGTTTGGATCCATCGAAAACACATGAGGATGAAATTATGCAAATCATAGCCCATATCAAGGATAATACTAGCTTTGATCCTTTTCCAATCAAGTCGTTTTATAAGACGCTGGAAGCAAATGCAAGTGTGTCAATTGTCAGAGCTGGTTTTGAAATTGATCATGAATTAATTACTGAAGAAGTTTTGCAAGGAAAAACAACAAGAAACAAAAGAGACACTGTCATTCTTGTAAGCGACAAGAAAGATATGGCTAAACAATCGTCACCACAAGAAATATCAAATGCTCTCAACGATGCTTTGAACAAAACACCAACATTAACAACATCAACCATGAAAAATGATGATGATGAATTCGAGGAAGTGATTGATTTGAATAGAGACAGTTTGGATAATGAACCAAGTAGTTTTGCTGGTCTTTTGGATGATGAAAGTGATGAAGGAAAAATTCCAAAATCTGCCAGCAAGGCATCCTTCTTTGATTCAATTTTGAAAGCTGTTGGACTCTCACATAATATTTCTAATCCATATACACGAGTTGGATTTGATGAGGAGGCTAGTCAAGAGATTGAATTAGTGGACAATAGTGGAAGTTTAGATCTAAATGTAACAGGTATGCACTGTTCGTCATGTGTATCAAAAGTAGAGGGTACATTAAAGAAGGTGAATGGTATCAAGAAGGTTTCTGTTTCCTTGATGACCAACTCTGCCACTGTAGATTATGATCCAGCCCTTCTCACATCTCAAGAAATCATTGAGGAAATTGAGTCTATTGGGTTCCAAGCTTGTAAAAAACCACCAAAAACAAAGAAACAAGACGCAGTTGACCAATCCTTCCTTATTATCAATGAATGGAAGATCAAGTTTATTGTTTCCCTCCTCTTGACCATTCCTGTTGTTGTTTTGACCATGTCCAACAAGAGCAAATACTCTGGTCAAGAACTTCAAATGTTCAGATTCCGATTTTCTGCATGGGAAAAGATCAAATATGTATTACTGAATTATGGATGTATGCTCTTGACATTTATTATTCACTTTATTACTGGTTGGCATTACCACAAGAATGCCTTCAAAGCTTTGAGAAATTACTATGCCGACATGAATGTACTGATATCATTGAGTACTAATGCTGCCTTTTTCTATTCTATTATTTTATTATTTATTAGTACTTTGGAAATGTTTGGAATTATTAATCAGACAGTATCCAAAGCACCATCCTATTTATTTGAAACTTGTGCCATGACTTTAATGTTCCAAAATCTTGGTAAATATCTGCATTCTATTGCAAAGAACAAAACAACTGAATCTCTCTCAGCACTGGCTCAACTTCAACCTGCCAAGGCCAATATTGTTGAGAATGTGAAGGATGAATCTGCTCTATCTTTCAGTGCTAATACGAGAGAAGTTTTCGTTGAGGAAGTTTCTGTTGGAGACTATGTCATGGTCAAATGTGGACACACTATTCCTTGTGATGGAGAAGTTGTTCTTGGACAATGCTTTGTCAATGAGAGTATGCTCACAGGAGAATCAAAGAGAATTTACAAAAAGAAAGGAAGTAAGGTTCTAGGTGGTACTGTAAATGAACAATTTTCTGGCAGTGAAGATGGTGGAGTTATTATTGTGAAAATCACCAAGACTGGTCAAGATAGTGTGTTGGGACAAATTATCAACCTCGTACAACAAGCTCAACACAATAAGGCTCCTATTCAAGAGTTTGCCGATAAGGTCTCTAAAGTTTTCGTTCCTATTGTGGTGGCCTTGTCTCTTTTCACCTTTGTAACTTGGTACTTCTTCTCTGTGACTGGTACTGTTAATAATGGAGCCAGTAGAGTTGATTCTATCATGTTTGCCCTCATCTTCTCCATGTCAGTTCTCAGTATTTCCTGTCCTTGTGCGATTGGTTTGGCAACTCCAACAGCAGTTATGGTTGCAACAGGTATTGGAGCATCTAATGGTATTTTGGTGAAGGGAGGACTTCCATTAGAAATTGCACACAAGGTGAATTGCATTTGTTTTGACAAGACTGGTACAATTACTAAAGGAAAGGCTTCAGTTGTGAATTATGGATTCTTTGCTGAAGATGCTTCAAAGATTGGTATTAAGGAACAAGAGTTTTTCGAAATTCTTGTCGGAGCTGAAAGAGCTAGTGAACATCCTTTGGCTGAGGCTATTGTCAAGTATTTCTCACCAAAGATTGAACATCACGTCGATCATACTGACACTTCTCTCAGTATCATTGGAGGAAAAGGTTTAAGATACATCTATACAAATAAGAGTGATATGAAGCAAAATACTGTTCTAATTGGTAAATCCTCATTCCTCAGTCAAGAAGGTGTCATTGTTACTGATACCAAAGATCAGAAATTTGAAAATACCAAGAAGAGTCTCAAGGAGGGCCATACTGTTGTTTTCTGTTCTGTAAATAATAATTTGATTGGTTATGTTGCTCTCTTTGATGAAATGAAACCTGAAGCCAGAGAAGTCATCAAGACATTGACTGAAGATTTTGGAATTAGGTGCATTGTTATGAGCGGTGACAACAAGCAAGCAGTTCAACAATCTGTTTCATTACTAGGCTCCAAATTGGAATACCTTCACGATAAGACACCAAGTGAAAAATGCCAATTTATTGAATCACTTAAAAAGCAAGGTTTTACTGTTGCTATGGTTGGAGATGGCATTAATGATTCACCATCTTTAAGTGCTGCTGATGTAGGCATTGCCATTGGTGACGGAACTGATGTTGCCATTAAGAGCTCTGACATCATCTTGTTAAATTCTGATTTGAGAGATGTAGTCACAACCATTGACTTGTCTAAAAAGACCTTCTCTAGAATTAGACTCAATCACTTACTTTCTCTTGGATATAACTTGTTCATGATTCCATTGGCATGTGGTGTATTGTGGCCTTTCTATGGTATTGTTTTGCCACCTTATTTATCTTCCATGTTAATGATGTTCTCCAGTTTGAGTGTTTTGGCAAGTAGTTTGTCTCTTCGTCTCACTTTCAATAAGAGAAAATAAATGAAAGATTAATTTATTTACAATGTATTTCTAATAATTTTAATAGTGCAATGATTAATGTCCAAAACCATACAGAGTTCTTCCATGTCTTCTCAATGAATAGACAATATCCATCGATGTTACAGTTTTCCTTCTGGCATGCTCTGTATAGGTAACAGCATCTCTAATAATTCCCTCCAAGAAATTCTTCAAAACTCCTCTGGTTTCATCATAGATTTGTCCAGAGATACGTTTCACACCACCTCTTCTGGCCAATCGCCTAATGGCTGGCTTTGTAATGCCAGTAATATTATTTCTTATCACTCTATTTGTTCTCTGAGAGTAAAATGCATTGAGAAATTAAGTATTCTGTTGAACTACCTACTTTGAATCCACCCTTGCCAAGACCTTTACCTCCCTTTCCTCTTCCTGTCATTTGATGTTGAGATTTTTTTGTTTTTATTTGGTTTTGTTATTTTTGAGTAGGGAAATGAACTCTCAGTTTAACGAATGTTCCAAATTATTTCGTAATTAGGCAAAGTTGAGTAATATATTTACAATAAATGACAAAAGCATTTACAGTTAGTAAGTTTATTTACAATTTGCGGAGTTACTAAGCGCCATGTAATTTTCTGCAGATAATTAAATCATGAAAATATTTTATCATACGAAAGACTAAGTGTATGAATACTATTGGAAAGATCAGCAATTCTTGGATAATGTTAAAATGGAATGATTAAACTTATATGCAGTTTCGTATAGTTTTCAATTCCAAGTTCCATTTTCAATGAATGTTACCAATGCAAAATTTTGGTCAATTAGGTAACCCATCACTTCCGTTCCATTTCATTCAGTGTTAAACAAATCCAATACCTTCAAAATCAAAAAAAAATATAACAACATTCCTCTGTTTTTTCACTATTCGAAACATGGTCAGAATAACCGATTTCAAAAAGACATTCACTTGTCCAAAATGTCAATCCCAAAACGATAACGCCACCATCAAACAAGCAGAAAATTATGTAGTCACAAGAGAATGCTCCTCATGCTCTCATCAGCAAACTCTTTTCATTCCAGCAACTTCAGGTTTAATTCCATTAGAAAGGTCAACCAAAGCTTGTACTGCCACATGTTCCTGCACACAATTCAGACCTACCCATAATGATGGAATTACTTGTGAGTGTGGACATTTGGGAAGTTATCATGGACATTCCTATGGTTTGGGTAGAGATTTAGTGATGAAGAGTTCACTCATTGATAATGGAATTCTTTCTTTTGATGTGGATAGTTGTGCTGATATGGTGGAGGATAATCAATAATTTTAATAATTGAATGTAAATTTGATGATGAATGTGGATGATTGGTTCTTCAATAAAAAAATGTCTCACAACAGAACAGGCAAATTTGATGATGGAGAATAATTTTATTAATGTATTATTATATAATTAATATGAAAGTTTAAAATATATTAGCTGTTTTTCGGAATAATGTTTGGTGGCCAAGTAATGGCTTGATATGGTGCAAATTGTGCAACTGTAGTGGTTAAGCTTGCTCACTTACAAATCCTGTAAATTCTGATGGCGCCAAATCATCGTCCATGATTTCTTGTTTGAAAACACAAAAGAATTTGCCTTGATCAAAACGAGTTCATGCTTGCGAGGAATTCTTCAGCGAGCAAAAATCATATGCAACACAAGAATTCATCAACAAAAAAAATCAAACAACAACAATTGTCCTATTTTCACAATGTTGAATAATAATAGAACATTTAAACCACCAATAATTGATAATAATGTAACTCTTGGTTTGGGTCCTGACAGAATGGGTGTTTTATTCACGGATATGTTGACAGCCATTAGAATTCCTGCCAATCATTGGTTATTAGCTTTGATCAGTGGTGGTAGTGGTGCTGATGATCAACAAGTGAGAGTAAAGCTTGTGCATGAAACGTTCCGATATGTAAATTCAGAACCAACTCTTGAAATGAGCCAGGAAATTGACTTGCAGTTCCAAGTCATGTCACGATTGATTTGTATTCCACCAAATCAACAACAATTGATAGAATATTATAGAAATACATTGCCATCAGCAGATTATCTTCTTTTTGAGAAGTATCACAAGTGGAATATAAGAATTGAATCGGTGGTTTACCAAAGATATGTGACTCTTGATGTTGTGTTAATTTGCCAAAATGAAAAAGAACTTCCAAAGAATTCATTGGAGTATTTAATGAAGACAGCTCCATACACGTTTAGAGATTTCCGTCTTCTTTATGAAAATTGTGAATTGTACAGTAATTTATTCAAGGTTGACTGCGAAATGTTTCAACAATTCTTTGGACGAAACTATCCTCTTGTTTGTACAGTCAAAGATGTAGATTCTAATCCAAATATTATTGGAAATAATAACATGTCCATTCAAAATTCATTCTCAAGATTTGCCAGAATATTAATGGATTTGAATTTGGGCAAATGTATGATGATTGTGAAATTCGAAACTAAAGATGACAACATCAAAAGAAAGTGGTGCGAGAATGGGATAAGCTACGAAGGCCATTGCTACAAATTCTTTAGCACTTCCAACTCTGGAATGAAAGGCAGCTCTGCAGTTTTTATCAACTCAACCTTACTCAACTTGGAAACTGTCAAACTTCTCGTTGGAAGCTCCTTCGACAAGGCATTACAGACAGGTGGTGTCAGAAAGGTAGCAAGCAGAATTGGTCTCAGTATTGGAACAAGCATTCAAAGTTTAGCAACTTTTGAATTTGATCAAATTTTCTGTCTTCCACAGAACATCGAAGATGAGTTTCCAATAACTGATGGTTCTGGATTAGCAAGATCTGATTTCTTTGAGGAGATTTTAGAAAAGACCTATGCCATTCCTTATTTCGAAATGGAAAAATTGGCAAAACATCCAGAAATGAAACTCTCCAGAAGGTTAGAAACTGATTACAAAAACGTGAGTGCCATTCAAGTGAGAATGCTTGGAGCCAAAGGAGTTTTACAAAAGATTCCAGATTCATTGTGGAAAGTATTGCAAGTCAAGTGGAAATTCCCAGATTCAACAAAGGTGATTTTGAGAAATTCAATGATCAAGTTTGAAACTGCTTATTACAAAAAGATTGATGTATTGAGTTATTCATCTGCTACGGGAGGGTCGATTTCAAGAGGAGTCATGTCTTGCTTATTGGAGAGGACAGATCACAGAGAGGAAATGGAAGAAATTTTCATGAATGATCTCGACGATTATTTGAAAGAAATGGAGGACAATAGAAATGATCCAATCTATGTCTGCAACTATCTTTTAACTGGAACAGGTAATACAAAGGAAGGATTGGCCAAACAATTGATTATGGCAGATCATCCACTCAATAATTATTTCATTGATTCAGTAATTAGAGAAAATATCAAAACAAGACATTTGGGATTAGTCAATGATAATCTTTCTTTCAAAATCAACAGTCATTATTGTGTCAGTGCGTTGGGAGGTGTGGATGAAAGTGGGGAACTCAAAGAAGGTGAAATTCACATTAATTGTGATGCCTTTACAAATAGCCCATACTATCTGGAACTCGATTACGTTTTAGTTTATAGAAATCCTTTGGGGTATGAGGGTGATATTCAAAAACTCAAAATTAAGAAAAATCCTCAATCAGAATTCCTCAAATCAAGACGAAACTCAATCACCTTTGCCATGTCCAAGGGCACTAGAAATCCTATTGGATTTATGCAAGGCGGTGATTTTGATGGTGACAGATACAATATCATTTTCCATCCAAAGATTGTGAAATATTTCAAGCAAGACGAAAGTTTGAATTTGGATTATAATAATAATGATATTTACGAACAATTTAAAAAGAATGAATCTATTTCCAGTCTGGAGACGATACCTGTTATGCAACCCAACACCAACCCAACCATTCAAGACATTATTGAAGAACACATTAACATGTTCACTGAAAATTCTCCAATAGGTACTTTAAGTGGTTACACATCTAACCTTAGAGAAACAACTGATATTCCAAAGAAAAAGTTGGCTTCCAAGCTATTCGCAGATTGTATCGATTCTATTAAGGGAAGTTCATTCCCTTATGACCTGATTAACATTGTAAAATCGAAAATTCCTGAATGGGAAGAGTATTTGAATGAAAGAGTTAAGAAGAGTGAATTTTGGAAAGATGAAAATCTGTCAAATCCACAACCTAATCATTTAGTGTGTAGAATGTTTGATATGGTAGTACAATCGTTGAAGAAAATCACTGAAGATCCAATTAATACTCAACTCGATCCTGATTTTGAAACACCTAATCCAAAATATTTGAAATTCCATACTCAATGGAAACAAGAATTCGAAAATCTTTTCAAAGAATGGTGCAATTATTGGACAAAGCAATTATCAGCCAATCCAGAAACAGAAAAGGACAAATCTGAAACTAAATCACACAAGAGAATTTTACTGAACAAAATTAAGGAAATTCTTCCACTGCAAGAAGAAAAAAGTGAATCAATTGACTGGCGTGCAAAATTCAATGAAGGAACAGATGGCAATGATATGAGATGTGAAAAGGCAGCATTCTTTATGAGGTATAATCATGTGCAAAATCAGAAAGGTTTAATCAAGAGATTGCAAAGTCCTTTCGTCTATACTTGTTGCATGCTTTATTTGAATATTTACAAGCAATTCAAACAATTTGAAAAATTTGGAAAAATTCCACAGATTGTTTCATCCAATTACAAAGTTTCTCTCAAGAAACAACTTTCGAATATCACAAGAACAACACCTGTAGAATAAATTGTTAATTATTTGTTTCAGAAATATTCATGTTACATGTACAAAGACTAGTTTTATGAATTTATTTGAAAATTAGTTTTCAAACCTCCAAGCTAGAAGGTTCCATAAAACAATCTCTTCAATATATTTTTCACTTTCCGAATCCTTCGAATCTTTCACATGTCATCAAGTCACTTCCCCAATTTCACATCATTTCAAAAAAAACATTAAAAAAAAATGTCTTCTACATGGAAACGTGTCCCTGAAAACACTCTCGGCACCGTCCTCTACTCACGTGCCAGTGAAGGTCGTTACCAAATTACACTCAACAAGGGAGATCGTGTTCGTGTGCAGGCAAAGAAAGATGGTTGGTTGTTGGTTGAGTTGATTGATCCATTTGAAGAGCAACAAGAATTGGTATCACCTAGAGGAGGTGTGTCTAATACTTCATCACCTACTGCTATTTCGAATAGTACTTCGTCTTCTTCGGATAATTTGGAAGGTGCTAGAAAATTTTCTATTCGAAAGGCATCAGTTGCGCCATCAACACAAACAACTAATCCACAACAACCAACAAGTAGAGTTTCGGCTGCTGCCTCTAAATTTGGTGGAACTACAACTCCTCCACCAAGACCTTCGAGACCAAATCCAAAATCTGCTGCTGCTTCGTCTCAACAAATATCCGAAAGTGATTCTCCTTCATTGGAACAGAAAAAATCACAACTTTTGAAACATATTGTTAGAATTGGTATCTATCCAGAGGTTTTAATTCGATTGGATTCTGATCAATCTTCACCAACTGCTCAAAATGAAAAGAGCAGAAAATTGCCAACTTTTGAACAAGCTGTCGAATTTTCTGAAAATCCATTGGCTCGTGAAATTTTGCAAGTTATTAGAGAATGGTCAAGTGAATTGATTAAATTAAAGAATGAGAATATGATGGAAGAATATTATGCAGTAAAACGTCAAATGGCAATTTTAGTTGGTTTGAGAAAGAAGATTACAGATTACAATTTCCAAAAAGATGCAGATGAGAATCAAAAAGAAGAAATTAGTCAAAAGGTCATTAAGGTTATTGAAGAGGGTTCTAGAAAGTTGAATTTGGATTTGATTGTTCGTGTGAATGATGGTCCACAAAAAGGTCAACGTGCCAATGAATCCAACACTTCAGTTATTGATCTTTTTAATCAATATATGGATGTACAAGATAAGGAAGATATTGCAAAGAGAAATCGTAAAGTTCGTGAAGAATTGAAACATTTGAGATCTCAATTCCTTTCAAATCAATCAAAGAATAACGCAACCACTCAACTTGAACAATTACAAAAGAAGGAAAATGATTTGGTTTTGAAATTGGATTCAAACTTCCCAATTAATGATCCACTCCAACGTGCAAGATTGAGACATGAACTTCCACGTGGAAATGTTCATCTCCTTCTCAATGTCGAAGCTTGTATGTTCACATTCGGTGAGGATGCTGAAATTTTCTTCTCCGTTTACAATTACACTGAAAAGAGATACATTACAGAAGATTTTGCTTATCCTGTCACTCCACTAGGTATGCCACGTGACACTCGTCTCATTACCAACACAAAAACACTCTTTGCCGATATTTCCGAATCTCAATACCTTCAAGAATTGTATTTGGTTGTGAAAATCTATCGTAAAGGTAAAATGTTATTCGACATGAAGGCCAACACTAAAAAAACAGGTCTTCCTCCTATGGGTAGTGGAATGATGATGGCTAGTGCCTCAGCTGACGATATTGAAGAAGAAACCAGTTATAGAAGACCATTCTGTTGTACATTAATGCCAATTACTCCAGAAGTTATTGCAGAACACATGATGGATGAGAGAGAATTCCAACCTGGTACACTAGTTCTCTACACCACTCCAAAGGAAGATTTATTCTCCAAATTGCCAGATATTATTATTGAAGGAGGTGGTCCAATTGAAAGAATTCCACAAGATAAGGCCATTGGTATTGGTATCTCATTGAAATTATTCAACAAACCACTCGATAAGGTCTTGGAAGAAAATAAGGATACTCTCTCAATGCAATCTCAATGCTGTATTACAAAGTGTATAGATTTGCCAACTAGTTTCCATCCAAAAATTGATAGAAATGACATGTATATTACATTCACTAGAGGTAAATTCCTTGAAACTCGTAACGTCAAGATTATGACAAAGGTTTATTCAAACTCTACAAAGAATACTATTCAATGTATTGATAGATATCAATGTCTATTCAAAACACCATTCACACACTATCACAGTTCAATTCTCTATCACGTTCCAAATCCTAATTGGAATGAAACATTCAAAATGTCGCTCTCTCAAGAAGCTCTCCTCAATTCAGTCCTCGTTATCATGCTCTCCAACTGTACTGCCAAGAAGAAGCAACTGACTGAAAGATTCGGTGTTGCCTTCTTGAATTTGAAGGATGATTTGGGTATGGTTTCAAAGGGTGAAAATGACACTGGAATAATTCACGTTCCAGTTCACAAATACATCAAGGATATGGAAAAGAATATTTTCGAATATGTCAACTCCCCATCCAAGTTGGCACCTACCAAGGATTACATTGTTATCAAACTCAAACTTTCCTCCACTCAAATGACACAAGATGCAACTCTTGATACTTTCATTCGTTGGGAAACCAAACAATATCCAACTCGTTTGATTTTGGATAACTTCAGCAAGCTTCCACTCTCAACAATTGCTCCATACTGCAAAGTTGTTTGCAATACCTTGTTTGATATTCTCACCAGAAAGAACGATTCAGAAACTTCCAAGTCAGTATTCGAAACATTGCTTTCTCTTGCCAACAAATTGGTTCTTCCAGAAAATGCCGAACATCTTGCCATGTTTAAACAATATATTGCTGATTGTTTCGAACACAGTGATCCAGAAATTCACAAATGCTTCCTCGAATGTCTCATTTCCAATTTGGAGAACTTTGACGAAGAGGATGCCAAGGAAAGTTCTGAACAAGATGCTGTCAGAGATAAGGTAAAGACTGTTGTTACCATTGTAAAGGAAACTCTCCTGGGATTGCCACTCGTTTTGCTCTTCATTACAAAGAATAGAAGAAATTATGAAAAGGAAAATCTCAAAGGAGGTCTCTCCAATGAGGATTACTTCAAGACTGTGAAGGAAGTTTTTGAAAAGATTAGTAGAGTCATTTCAATTACATCTTGTCAAAAACTCTTTGATGCTCAAGATCAATTGATCAAATTATTGTCACCTTTCATTTTGAATGTTAATGAAGAGTTCCCAACTGCTAAGAAGACTAATATTGCCACATTGGTTAAAGATTTTATTGAATCCATTCCAAATACAGGTAGATTGGACACAGTTGAAGGAAAATTAGGTCTCATTCGTCAATGCTGTTCATCAGACCTTCTCAAATCAAGAGAAACAAGAACTGTCATTTTGCCAATGATTTTGAATCAAGTTGAAAAGCAAAAAGCTGTTTCAAACTCATTGAGTAGACGTGTCTGTTCTGGAATTTTGGCTGACGTCTTGGCTACCATTCAAAGGGCTCTCGTTCAAAGAAATGACAGTTATACAGAAGTTAAGAAGGACATGTATCTCTTCTTGACTAAATTGCCATACATTAGAACAATGTTTAATGAACTTGCCAGAGAAAGTGAAGAAGCAGAAGGAAGAATTTCAAGATTTGGCAAACGTGACGATTTGGAATCCTTCCAAGAACACAGAGAATACGAAAGAATTCAACAAACCAGAGCTCAACTCTTCTCAGTTGTCTTGTGTATCTTCTACTTGACTGATTTTGACATGATTCAAGAATATTTCCAACGTGACTTTACCGATGATGAAAAACTCCTCATTCAACAATACAAGGATGAAGATTTACATGAATTGGCCCACACCGATCACTCCAAAGAAACTGGTATGAAGAGAAAGGTCCTTCCAAAGGAAGATGCTGCTTCTAGAGTGAAAGCTAAGAGAGTTTCTGATATTTTCGAATTGATTGAATCAATGATTGATCATTCTCCAATTCCAGAATATTGGATTGCCTTCAACGTCTTTGCCTATCACAGTATTATGAAAACTATTGAAAACTTTTCAGAATATTTACAAAAACACCATGTCAGGACTTTCGATCCAAAGTTGTGGAATCGTTTATTCGATTTGTACTATAGATTTGCATTGTGTCCACGTTTGCAAATTGAAAAATTCTCACTTTCCAAGCAAACCAAGTTTAATTTACATGGTGATTTGAGAGTTGACTGTGTCATCTTATTCAGAAAGGTATTCGAAAGTTTGTCAACTGAACACCAATATTACTTTGTTCCTGATTTGATTGATAGAGTTTTGAGACTTGCTGCTTCAATTCCAAAACAAGAAATTTACGTTCAAACTCTTAATATTTATTATAACATTCTCAAATTGGAATTCCAATCTGAAAAGAGTTTGAAACATACTCAAGGTTTGACAGCTGTTGTTTTCGATGAATTTATTGTCAATGATCGTCTCACAGATGATAAATTCAAGGAATTCTTCGTTGAAGTTTTGGATGAACGTTTCGAAAAGGACGAACTCTTAAAGACCGATGGTAAACAATTCATGAACCACACCAAGAGATTTATGGAACTCGTTGCCTCTGTCAAACGTTTCACTGATGACCAGGAAGATCAAAAGACAAGTGCCTTACTCCGTGTCATGCAATACGTTGCCTCCACTCAACAGGAAGAAATCTACTTCAAGTACATTCACATGCTTGCAAAGAATCATGAAATCAACTCTAATTTCATTGAAGCTGGTATGTCCATTTTGAGACATGCTGAAAAGTTGTCATTCACTGTTGCCAATCCAAAACTCTTGCCAGCTCTCTCACAAGAATATCCAGAGGAACCTGAATTCAGAAGAAAGGAGAAACTCTACCATCAAGCCATGCGTTACTTTGATTTGGGTAAGGATTGGGAAAGAGCTATCAAACTCTCACGTGAATTGGCACCAATTTATGAAACTCAAACTTTCGAATATAAGAAATTGGCCGAACTTCTCAAATCTCAAAGTGAATGGTTCTCCAAGATCTTTGATCAGAAACGTTTCTTTGCCTCCTACTTCTTTGTTGGATACTATGGTAAAGGATTCGAACCATACGGTTTGCAAAATAAGGAATATGTCTATAGAGGAAATGAAGCTGAACGTTTGGTTGATTTTACTGAGAGAATTACTAAGAGATTCCCTAATGCTGAAATGTTGCAACCTTTGGAAGATGCCCCAGAGGAGAAGAAACAAGCCGATGGACAATACATTCGTATCATTACTGTCTATCCATCCTCATATAAGGAAATTGAAACCAAGTGCACAACTGTTGCTAGAGAAATGACTGTCTCTAAGAATATTACCTCCTACGAATCATTCAATGATATTAAGGTATTCAAGATGAGTAAGACCTATAAGGGACATCCAAAGGATAAGAAGATTAATGAAATTCGTGACTTGTTCACCGATTTCATTTTCTTCATTATTGATAGTAATCAAGAATCAGCACCATCTCACCATGAAACTTCATTCCGTAAGAGTATTTCCTACATTAAACCAATGCCAATGGTTAAACCATCAACAGCAGCAAGTGGTGTTGGATCCGCTTCAGCTGAAGATGTGGAAATTATGATGACTGGTGATGCCTTTCCAACTATTGTACGTAGAAAGAATATCATTTCACGTAAGCAAGCAGTCTTGAATCCAATCGAAAATGCCATCAAGAATATTGAAGATAAGAATGTAGATCTCAATGAACTTGTTCTCAATCACATGGTAGATACCAAGCCAGATACTAAACAATTATCCATGTCTTTGAACGGTACCATTGACGCTGCTGTTCATGGTGGTATCAATAAGTATATTGATGCATTCTTTGTTCCTGATTGGATCCAAGAAAATCCACAAGAAATTCACAATGTTAAGAGATTACAACGTGCTCTTGCAGTTCAATTGGAAGTTCTTGAAAAGGGTTTAGAAATGTATCGTAAATTTGGTTCTGCTCAAACAAAGGCTCACGTCGATCACTTGTGTGTCATGCACAACAATATGAAAGAACAATTGGCTGAAACTATTTCATTCGATTATGCCTATTACTTGACTGAGGAGTACAAAAAGAAAGCAAAGGAATAAGCAACTGGACGATTCGGAAGCTGTGTAATAAAAGTTTCAAAATTATACCAATCAATTGTACTTTTATTAAGGTAAAGAGAGTAAAAAAGTAGATTTAGAAGTTAATTAACTTAGGTTTAGTTACCTCTTTGCAGGTTCTCGAGGTTTTGTTTGTTTGGGGAGCTTTCTTTTCATTTGATAAGTAACTGTTGTGCTACCAACTGAGGGAGATGATATCTCATTTCTCCTTATCATTCCTTGATCGTATTGCTCCATTCTATGGACATTATTTACATCAGAGTTAAAGATATTCGCTAAGGAAGGATTCTTCTTGGCAAATTGGGATTGAGTTTGGGGTCTGCTACTGTTTTGGAAGGTAATAATGGTAGGTTGAGGTTTGGAAAGATTATTGGATTTAGAATCATTCTCAAGAATGATGAGTTTGTTGAAGGAGGAAGGCATTGCCGTTTGAGCTCTATCGCTCGATTGGTCAACCTTGATTTTTTGAATCAAAGGTTTAGGATTATTATTTGAAGTAGAAACAACATTTGAATTGTGTTGTTGGTTATTTGGATTAGGTCTGAAGCCACCTGTAAAGTGCTGGTTATGACGTACTGGAAATTGTTTTTGAGGATGTTGTTGCTGTTGTTGAATTTCCAGATTCCTAGAGCTGTTTTCTCGAGAGAATATTTCTTGTGGCATTTGGGGCATTGAAGGTTTTTCATGTGCCTTAATTAACATGCCATTAGGAGCCAGGTTAAAGTAGCTGCTGTTTCTTCTCGGTTTTGGATGAAATGGGCTGATTAATACTGCATGATTCAATTCTTGACGTTTTTCTTGTCGGTCCCTTACTGTTGGAGTGCCTAGTTTGAGTATTTGTCTCGAATTTGATGATGAGGAGCTTGCAGTTGAAACTGCCGAATATGGGGTGAAAGCTCTATCTTGATCAGAGTCTCCCTCATCTATATCTTCCAACTCGTCAATTAATTTATCATGATTTCCGTAATTATCATTAATATACACAACATCTACATTAGTTTTGTCATTTCCTCGCTTCTTCTTATCCACATTTTCCTCAATCAAATATTGTTTAAAACAAGACATGATCTTTGGAACAACTGATTTCCATATTGAATCAAAAACTTCCCACTGTGCTTCATAGAAAACAGCTGATTGAGCTTCAATTGGAGGGAATCCCTTGTTGAGCTGCACCTTGATCCTCTCTGCGAACTGAATGGATTGAGGGCTCTGTGGGGTTTCTCTAGGTGTTTTCTTCTTGTTAGCTCGGAAATTGGGAGTTGATTTGTTCAAAAAGGAGTCAGTTCCAAGAGGGTGTGGCAATTTCTTCTGAGCAATATCCATCACCAGAGTCTCCTCATAATCACCATCCTCTGCTATCACCTCTTCTACTTGCCCTCCAAAAGGACTCATTGTATTTGAGGGTGAAATGATTGGTTCTTGACTTTTATGAATTACATCAAAACTGGAATCAGGCCTCACTCCCTCAATCGCTGTCGAAGAAACAAGAAAATGTGGAAACTTGGTTGACCACTGAGTGGCTATTTTCTCCATTGTTAACTGTTCCGTATTATTCTCTTTCAGTCTATTTTTCCTCTTATTTCTATTAGTTGTTGATGATGGTTTTGTCTTGGGTGATGCCTGTTTGTTGGAGGGCGAGAAACCATATAACTTTTCATCCAATTCATCAAGTACTGTTTTCAGTTTTTCTTCTGCTTCATTTTCCAAATCCTATTTTCTATTATGAGAGCTTGTTCGTGATTAAAACTTACAAATATGAATTCAAATGATGATTGCTCGGATCCAGCACTGTAATCGTGAAAGTTTGTATTAATTGTAGAAAATTCTGATGATGTTTGTGTTTTTGAACTACCATGAAAGAAGTTGCCTGAGGTTGGAGGATTGGTTGTTGAAGGAGAAAAGGTAGAGTCTCCATGCCTTTCAGATGTTGATGGTGATGATCGAGAGCTTTCGCAATCCTCTCCAACCAAAGACATATCAATTACTAAGGAATCCGTTGACTTGTACTTTTCATAGGATTGTCGTAACCTAGATAGAGGTTGTTCCTGACTTTCCATAAATCTAACCTCTCTATGACCAGCTATCCGTTTAATACTCTCAAAAGATCCTCTCAATTCAACCACACTATTCGACGATTTTGTCAAAGTTCCCTTGCTGTTATTCATTGTATTATTATTACTAGAATAATTATTGTTCATAATTAAGTGATGAATCTGTTGATGTTGTTGCTGCTGTTGTTGATGAGTAAATGTTGTTGTTGGAGCCTGCTGATGATGACTCGCAAAGCCTATCAGTGGAGGAGAGAAACCATCCCTCGTAAGGCTCTGTATCATTTTTTATAGTAGTGTGATGATTGTTGTTGTTTGGCGCCAAAAAAAATACGTTGAACAAAAACTGTAAAACACAAAGTACAACAACAATTGGAAAAGAAGGTGCTGATGATGAGTTGAATATTTAGTGTTGTGGCATCACGCCAAGTCTTAATGCTATATAGATATGCCGAATGGATGTACCTGATTATTCTTTTCGGTTATGATTCGATATCTTTGTTGCAAATGGATAAGGATAAAACCTCCTATTAAGGATAAGGATGCCTCTATTTTACAGCTTATTTATATTTGTTAATTGAAACCAATTCAAACAAAGCATGAGCATGAACTTTGTTTTGCTCAACGCAATATATATAAAAGTAATAATAACTAGAATATATTTTGAAAGTGTGAATTATTTCCTCACCATAAAGAATAATGCTCTGTTTGAGGGATGATAATGATTCACAACAATATCTGATAAATTATTTCAAAAATGGCTTAATGTTACCAGCTTTCAATTGTAGAAATCCAACCATGATCATTTAGAAATTTGAATTGTGAATCACATTCAAACTCTTCAGTGAAGTGTGATAACCATTTAGTTTTGTCAATGGCCACCAATTCTGCAGCAGTTTTATATTTTCCATCATGTAATTGATAGGGCATTTGGAAATAGGCCAAAACTATAGCTTGAATATCCTTTCGAAAGCATCTCTTGAAATATTCCTTCCAAATTTTGACATTTGGTTCCAATTTATCATTTGACATTTTTTTCCATGCTTGGAGGAATGGACTGGCAATTCTCAACGAGTTGGAGGTATATTTCAAAAATATAAATCTGCAAATTGGTAGGAAAAAGTAATTGGTAGCATGAGGGAAATGTTTAAATAAATAGAATGGGTCATATTCCATTAAATATCTATTCGAAAGAGGATCTCTGCAAAGATAATAATTTTCAAGTAATAAATGCTTAAAATCCTCGAAATACCTTGGTCTTGCATGGAATTTCTCTAACATACCCGAACGATTTCTTTCCAAATCTTTCAAAATATAATAATGTTGCTGTTTACGAATGACTTTCATCAAAATTGTCGTTCTATTTTCAATGCAATTATTCTTTCCAACTTTTTCAAAATCATCGCTCAATTCCATGAAAGAATTATTCTTGAATTGTTTCCTCTTTGTCTTACTCAAGTTTCGTCTTAGATTTTGAAGATATTTCAATTGGATCATCCACACCCTGTAGGCTTCCGAACTTTTCAAAAATTCATAAACTAGTGATGAGGAAATCAGCAAATTACGTAAATCATCCAAATTGCAATACGAATAAATATCCAATATTAACTCTGTGGGGAGAGAAATTATACTGATCGTCATCTCGGAATTATTTTGTGATGATGAATGTTCAATAGCATCTTGTTGAGACATTTTTTATTGATTTTTTAAATAGATAGATGAAATATAAATACCAACAATTGAAATAAGAATAATATTATTGGAGAGTTGTTTGATCATGATAATTTATTCAAAAAGCTTTGGCCAAACCTTGACAATTTGTGTAATAACTTGAATGACTGGAATTCCTTCATTTGGTGGACCTTGTAATCCTTGTTCACAAACCCAACAAGCATTCCATCCCATATCAATAGATGCCATAATATTCTTTAAATTGTCATCAGCAAAGTAAATTTCCAATTGACCAGTAGCAACCATTTCCTTCCAACTCAATTGATGTTGATCACATGAACCACTTGGAAGACCTGAAAGTTCAGCAGCCAATTCATAAGAGTGTGGATGAGGTTTCACAGAAAGGTCCAAATCTTCATAACAAACAACCTTATCAAAAAGTTCAGTGATTCCCAAATGATCCATCAATCTATTAGCATGTTTAGAATCAGAATTTGTGAATAAAATCAACTTGTCAATATTTGTTTTCAATTTTGAAATCATTGCATGCAATTCAACATCATTCTTGGTCACTCCATCCAATCCAAAACCCGAATGTACATAATGATAAAAAGTCAAAGGATCAACATCATATCCCTCATGAATTAATCCTCTCAGAGTTGTTCCGTGTTGTAAATATAAATTAATACTCTTTTCCATTGGATTTTCAATTGCTAAAACTTCACTCAAATATTGTGCAATACGATCCCTCACACACATTTACATTTGAACTCTTTGGATACAAACAATCATCCAAATCAAAGAAAAAATATCGGAGTGGTCGATTCTTGTTGGTGCTCTCGGAGGATGATGAAATTTCTGTGGTGGATGGTTGAGACATTTTTTTTTAAAGTTGAAAAAGATTCTTGAATAATAACCCACCACGATTTGATATATTTAAGTAATTAGTTGTTATCTATGCGTATCAGAGAATGAATTTAATTGAAGTCTGACTGGTGAAGTGTGGACCAAATTCATAATTTGAATGTCATTGTAAAACTATCAATGTTAAACGTGAATTTTTACAATGCCAATCACATCCAAAACCTTCTTCGATTTCAAATCTTCACAACCATGGCAATCACTGCACTAATAAGAAGAAAAACTTTAAAAAGGTTCTTTCACTTTTTAAATTTAAAAAAAAATTTAGAAAAAAATTTAACGGCTAGTTTCATTGTTTCCCTCCTTTGATATCAAACCCTTATCATCATCACACAACAATATTGATAATATTAATCTAAAGATGCCACTCCCAGAAAAAGTTCGTAGATATACCTTCTACATTCTCGGAGGAGCCATCTGCCTAGCAATGACCAGTTTGATTTTGTATAACAATTATATTCTGATAGAACCACATTTACATACATTGTTCTGGAGTTTGTGTACGAGTATTCTACTGACCAAAGTAAAACAACCAATCAAGGCTTTCCTGGAGGGTTTCACCTCGGGGGTGAATATCAAACTTCGATTTGTCTTTCATTTGTTTTTCTGGGGGAATTACTTGTACTTCCTGGTGTACTTTTTGATGAGATGGTACACGTATAATGTTTCGGAGAGATTTGTGTTTACCATTTCGTTTATTATTGTTGGTGTGATTCTAATGTCGCCTTTTATATTGTCGGCTGATACACTGTCGACTATTATTGCAATGATATTGGCTTCATTTGTGTTGATTTCGATTACATTGTTGGTTGCTAGGACTGGTTATATGGAAAGTATGAAGGCAAGGTTTGTTTTTTCATTATTTCACTATTTTAATTATTGAATTTAATTGACTTGTGCCTTAAATGATTAATTGTTCACATGTTTGTGAAATTCTATTTAATTAATGGTTAAATTATTGAAATATTAGCTCTGTAATTAAGGAATTTATTGAAAAGAATAAGGAAGTATTTCTAGAAAGTATGAATAACTATAAGGAAAACATAATCCCTCAAAATGTCACTGATATTAGTATCAAATCAGATAATGTAACGGTGTGGAAAACAGCTGAACGGTATTGTGACTTTATGCTGGGAGTAGCCAATAGTCAGTACGACTTTGTGAAAAATGTCACAAATCTAATTCATACCAAAAATACGACAAATGACTCTATTGAGACGATATTGGGACCAAAGTTCTGTAAGAGTCAGGTTATGTACTTTCAAGATAATTTATACTCATTCATTCAATATGTATTGAACTGGATGACTTCTAATATTAGTGTATTTGGCTACACACTTCAATCATTCTTCCAAACTCTGGTTGACTTGATTTCAAACTTTAAGGATTTTGTCTTTTCCTCCTTTATATTTATTTTATTTGTTTTCTACTTTGTTCAGAATGATGAATTCTTTATTGATAGCATGAAACGAATTTCACCACTCACTGAAGAAGAATCCACCATTCTCATTGACAGTATTGATACAAATATCATCAAAACTCTTTATTATTTATGCACGTTTGCCATTTGCAATTTTATAGTCACTACCTTGTCATTCTATATTGTTGGCTTTGAAATTATTTTCATTTTTGGTATGTGTGTAATTATTTCAATAATTAATTACTTAAATTTTTATAATATTATTTCAATATTTTAAATTGAATTTAATGGAATAATTTGAAAATAGGTTTCTTGTCTGCATTCTTGTCAGTCATTCCAATTATTAGCAATTGGATTATTTGGATTCCTGCCACAATCTTTGTCCTCTCGAGAGATGGTATCATTAGCTCCAATTGGATCATTATCTTTGCATCTCACATTTCACTCTACGTGATTGATAATATCATTTACACAAACTTTTTCAAGAAGCAACACCCAACCATGTTGGGAGTTTCCATTTTGTTAGGTGTATATGTTTTCAATCATTCAGGAATTATCAAGGGTCCTTTGTTTATTACATTGGGAATGACATTTTTTGACATTGCCACAAAATATATCAATAAGGATAAGAAGGAAGATGGAGAAGATTCAGAAGGTGGAGGTTCTGGTTTGAGACATCATCGTTCAAAGAGTTTCTTTGATTTGATTGCAGAAGATTGGAGCAGTATCAAATATGAAGATGATTCCAAAAAGTAATAAATTCAATGAAATCATAACAAGTTGATTTGTTACATCGCACCAATTTCTAGTTATATCTTTCCAAGATGATAACAACAAAACCATCCATAGATTTTAAAGAATTAAATTTATTTTCCAAATGTATTTACCTAAATTTCACCACTATTATATAATACAAATCCTCATCCATTATTATTTGAAATCCCAATATGATGAATGATTCATACAAACGCGTTGAATAGATATAATAATAATGATGAAAATTTTATCTTCATCATTACAATTATCCAAACAACAATATCGTAAAATTAGTGATGATGAAAAAAGAGGGAGAAAGAATTATTGGGAGGTAGTAGTAGCGTCGGTGGATGGAGTAGATTTCTTTTGATTAACAAGTTCTTCAAAATGTTGCTTTGGAACCTTTTCTGGGGCGTAGGCCAAAGTAGAAACATCCTTGTGTTCTGGGTTGAAGAAATGTCCTGGAGGATAGTGTCTCTTTTCTGGTTCACCAGTATAGTTTGGAGTGTGTGTTGGTCTGACACCAAATCCTTTTCTATTAGTTTCAGCTTCCGTTGGTGGTTCTTCTCTCAATCTATGAATCCACATATGCCATTCAGCTGGAATATCAGAGGCATCATAAATTCTATCCTTACGAGCAAGCTCCACCCAACGTCCTCTGTTAAGTTCTGTTGGTAGTGTTGTTTGCCAATAAGTGTTTCCAAATTTATCTTTACCAACAAGTTGTTTATCACCCTTTTCCCACCAAACTTCTCTGAGAACGTAGGCCTTTCTCAAGGTTTCCCTCCAGCCAAGAGTCTTGATGTCGTTCCAAAGCGAAACTTTAGCTAACCAGAATCCTCTAAAATAATTGGACATTTTTTTATCTGATTTGTATTTTATTATTTTTTTAAAAATATTAAAAATATTATCTTCACATGTGTGAGATTGTAGTAAGCAAGAAGCTTATTCATTGTGTGTTTATTTGTTGGAAAGGAATGTTCTTCTATTGGGAATGCGATGGATGAAGATTTAGTTGAAGTAGATTCACGGAAGAAATTTAAAGAAATTTACTTGGGCAAAGCTTTAAAAAGTAATAGTTATTGATGATGATTTGGTAACTTTAATAAGAATTTCAATAATTCATACTATTACTATCTTCTTGAGGATACTTTCAATTATTTGATGATAATTTTCTAAAAAGTTATCAGTTGAGCATGATGATGATAGCATTATGATTCGGAATAAATACTTTGAATTAGCTATTCGATTCAAATTTGAATATCATCATTACCACAACCATCCAAAGAGGGAGAAAGAAGAGGATGACGAGGATTTTGAACTTTCTCCATTCAACTTGTCCAACTTCTTATTATTTTGTTTGAGTTTGAAAGAGGCCTTTTCTACACCTTCTTCAATTTCTTCGAGGGTTGTTGTTTGATCATCCAATTCATTACCTATTGCTGTGGCAATATTCTTGACTCTTACCACGGAATTGTACAATCGATCGAGTTGTTCATCTTGACGATCTCTATGGGCTTTTTGAATTTTCAAATATTCTTCATAGTTAGAAGGAATGGTTTTTGAGGTAGTTGACAGATTGTTTTGGTTGGTAGAGGAAGATACTTTTGACATTTTATTTGGAATGTTTATTGGAATGAGTGAACCTCATTAAATTCAATTTTCTAATTTATTTTTAGCTTACAACGGTCAATGGAACTCATTAACAACGATTAACCACAACAAATAAAGGATAAGGAATAGAGAAAATACTTCTTGAGAAAAATAATAATTAAAATCTTCACACATGATGTTAGATTAGAGAATTTTATTATTTTAATAGTAAAAATGTGAAGGGGTCTTGGCGCAGTCGGTATTATTAATAGATTTTAGGGTAGGTAACGCTCTCAATCTACCTCAACGTAACTTTAAATATAAACTTTAAATATATTTTTAGAAAGGGTGGTTTGCGCTCTCAACTACTGTTACTCTTTCAGGTACTGTTGCTATTTCAACTACTGTTGCTCTTTAATGTACTGTTGCTATACTTTACATTGAATTGAATTTATTGATCAATTATTTCAACTTTTGAAGATTTCTTACTATTAATAATGTTATTTTTAGAGGGTGGGTTGCGCTTTAAGTAGGTCAACGCTTTAAGGCGGTAGCGCGTAGGTCTCATAATCCTAAGGTCGTGAGTTCGATCCTCACAGACCCCAACTTTTTTTACATTTTTTTTTATTATAATTGCCAACATTATTTCAACAAGCTAAAAATACTATTGTATTTCCATCTTTCCAAACTTAAAAAAATGTCTAAACAACCTCAAGCCAAACAAGTCCTTGCCATTGTAGAAAAGATCGGAACAAAGATCGCCATTGCTAATGGAGGCAAGAGTTTGGAAAATCTTTTGGATAATCATCTCGTTCAATTGTTGACCCTGTTGGGTTTTCCAGAGGCTTCTGTGAGGAATAAAGTTATTGAAGTTTTGAGTAATACTGTAAATAAGAGAGTCAAACTTGAATCAACAACAATTAAATTGCCATTTGGTAAGATTTTGGAATTGTTTCAAAAGGAAATATCAAATTCTTTTATTAAGAATTTTGCTGTAATATATCTGGATATGGGATTCCCTCAATTGTCACCAAGTGAAATGACTGAATATTTACCAACATTCTTCCAAGTACTTCCATTATTGAATTCCAATCCAAGCGACAATACATCAGTCTCTAACAAACAGCATCAAGCAATGTTTCTAAGATTTATTGTGGAAGCTGTTTGCAATCTAACCTATCCAGAAAAGGAGGAGGATGCATTGGAAAAGTTTCAGGAAATTAGAAATTGTGGAACATCTACATTGGACATTTTTATTGACTTTGCCATAGATTTCATGCTATATAAACCATCCCAGAAATCCGTCGGAAGTATGCAAACAATCTATCCTAATGGCTTGAATGTTATCAAAATTAAGAGAATTTTGGGAAGTAGGGAAACTATCGAAGCTCAAGAACTTCAAAAACGAAAGATGAACCTTTTGGAATTCTTTACAAAGAGTGCATGCTTTTCAGAGAATCAACAATTTCTCGTTCTAGTGATTGGTATGTCTCAACAAGAGTCAACTGATCAATTGGGATCAAGATGTGAAGTTCTCATCAAGAAGCTTTCCCCAGACTATGAGGAACCAACCTTCATTCAAAAGCTCTTCTCCATATATTTGGGAGATTCTTCGAATGGTATTTCTCAAGCATCTCTTCCTCTCAAGTATAAGATTTTATCTTATTTATGCAAGTCTACACTGGCAGCCAATCACTTCCCTCAAACTCACCTCGTACTAATGGATTCTCTTTTCAGTGAATATGCTGGAATGAAACTGAGAGGATTTGGTATGCAATTTTTCATGTGGGTCATTCAAGAAGGAACAGCCATTGAACAAGAATACGGCTCAGAAGTATTCAGATCCATTTTATCAAACATTTCACGATTGTCTTCATCAACCAATTCTTCGACATTCTCCATGAATGAAATTGCCATGTTGAAAGAGAATATGTATACAGCTCTAGGTAGTTTTGCAAGAAAATTCCCTCACTTTGTTATGGACAGATTTGATTTAGTGGAGAGATATTTTGATGCTATTGCATTCGAAGATACAAGAATTCGTGTTGCCATCTTGCAAGGTCTCTCCAATTTAATTTATGCTTTCAAAGTTAATTTTATGAATAATTCTGAAGAGGAAACTAGAGCTGTTCGTGTTAGATTTGAAAACTTATTCTATAGTTGGGTTGTTGAGAGAAATACAGGCTTAAGTGATCTTTTGACTGGAAAATCTACTCATCAAAATATGCAACTCTCTGCTAAATCAGCTGTAAACTCAGCTGTTTTGAGATGTGCCAACAGTTTATTCCCATTTGATAATGTAGTTTCTAGGTTTTTATGTTTATTCTGCACAGCTGGAGGATTTGGATCTGGTGATAATGTCTCCTTGAGCCACCAAATCAGAGAGGAATGTTTAAAAGGAACAGATTTGGATAAATTCACAAAGGCAAGACAATTGGATCACTGGGTTATTAACAAGAAGGGTTCAGATAGCAGTGAAAGCTCAGAAGAAAATGTGAACAAGCTTCCAATGTTTCTTACTGTCAAGTTTAGTTTCCCAACTTTTAAATCAGTTGTTGGATATATTTTTGATTTCATGACCAAGTTTGATCCAGCCATAACCAAGTCCAACACTATGCCTGCCCTGAACAAGATTGTTGCTCCTTCTGCACACTCAGCAATGATCAAGTTTTGCTTTGACTGTCTAGCAGAAGAATGTAAATTACAAAATGTTTCCATGTTGGAAAGAATTGAGAAAATGTCACAAGAAATGCTTGATGACAATGTCAAGGATGACTTTGAAAAATTCTTATACGTTATTGAAAAATCATTCGATGATAAGGTATTGCTCTACTCTGGAACAACCTCCAATGCTACAGAATTATTGTTAGAAGCTTCTGAAACTTTGCTTAGACTCCTTCTTTCATTGAAAGACAAACCAGATTATGTCAAGTATATTTCTAGAAGATTTAGCTTCTTGCTCGATGAAAAGGGTCCATTCCTTTTTGATTTAATGCTGGGAAGTTATAATGATATTGCCAGAGAGAAATTCTCTAAATTTATTGCCCTTCTCTTTATCTTTATTCGTCAAGATCCAGAAAAGTCATCCCAATGTGAAAAACTTATAGGAATTTGGAAAGATTACATTGAAAAGCAATTCGGCAACGCTAACACGATGTCTGATCATAAGGGTGAAGTATGCGCTCTTGGAAGCATCTTGACTTTGGGTAGTATTATCAGTCTTAATTATGCTTCTCAATCCTCATCATCAACAGAGCCATACTTGTTGGATGCATTCAAACTTATTTTAAGTATTTTGAGTAAGATTCCATTGACAAACTTGAGAGAACCTCTTCACCAAGCTTGTTATTTGGCTGTTGGTGAAATGGGATATAGTGGAGTTTTGCAAGACTACTTCGCAAATTATTTCACCCCAACCATTGATGAATTACAATTTGAGGTTAGTGCAACTCTTCCATCGAAGGAAATTAACTCTATGGATGATTTGGTGACCTTATTTGTAAAACTTGTTGAAAGATATGCATCATCCACTCGTCAAAAGAACTCATCAACAACTAATGAAAAGATTTTAGAAAGATTGATTATAACTGTAGGAAAAGTTTGTGTTGGATCTAATAAGAATAATGATCCAAAGGTTGCTGATCACGTTGCAGCTATTATCACTGTTCTCTTCCAATTGAACAATGTCAAAACTACAAGTATTCCAACAACAGGCACTGGTGGCTCATCAAATAGCAGTGAAATGACTGCTACTGCACCACAAGCTGCCTTCGATGAGAATATTTCATTTACTGTTGGTGAATCGCTTGCCTTGATTGGAGGTGGTTTGAAGCATTGTGAACTTGCTAAGGATGATCCATACTTTGTAATCTACAATCAAAAGAATGCATTTTCTTCAGATGAAGAAGAAACTGAACATTATGATGGCAACTTGAGAACAGTTCTCAGTAGATTGGTTCGTGAGTGTGTATTAAATCCAAAGAAGATTGTTCGTCAAGCTTCTAGCATTTGGTTATTGGCAGTGACAAAATACAGTGGTCAATCCAATGCTTTATTCAAGAAGTACATCAAGGAAGTCCAAAGAGCTTTCTCTCTCCTTGTTACTGAAAATAATGAAGTTACCTCTGAAGTTGCAGGTAAGGGCCTGGGTTATGTCTATGAAATGGCAGAGAATACAGACAGAAAACAACTTGTCGACTCCTTAATGAACTATTTGATCGGAAACAAAAAGCCACAAAACCTTGCTATTATTGAAGAGCCGGAGGAGCTCATGCTTTTCCCAGCTGGTGAGGAGCATCAAAAGGGTGGTAAGAATGCACCAACATTGTCAACCTATAAGGAACTTGTTGATGCAGCAACAGATATTGGTAGACCTGAGATGATTTACCAACTTTTGGCTGTATCCAATCACAATGCTATTTGGAATGCAAAGAAAGCTTATGCATTCTCTATGACCTCAATTCTTGGAAATCTGTCTGGTACCTCCCTCTTGGAAGATAAGGAGTTTGAAAAGAGTTTACCTCAACTTGTTCCAAAACTTTTCAGATTCCTCTTTGATCCAAATCCAACAATCAGTGGTTCTATGAAGGAAATGTGGAAATCCCTTTTCGGAAGTGAAAATGACAAGACCAAACAAAATATGATCATTTCTAAATATTTGCCAAGAATTATGAAGGAATTATTGAATGGATTGAATCAAGAACTTTGGAGAATCAGAGAAGCTTGTTGTTATGCTATTTGTGAATTGATTGGTGGTAGCAGTTCAAAGACCTTTGAAGAAATGGCGCCATTTATCAAAGACTCATTCCAAAAAGTTTGGAGAGTAACAGATGATGTCAAAGACACTTGCAGAAAGGCAGCTCAAAGTGCCCTCACAAAACTCAGCAACTTTGTTATCAAGGCATGTAATCCAACCTATACAAGCAAGAGAGAAAATGTTTCTCGTGCTCTTGCTATTGCGATTCCATTGTTGTTGCACGAAGGTTTGATTTTCCCATTCAAGGATGTTGTTCATTCTAGTTTGGCTACTTTGAAGGAAGTAGTTCATGTATCAACTCACTATATCAGACCACATATTCACGAAATTGTTTCAACATTATTGCAACAAATGTCTGTTCTTGAACCAGCTCAATTCAACTATATTCAAATGAATGCAGCAGAGTACGGTATTTCTGTGGAGCAATTGGAAAGTTTGAGATTGTCTGCCATGTCCAGAGGAGGTCCACTGTCTGAAATCATTATGGATTGTGAAAGACATGTTGATGAAAGTGTTCTTCAAACACTTGTTCCAAGTCTTTTGGAAGTACTCCAGGTTGGTGTTGGTCTTCAAACAAGAGCCCACTGTGCCAAGTTTATTGCCTCTTTGGGTAAATTCCATGGAAGGTATCTGAAAGACTTTGTCAATCCTCTTGATGTTGCCATCATGAGTGCAATCAGACAAACAGAATCAATGGCTGAGAAGAAAGAGTTGGCTACAGCTCTTTCCCAAGTTGTTAAGAATGGTAAAGTCTCAGAGGCAAAACGTGTCTTGGTTGAAATCCTTAACATGTACACACAAGAGGGTGAGGAAAATGAGAATGAAAATTCTGCAGATGAGTTGAGAATGATGAGTGCCTTAATTTTGGAACAAATCAGTAAGAATTGTACCATTCTCTTGAAGAGATTCTACGACATTGCACTCCCAATCATGTTCATTGCCAGACACGACAAGAGTGAGAGAGTTAGGAAAATGTGGGACTCTGTCTGGGAAGAATCTACCAATACCTCTGTTAAGAGTACTTTGGAAATCCATATCAAGGTGATTGTTGACAGATGTATTCAATTGTTGGGCCACCCAACTTGGGAATTGAAGAGACAAGGAGGTAGTGCTCTGCAAGAAGTTGCAAGTGCTTTGGGTATTCTGCTTAATGAAAAACCACAAGAAAGAGAACAAATGATTACAGCTCTCCTCAATTCTATCACTGGTCGTTTGTGGGAAGGAAAGATTGTACTTCTCAAGGCTCTTGGAAGTGTTTGTGAAACATTTGTTTCAAAGGAAAATCAACAAGTTTCTCAAGAGATGAAAATTTTGGATATTCTTCAAAAGGAATGTAAGAAGAAGGATGTAGATTATAGATTGGAAGCTCTCAAAGCCTATCATTCAGCCGTGAAGAATGCTCACTTTGCCAAATTTATCACACAAGAAATTTATGAAACTTCTAAGAGTTTCTTCTTGGAAGAGATGAGTAATATGGAAAAGGAAGAACAAGAGGAAATTAAGGTTGAGAATGAAAATAAGATTGCCATGGTAAATGATGACAAGACTCACTATCAAGAAAAGATGAAGAGAGATATCAAGTCAAGCAAGAGAGAAACTTCCTGTGTTCAAATTATTCACATACTTTCTTATCTTATTCCTGCCACTTCTCAAGTTGAACAAAGAAGAAAAGCAGTTGATTGGATTTTAGACGAATTATTGGCACCAAGACTTGTGCAATATCTCACACCAAATATTAACAATGCACTCTTGACAGCATTACTCCAATTTGTAAAGTTGAGAATTGCCCTTAAGGCAGAAGATCCATCAGTTCTTGATTTGACAGAACAAAAGAGAGTCTTTGAATTGGCAATCTTCAACTTGGATCCAAACAATAGACAAATTCATGTGAGACCAAATGCCTTCAATACTCTCAAGGATTTAATGACTCAGCTAGCAGATAATAATCTTTTATTAGATGAAACCAAACAATTCATTAGACAACAATTGAACGAAGATTTCTTGAAGAGAGTATTGGAACCACTTTTGCATGACCAAATTCAAAACTTTGCTAATACCAAACTTTAAACCTTACATAAAGATGGAACTATTAAAACGTTCAAAATATAAGTAAAATAGTTAATAAATTTATTTTTGTGGTTGTTCGAAGGATTTAACAACTCTCTTAATGATTCCAATACATTCTCTCAATTGTTCTTCAGTAATAACGAGAGGAGGAGCAAAACGAATGACATTGTCATGAGTTTGTTTGGCTAACAAACCATTTTCCTTGAAAGCAGTACACAAATCATAAGAATTCTTTCCGTGCATCTTGGAGTGATTCATAACGAAGGCATTCAAGAGACCCTTTCCTCTAACTTGTTCAACAATACCACCTTCATGAATGAGTTCACTACATTCTTGTCTGAAAATTTCACCAAGTCTAGCAGCATTTTCAATCATCTTTTCTTCTTGCAAAACTTCGAGAGCAGTCAAAGAAACAGCACAACCAAGTGGATTACCGCCATAAGTGGAACCGTGAGTACCTGGTTCAAAAACATCCATAACCTTACTATCAGCAAGAATACAAGAAACTGGGAAAACACCACCTGACAAGGCCTTACCTAAAATGACAATATCTGGCTTGTCACCATTCATTCTGTCAAATGCATAATCAGAACATAACATTTTACCAGTTCTTCCCAAACCAGTTTGAATTTCATCACAAATCAACAAGACATTGTGTTCCTTACACAATTGTTGAACTTGCTTAAGGTATCCTTCACCTGGAACACGAACACCAGCTTCACCTTGAATTGGTTCAATCAAGAATGCAGCAACATTCTTTCCAAACTTTTCCAATAATTCTCTCAAAGAATCAATATCATCATACTTGGCAGTCAAAACACCTGGAATGAATGGACCGAAACCATCTCTAGTTTCATCAGAATCACTCAAACTGATAATACCAAGAGTTCTACCATGGAAATTTCCAGAACAACCAATAATAATAGCTTCATTATCTGGAATACCCTTAACTTCATAACCCCACTTTCTGGCAGCCTTAAGAGCTGTTTCAACAGCTTCAGCTCCTGTATTCATTGGAAGAACCTTTTCATAACCAAATAATTTAGTGACATATTGAGCCCATTGACCGAAAACATTGTTATAGAATGCACGAGATGAGAGTGTGAGTTTTTGGGCTTGTGTAATGAGAGTTTGAATAATCTTTGGGTGACAGTGTCCTTGATTGACGGCACTGTAAGCTGAGAGGAAATCATAATATTTACGACCTTCTGGATCTTGAACAACAACACCATCAGCCTTTTCAAAGACAACCTTCAATGGATGATAGCTGGATGTTGTGTAAGATTTTTGTTATTCAATTAATATTGCATTAATAAATATCATCATGATTCAATTCGGACATGAAACATTAAGTTAATCCAATCAATTTTAAATCCGAAAATCCGAAAATTATTGTTAATAATTGATGAATGTAAATAATAATAATAACGAATGATGATGATGAATAACATGTTGCATAAATATAATTTAGATAAATATACTAAATTCCACCACTAATAGTACATACTTGTGAGCAGAGAAATCGCTTTCCATCTTGATAACTTCTGCACTGTTCAACTTTTTAATATCATATTGGCATGAACGAAGGGTAGAAAATTCTCTTCTTATACTTCCGGTTGTTGTGCTCTTCAAAATTCTAAGTGCTTGTCTGTTCAACATATTTTGTGGTGGTGGAGAATTGTTTGATTTTTTTTAGAGTTTGCAGCAGTGGATTTTTTGGTCTTAATTGTGGCGTTTAATACTTGAGAGAACATAACAACAACTCAAATTCAATCTGTGTGAATGAAAAGTAAAATGTCAGATAGAGTTGGAAAAAACACCTTGTTAGTAATGAATATTGGTTTATAACATTGTAACTGAGAGAATCATTTAGTAGAACCACGGATATTAAGTGACCTGACCAAATTGCAAAAGTTGACCTAACCATTGGAAATTAACGATCTGTTTTGAAAATGAGCGAATTATAATCTTATTGGTAATCATTTCTTTTTACATGCAATTTGGGTTTTATTGTAACTCAAAATTTATTGATGTGTCGACTTGAAACTTTCCACAATCTTTTCAATTCGTTTCATCCACTCTTGTTTCTCACTTTCATTCTCAGCTCTTATAGCCCACTCTTTAATGTCATCTTCCTCAACTCTAATCTTATAAATTTTAAAACTATACTCCTTCTTTGGATAATCAACAAGTATTACATCCTTTCCAAAGTCAAATTGAGCTTCAAGCTTCTTTTTACAAATTTCATCATCCTCGAATAATAACAATTGGGTTGCAGTTAGAACAGCATACCTTCTTTTCCATGATTTAACCTTTGTTCTTTTCGAAACAAATCCTTTCATTAATATTTGTGATTCATCGACGAGCCCATGTTGCTTGATCTTCTCTGGTTTCAGATCATTTCTCTCCTTTAACTTTTGGAAGAGAGGTTTCAACACCTCATCGTACTTTTCAATCATCAGGGCTATTATCCTTGTGCCCTTTGTTTGAAGAACAAGGTTGTTAGACAAGCTTGCTGAACCATCTTGGAATAGGTTTGGAGCAAAAATAATTGCAAGATTGTGTGCTGTCATTTGATTAACATCACTCTTTCTGTGAATATTGTACAATAAGTGTAATAATCTATTAAGCAACAGGCAATTATAATATGGGATTATTGAAACATCAGAAAATAGTTTTGTCAGTTCTTTCATAATATCATCATCCTTGTCCATTTGAAGCACTTTCTTGAAAACCTCAAATGATTCTGGTGTTAATAGCTTGGCTTGTCTGATATACTTTTTAGTCAGGCCAGTTATTACGTGAATGTTCAGAGTTCTTAAGTCTACAACCTTACCAGCATCCATCTTTTTAATTAATGCTTCCATTTCTTTCACATTACCTCCAATTCTGAACAATCCTTCTACGTTCATCTTTTCAGAGATTACAACCATCATTTCTTCAATGATAGCTGGAATTTCGTGTCCTAACTCACTCTTTCTCGACATTACTGTATTTAATTCCACACCAAATTCCTTACTATCTCCTCTTTTGAATAGTGTTGTGAAGAAATCCTTTGGAACTGTTCCATATCTTCCTCCTTTCATAAAATCATTTCTAATACTTTTCTTTCGTTTAACCGAGACCCTTCTTGTGGAAGGTGATGTTGGCGATAATGTAGAATTGGAATCGAGATCACCACTGTTTTTTCTCGTATAGACAGGTGGTGAGCTGGTACTACTACTTGATTGAGTGACATTGCCTTCCTCATCGATGGTGCAAGTGATTCGTGAAGGTTCCAAAAACCTTCCCATGCTCAATCTGGCAGGTTGCTTGGTGGAATCATCTGTAGAGTTTGGAATATCTTCATACTCGGGTGTCTCCTCGTGATCACTTGCTGGAGTGGAATACTCTGGCTCACTGTCATACTCAGACATTGTACCAATAGATGATTTTGAAGGAGTTAGGATATCAAAGTTTTCATTGCCGAGATCATTGATATCTTTAGTATACTCTACTCCACCATCTTCATCCTCTTGAAGTTCATCCATTTCTACTCCAGCTTGTTTAAGCAAATCTGAAAACTCCATCACTGAGTTACAACTCAAGTGCTTAGATCTCTTCTCAACTTTAGATAAGCTATTAGTCACCAGATCAGTGATATGGGCGTATGGTGTTTTGTGTACAAGTTGAGAAAATGGTGATAGTAATGGTGTTCCATCTTGGGGTGTTGTTTGATCTCCTTCTTGGTGTTGTTGTTCTTCTTCCACTGGCAAGGATGATTCAATATTTGGTTGAAAATCCTCTGTGCTTGTCTCTTCATCAACAGAGGTGGTAAATTTCTCAATTTTGGCTGATTTTGGGCTTTGGATATTGGAAAAAGCTTCTTCTGAGTTGAATGATGGTACTGAAGGTGCTGATGAAGGTGTTTTTGTTGTTGTTTTTATATTGATTGAGCCATGTTTTTCTGAGAAGGAACCTCCTTGCTCATCTCGAATTAATTCATCAGGAGGTAGGGCTGTAAAGGGAGAATATCTTCTTGATCTTCTAGGCATTGAATTGAGGGCCTTCTCTTCTTCGGCATCCAGAATACTAGTATCATTATTTGTGGGAACTTCGGACATGATGTGTTTGTACAAAATGATATACAGATAAGCTACAGTGCTAATGTTGATATTATCCTCAATATTTGTATTATATTAATGAATATATCCAATTATGTGAATTTTAATCTTTTTCTAATATTACAACAATGATGATTTTGTGGTGTGTTCGTTGATAAAAAACATGGACGAGTCAACAATAACGCTATTTTTTTACAGTTTGGATACCTTAATGATAAGAGTTAAGGATTGAGCAATGATGAATGCGCATTTTCATCCGAAAACGATTTTTGCCAACGTGATGTGAACAAAGCAACAAACGGTTAGAAGTAATGTTGATTGCTATTAAAATAAAATAGAAATACAAAGGATGTGTGCATTTATTCATCATCAATGAGGATGGCATCTTCATCAACGACAGCTTTGGAAACCTTAGTTGGATTAGTGTCTTCAGAGAGATTCTCTGAGACTTCTTCTCTCTTTCTCTTGAATTCGTTTCTTCTCTCTTCGAGCATTTTACGTTGGATTTCTTGATCAGTTACACATACCAGAGCATTCTCGTCATCGTCTAAACTGATGGTTTCTGAGGATGATGTTGGGGCACTAGTAGAAGCAGCAGGAGTAGCAGCCTCTGTTGTTGATGTAGCATTATTTCCTCCATCCACACTGAAATCTTCCACTTCAATCTTTGTATTATTCTTTATAAAGACCTTCCATGTAATGTCCTGTGAAAAATCTTCAACTAAGAGTTCAGTATTGTCAACAATACCCAACTCCTTAAGAGTCTTTTGTTGTCTCTTTTGAATACTTTCAATTTGGTTTTCCTCCAAGTCTTCACCACATTCATAAATGAGATCGTCATTGGCGAGGATAGATGGCTCAACTAGAGCAAGCTTAGATTTGAGAATATCTTCAACAAATTTTTGTAATGACATCTTGTCACAATTTGCAACAACTGTCACCGAGTTGGATGAGCAAACATAGCAATTAGAATTTTTAGAGTCTTTTACAAGAGGGAAAATGATGGTTTGTTTTCTGCTCTTTGTAATTGGTCTTTCCAAAATGTCAACCCACACACAATCCTTGATGTGGTTGACGTCTTCCTTTCCTTGATTTTCAAAAATACTCTTCATTGTTTTGAATGCTTCACATACCAAGAAACCTGAAACAATGGCATTGGTTGTTGCTATAGCAGGAACAATATTACCAGCCATTGACTTGATATCAAATTTGGAAGCAGGTGGGATGTGGAAATTGAAAGCTCTCAAATTAGATGCTGATGTGACCAAGACGAGTGCATCTTCATCGTCCTTATCGAATGAAAGTGTTTGACCAGATTGATCACGTCTCTTTTTGAGAGCAATTACACTTTTCTTAAAGTTATCAACACATTCCCTGATGGTCCAAACTCTTTGTTCCTTAACACCAACCTTTTCAGTGGTGACAGTGCTTGCTGATTGTTCGAGCTTGGTAATGTATTCTTCAGTGAGTCCTTCTGGGACTTTTCCAGTACTCCACACGTTCTTGTCCTTCATTTGTGACAATTCGATAATGTCAGAAACAAAGACCTTATTTAAAATCTTATTTTCAAAATCTTGGCTTTCCTTAAGAATTTCCTCAAATCCACTTGAAATATCATCACCTGGTGCAACAGCTCCGAACAAACGACTACAGAAATTATGAATTGAATTGTTGGAAATATCATCAGTAAGAGGATTAGAATAAATTAAATACACTTACTCGAATAACAATTTAGCCCAAACAACGCAGTGAATCATCTTTGAAGGATTGGATCTAATAGTACAAACAGCAAAAGTCTTTTCAGCATTTCTATTACCTCCACATTCATAGCATGCGGAATACCCCTTTTGATAGACCTTAGCTTGACCCAAATAACCAGCAGTACCACCATCAAAAAGTGGAACATTAGCTGCCAGACATAATCTATTGACATGTCTTCTGGCATCAATATTATCCAAAGCATTAATAACAATCTTGAATTGTTTAAAAAAGTCCAATCCATAATCTGAATGTTTGATATTTCCGTGATGGGCAATAATGTTACAGGCTGGATTAAATGTCAAGGCTGTTTCCTTGGCAATCTTTGATTTTGATTCTCCAACATGTTTTTGTCTAAAGAGGAATTGTCTGTTCAAATTACTAATATCAATAGTATCCAAATCAATCTATTTACATAGTAATAACACGAATTTTTTGGCAATTAATTAATCAACACATCAAAATCCTTACAATTTCTATATTTTCAAATCCAGACAAGACAAGATTCTTCAATAATTCACATCCGATACCACCAGCACCAACCACAAGAATTTTACTTGTTCTAATGAATTCAATCAAGCCTTCTCCGTAGATTAACTTGAGACCAGCATATCTATCACTAGTGTTTAGACTCATTTTTTGTGTAGCTGTTGTTCATCACGGAACAAGAATAATTGTATTAATAAAAAATTAAATAATTTGTGTGATGAAGAATTTTGTATGGTAGCTGGCAAGTAGAGAGTAATAAGGAGTTCATAAAGGAATACTAACAGGTATGGATAATTGGATAATGACTATTGGCTCACAATTTATCTTCTGTCCAATGAACAATAGAAATGGTTTGATTTTACGTTATTTAATTTCTTATTGAAGACACAAGAGAAAAAAATACAACCAAAAGAATTAGTGTGAGTGTTCTCATCATAATAACAATGGATTTATTAATAGTAATATAATAATTTTAATAATAGTATCATGTCCGCAACAAGCCCATTATCACCAGAACAACAACAATTGTTCCAACAATACATGAAGCAACATAATTTGGATACCTTGTTCAATGACCTGACCAAGACTCTTGTCGAAAAACAACCTTTGGATCCTGTTCAATTCATGATTGAAGAATTGCAAAGAAAAGATCCAAAGAATCAATCTAGAAAGGTTGTCTTTGTTTTGGGTATGTGTTGGTGATTTTATTTCATTCCGAACTAACATCATTTACTCGCAAATTATTATTACCATATTTTGTTATTCCATCATTATTTCATCTTCTTCATCATCACTGCAAAATTCAAAATAATAATAATAACAACAATAACAACAATATAGGAGGACCTGGTTCCGGTAAGGGTACTCAATGTGCCAGACTTGTTGAAAAGTATAAATTTGCTCACTTCAGTGCTGGTGATTTGTTGAGAGCTGAAACATCAAAGGATACCGAAGAAGGTAAAATGATTAGCAGTTACATCAAGGAAGGTAAAATTGTTCCTGGTGAAGTTACCATTGCTCTCTTGAAGAAGGCTATCATGAATCATGAAGATCCAAACACTGTCTTCTTGATTGATGGTTTCCCTCGTGAAATGAAGCAAGCTGTCGATTTTGAAAGACAAATCTGCTTCTGTCAATTCGTTTTGTTCTTTGATTGCCCAGAAGAAGTTTTGGAAAAACGTTTATTGGAAAGAGGAAAGACTAGTGGTCGTTCCGATGATAACCTCGAAAGTATCCAGAAGAGATTCCAAACCTATATTAACCAAACTATGCCAGTTGTTACCTATTTCAGAGCATATAATAAGGTCAGAACTATTGACAGTTCCAAGTCTGTTGATTTGGTCTTTGAAGATGTCTGCAAATTATTCGACTAGATTTTGAGGAATATAAATTGTAATTTAAATTTTGTAATTTTAAGTACCTAGGTTTATTTTACAAGGAAGCTTTCTATTGGATAATCTTCTCCAGAGACAATATTGTAGTGTTTGCCTCTCGTTTGATTATGGTAAATGAATTCTAAACGTTTCACATTTTGTAAATTATTTTCATTTTGTAGAATGATATCTTTCTTTCCATGCATCTTTTCATTTAATTCAGTTCGTCCCTTTCTCTTCATTAGTGAATCATTGAAATTAGTCGAAATATTGATCGAATCTTCAGCTGGCTTTAGTGTTACCCTCCCAAGATCTGAATTTGCCTTACTTTGGAGCACTTGACAAATAAATTATGTTATTCTATTCGAATATTTCTCCAACAACTTACATTCTTTCCTTGTCACAGTATGCACCATAGCTCTATTTTGTTTGTCTTTCAATTGTTGACTACTTTTAGCAAATACACCATAATCATCCTCAGCATTCAATACTCCACTTCTGTATCCATTTTCAACCACTCTCATGAGCTTGAATTTTTGTCTTCGAACATCTCGACTCATCTTGAGGAATTCCTCTCTTTCTAGTTCTGCCTTATGGAGATTCTTCAATTGCCTTGGGCCAATTTGCTTGTTGAATCCTCCATCCTCATTGAAAATATTTTCTTCCTCTCCATGCAATTTGAGAGCTTTCCTCAATTCACTCTTTTCCAAATATTTCAATTCAGATTTCCTTGGCTTTCCATTCTTAAACTCTTCCCTAGAGAGGAGCATGACACTATTGTTTTTATCCCTTTCGTTCAAGGAAGAGAAAATCTTATCATCCTTACGATTCTTTTCTGAAACATCCTCTTCCTGTATTAAATAATCCTTAATGTATTGTTGGGCTGGTTTATCAAATTTCGACATTAATATTTCATTGAATGATCTTGTTATGGACGGCTTGTTCGATATCGACGACAGCATTCTCCCAGCTAATAGGATCTCTCAGTGCCTTATTTTCCGATTTGAAATGTTTATAAAAGTCGACTCCTGATGTATCTGTTTCTAGAAGGGGTATTGGAAAATCAATATCATTCGGAGATTGAGAAAATGGATAGGATCTTAATGGAGGAACCACCTTTGATTGATGGACTTGATGAAGAGGAGGTAGGGAATTATATACATGACCATTTTGAAAGAACCTCATATCAGAGTTTTTTGATGCAGGCACTGCTCCAATATCATCTAAACCTGGAGAAGGAGTCTGCTGTTGTAGTTGATGTTGCAACAACGAGGGATGATTTCCATATCGTTGAGCACTAATCACACTGTCCTTGTAATTCCTTATATTCGGAGAGATGGATCTCTTCACGAAGGCTTCAAATCCCTTTGGATTGGGTTTTGTCGTCGAGGTTTGATAGGAAGAGGGAGGCATTCAATTTTTTTTCATATATTAAGAGATAACGTGAATAGATTTCAATAACTGCAACTGTAAATTTCCTGATTGGGACTGTTCTTGAGTGATGAGAATTGAAAAAAATTGAAATGTTAATTAAGGGATTTTCTATTCAATTGAATGAACTTAGCCTTGAAACAATTGATTGTAATGAGTTCTTCTGTGAGTTGATGCTCATACGAATCTTTTATTAGAAGTTCTTTCACTGTGCTCTATTATTATCGATCTTCCTCAACAAGAAGAAAAAATGGCCCAAGAACAAAAAGACAATCACGAAACCAATCATCATCAAGTAAATAGTGATGCAGCATCAGCAGCACAAGTATCGGGATCTTCTGAAAATACAAGTGTGAGCAAGGCATCAGTGGCAACCACACAATTGTTCAATTCGGCTATTAATTCTTTTGTTTCTCAAATGGCAGGATCAAAGCCTTCTTCCGATCAACAACCATCATCAAATAATAATAGTAATACTAATAGTAACATAACTGAACATTTTGTTGGTTTATCGAATCAAGGAGCGACATGTTATTTAAATTCATTGATCCAATCATTGTACCATACACCAGAGTTTCGTCGAATGATTTTGGAGTGGAGATATAATCCTGATAAAGATCCAAGCAAGGAAAGATGTATTCCATATCAATTACAAAGACTTTTTGCATATTTGGCTTTATCTAAACGTAAAGCAGTGCCAACTACACACTTGACTAAATCTTTTGGTACGTTATTTCAATCTAATCAGCTTGTTTTAATTATCATTTTCTTGATCAGGCTGGACACAATCGGATGCTTTCGTTCAACATGATGTACAAGAATTGAATAGAATTTTGTTCGATGCTATCGATGTATCATTAGCAACTGATAAATTATCTCAAGAAAACCCAATGGAAGGAAAACAAGAAATTGGCAAATTGGCTCACTTTGAAAATATTTTGATTAGTGAAATGTATAGTGGTATTATGATTGATTATATCGAGGCCAAGGATGAAAGAAGAGAAAATGGACAACCATACGGAAGAGTCAGAGAAGATCTCTATATGGATTTGCAACTTGTTGTTCGTGGTATTTCATCAGTTGAAGAGGCTTTGGATTCTTATATTAAACCTGAAATTATGGATGGTGACAATCAGTGGATCTGTGAAGAATTACAAGACAAGAAAGTTGATGCAGTCAAGGGATTAAAGTTCAAGACTATTCCATACATTTTCACATTGCATCTCAAGAGATTTGACTATGACTACACAACATGGAATAGAATCAAATTGGGTAACATGGTAACCTTCCCATTTGAACTCGATGTTTCTAAATATCTGGAGGATAACACTCAAAACGCAATATATGAATTATTTGGAGTATTGGTGCACAGTGGTACTTCATCAGGAGGTCACTATTATGCCTACATCAAGAGTTTCTCCTCTGACAAGTGGTACAACTTTAATGATAGTAATGTTTCTGAAATTGATAGAGAACAAGTGAAAGTAATGTTTGGTAACAATGACAGCTCTTCTACTGGTAGATTTGCCTCATCAACCAATGCCTACATGCTTTTGTATCGTAAAAGGGATGAGAAATTGAATATTAATTCTGTTGACATGTCTATTATTCCAGAAGATTTGAAGGAAGAAGTTGAAAAAGATAATGAACAAATTGAGGAGGAGGTCAGAAAGTCAGAGGAATTACGATCAAATATTACAATTAGAGTTAAATCAGAAAACCAACCAATCTTGAACTTGAGTGTAAAGAAGACAGATACAATGCAACAAGTTTTGGAAAAGGTGTATGAAGCCATGTCAAAAAGAGAGAATTTCTTTACTCGCTTCCATAATTGTAGATTAAGAAAGTATGATATCATGAAACAAACCCCAACATCGTCATTCCAAAATCATGCAGATCAACCAATTTCAAGATTCTGTCATTTCAATGGAGCTTTAATTTATCTTGAGACTAAAGAATCTGACGAAGAATGGAAAGAAATTGCAGAAACCATTTCTGTTTATATCTGTCCTTTCAATCAAGATATTAATGAATTTGATCAACCAAGATCCCTCAAAATAACAACAGTACAAACACTTGACGAAATCAAGATGAGAATAGAAGAAGAACTTCAAAGAGAAAAGTATCCTCATGAAAAAATTAATCTTGTAATTTCTAGAGGTGATGAAGTGATTATTTTCCACAATGAAGAGGAAAGATCCAAATCTATTGAATCTGGTTTGAATATTGCAAATACTGATCTTATTTATGTGGAAGCATTGGAAGATCCACTCCAAAATGTTGAATCTAAAATCATTCAAAAATTGGAAGAAATGAAGTATTGTTTTGACATTTTGGTCAATACCATTGAAAGTCCAAACGATTATACAACCTCTGTAACTGTAGACAAGAGAACTACTGTTGGTGACTTGAAGAAGAAAATTGCAGATATGATGAAGGTAGGAGTAGATGATTTCAGACTCTGTTCCAAGACTAGATTCCAACCAATTAAGGAGAATTTACTCATTTCTGAGTGTTCTGAAGTTTTTGAATATTGTCAGCTTCATGTTGAAAAGGGACAAGCTTTGAAGGATGGAGAATACATTATTCAACTCTATGTTCACTTACCTTGGCTTTCAGAACAACTTCCACAAGAATCTAGAACTGAAGTAGATATTAATCCTGACAAGATGGTAGCTGAGCCATCTCCAGATTGTCAAGTTATGACTTGCGAACCTCCACCATCATCAACTGCTCTTGTTTTGGCAGCAGAGAATGGACCAGTTTACAATCCATCTGTGAAGCTTTTGGATAGAATGAACAAGTTGAAGGAAGAAATGAGACTTGTCGATAAGGTTGTTATCAGTGCTCAAGAAACTTTGGGAAGTTTCAAACAAAGAATATTCGAAAAATACTTTTCCGATCCAGAATCTGACCAATTTGTCCCATTAGAGTTAATGAGATTGAGAATGAAACTTGGAGTTTTCTTCCAAAAGATTTTGATCAATGACGAAAAGACATTGAAGGAAAATATTCCAGACCTTGCTAACAATAAGCAAATTGTTGTTCAATTTCTGGAAAAGCCAGAAAATTTGAAAGAAGGTGATTTGACTATCAAGGTTCAAAGGTGGCAACCATTATCTTGGAGTTTCTATGGAGGTTCAGATGCCAAATTTGAAGTAATTATTCCAAAGCAACAAGAACCACTCACACCTCAAGTATTCAGATCACTCATTTATAATGCCCTGAAGGATACTGTCTTGTCAGATGTTCCTCCTGAAAGAGTTGACCAAATTGGTATTTCCCGTGCACCACACCAATTTGATTACTTTATCATTAAGGAATGCATTCAAGTTGCAATTTTGAATTATGAGGAAATTGATACACTCAAGGATTTACACAAGCCACCTTTCATTTTGGCTCAAGACGATATTATGATCATTAGACTAAAGGATGAACTCGATAAGTATGATATGACTGAACTAAAGACTAAGAGAGCATCAGCACCAAGTAGTACTGGCCGTGTTGAGAAGGCTCTCAAGATTAATGTTATTGATAAGGAAACTGAACAAAAAGAAGAGGAAGAAAGAAAAAAGCAACAAGAGCAACAACAAGCTTCATCCACCAGTGCTAGTGGTGAACAAACTACTGTCAATGGTGGTGATAAGATGGTTGACGATACAGCTCCAACCAGTACTGGAACTGAAGAAAATCCAAAGAAGAAAATGAAATCAGACGAATGACAAACAAGCTCTACTCTTGAAGAAAACCCAAAAAAGAAAATGAAATCAGAGTAAAATTATTTAATCATCATTCAAGTATTTTCTCACATCATCGTTGGATTCGTAGGCCCAGCCTAAATTACTTGTAGCCGATTCAAGAATTGATGTGTTATCACCTTCACAAGCTCCAAACACATATCCACTTGCTCTGTCTACTGCTTTCAATACTCTCAGAACGCTCTCCTTATCTTGAATATTCAGAGTGCAAAATGAAACGAGTGAATAATCCTCAATCACATCAGCCATTAGCTTGTTCAACCTCTTGAACCTATTTCTGTAATTTTTAACTTTGTTTTGTGGAGTATCCTCATCATCTTGCATAATATCCTCTTCTTCCTCTTCTTCAGCGTTATTGACATTGCACTTTTCACCATGTTCATGATCTGCTTCACAAACAGGTTTCTTTCCCATATTTCTTACCAAATAGGATAAATCCTGAACCTGTGTATAAAAGTCAATATCAAAAGCCAGTTTTCCATATTGTTGAATCAAGTCAACCTTGGACAAAACATTTACATGAGGAAGTTCCAATCTGATCATTATCGACAAGGAAACCATCAAAATTGAAATATATTTCGATGGATCTGTACAATGATGAGCATCCACTAAATTAACAGCACACAATCTGAAATGCCAGCCATTTGTTAACTTGTCACAAATATCCCTCACAACATTGTAATGTGTATATAATTCAATTTGTCCAGGCATATCAAAAATTACATAATACGAATCATCTTCAATATATGGTTTTAACTCTGTTTTTAACCAATCATCCATATGTTCCTTTAAATATTCTATACAATAAACAAGTCCACCATTTGGTCCTAATTTTAATTCCTCCATCACAGGTTCTATCGAAACTAAATCTTGAATATCCACAGCACATTCATATTTATATCCTTCATTGGCAGGATCCAAATTTACTACAATTACTTTTCTTCCAATTCCTTTCAAAAATTGTTGCATTCCATCACAATATGTACTCTATTAATATTAATAATTAAATCATCATTATTAATCATATGATGAGAATTACAAATATTAACGTCAATACAAAAATTATTATCATTTCATCATGGTCAATATATTAGAATTAATCGGAATCTTCTTACCTTACCACTTCCAGGTGGTCCACAAACGATTTGACCAAAAGGCATTTTTTTTCTATGAATGAAAAAGATGAAGTTTTGTTTTTTCGGAAGATGAGGATGAACAAATTATTTCATCATCCGAAAAATAATTTTAATTCGTGGCGTGATGACAATAGAAAGAAGAAAAAATGGTTTCATTCAATCACAAAGAGTTTCAAGAACCTGTAAAGATTATTTTGAGTGATTTCCTTGATGATTCAACAAGGAATCTTAATAGAATGCTCCGATCGAAATTAATGATCAATTCGCAACAACGTTTGGTTGATTTTCTGTTTCGTCTCTTATCCACCGAATATCCACCGCCACCCTCTTCATCCACACCATTGTTGTTGAGTGATAATGGTAATAGTGAATCGGAGAAGGCTTCCTTGCCATGTTGTAAATTGAGTGAGGAAGAAATTTTGCAAATTTGTTCGATGGTGAGTTGTTTTTGTATTATGATGATCATTATATTAATTCAATATATTTAACAATATATTAATTAATTGATTATAATTAAATATATTTAATAGTCGAGTAGATATTATGAAAATGTTCCGAATGTTATTAGATTAAATTCACCTTTATCAATTTGTGGAACAATCAAGGGATCTTTTTCGAGTTTGGACAAGATTTTGGATGAATGTAAAATTGTGGATCGAGAAAAACATACTGTAAATTATCAATGTAATGGATTATTGGTTTTGGGAGGATTTTCATTGACTCCATTCATATCAGGTCCTTACAAATTGCCAAGATATGCCTACTTTACTGTTGAGGTCGTTTTGGTATTGTACTGTTTGAAATTGTTAATGCCTGAAAAGGTGCATCTATTGAGGGGAAGTGTGGAAAATAGGTGGGTTAACTTTGGAAATTTTCATGATGTTTGTTTGGAAAGATTTGGAAAAGAGTCTGGAAAGAGGGTTTACAATGCAATTTCAGATATATTCCTGGACTTACCATTGGTAGCAATTGTGGATAATCAAGTCATGTGTGTAAATTCTGGGCTACCTTTCGGAGGACTGAAAGAAATAGAGGATGAAGAGAGAAGAATTGGATTGGAGAGTGCAGAATATACCAGTGCCGTGTCAGCATGTACAATGCATGAGGCTGAAGAGGTTCATGGATGGAAACTGAAACCACTGGCCAGTGAGTTATTATTCGGCCCAGATATAACTAAAAAGTTTTTGGAGGAGGAAAATTTGAAATTGTTAATTTCTGGAAAATTGTTGTGTGATTCTACCTCTACAGCTCATGATGGATTAGTGCTCATGGTGAGTAGCTTCCCAAGAGATGGACTACTGGGTGGTGTTATCCATCTAGAACGTAATTGCAAGTATAGAGTATTTTCATTCAAATGAAAGTTTACAATGACATGCATTTGATACAAACTAGCTGAAATTTAGATTATTTACATGAAAAGATTCGTAGATTGTAAATGAGCTTTACAATAACGAAAATTTGATACAAAACTGCAATTTTACAATCATTCATTATTGGTCACAGATCAATAGATATTTCAAGATTTCATCTTGAGTGAAAAATCTTTCCATTGCATGATCAACAATACAACCAATATCTCCTTCTAAAAATGTAACTTATTGGATCATGAAAAACTGTACAGAAATCAACCAACCCAAATGCATGAAAGATTACAATTTTCTAATGATAGGAGAATTAGGTCAATTTCAAATCTCCATAATTAACATTTTACATTGTAAACATTCGATTGTAAAGTCAATTTCAATTTTCGCACAGAGTATTATCTATTACCAGCTAAAGAGAAATTGAGAAGCTCGCATAGACCTTATCTTTGTACTGATCAATAATGAATCTACCCAATTTCCTTTCAATTCGTTCATCAACAAAAAAGCCAAGTCATAATTCGTGCTTTCCCAAAAAGCAAAATCATTTCTTTCTCTCGCTCAATTTTTTAAAAATAAATTACGCATAAAGCGAAAGTTACCTTGGTTTACTTTTCCCGCCAATTTTTTTACTTGTTCCTTGATCAACCAAAAACTCCCGAAAAGCAATAAATAGGGCTCGGTTTTGAGGTCATCAGGAAAATAAAACTTTAAAAAAAAACAACGAAAACAAATCACTCGAGTTTCTCTCCAAGAAGCCTTTGTAAGATATCATACCTGTAACCAAGTTTGCTTTTTGTAATCATATTACCACCACACTCTGTGTAAATTATAACAATACCTGTATTTTAAAACAATCCTTAGAAAAATGTACAAGAATTTGATCAATATTACTTCATTTGCTATTAGAAAGTCATCGACAACAAGTGGTTGTCATAAGGCTGGAAGCTTTGTCATGCCAACAGTTCATAGCTATCATCACAGTTTTAGAAATAGAGATTTGGAAAGAGTTGCCTCCTGTGTTGGCCATTCTCAAGATGTTACCGTCGATCAAAGCAACCTTTCGTATAGTATTCAACAATTAATTGACAAGTTGGAAAAGCTTGCCAAACTGGATCCACAATTGAAGAAGATTTTGCAAGATTATTCATCTGATGTTTCTATGACAAGAACTGCTAGAATGAACAAGTTGACTGCCCAACGTTTATTCGAATGCAACTTAAAGGTTCAACATTACCTCAGTGCACACGTTGGCACTCAAGAATTGAGATTCTTGTCAATGGTAAACTCTGATCTCGCTGATGAATGCTCTGTTATCAACAAGCGTTTGCAAAAACACATCTTTTCCACATAATCATTGTACTTTTACTCCAAACACCAACTTGTAAATAATATTACTGAATGTTTGAACATCAAGAAAACAATACAACCCTCTCTAGAGAATTAGTAGTTCGTTAAAGAATGGGAAAATAGCACAATAAAATCGCTTAAAATGTTTGACAGTTCACTTTACATTTGACATTTTTCTAAATCCAATCCCTGACACAATCAGTCTTTTATGTTATCTTTTTCAATTATGGAATTTTATGCTTTTGAAATATTGTAATCATGTAACCATCATTTGTAGACTCGACAAGGTACATCATTTTACTGTAGAAACATTATTGTAATCTCTTCTTTGTTTGAGGTTGTTGAAAATCATAATGACATATGTTTTTGATTTCTTGTGACAGATCCACTTATCAAAACCTCAACATCTGCTAGGGGGATCTAGAGATTGTTATCGTATTATCTTGGCATGTACTTATTCGAAGACTTCTCACCCTTAGTAGAAATCTAAAAATACAATCTTTACCTTCAAAAATTACAACTGTTGAGGTTGTATGATATCCAAGAACTTGGCAGAAAAAACTACTCGAAAAAATGACTAAAGTTCAACCTGTTCATGATGACAATAAGAAGGTAAGTTTCAAAACAACTTTACTAACATTCAAATCAAGCAAAATAAAAATGAAGATTTGCTTCTCTTAGATGGTGAAAAGGAAAAGCTTTGCGAAAGAAAGAAAATCATTCTCAAATCTTGCATTTCCATGAGATTAATCATTACCTTATTAATCATTCTCCTCTTGACGGCATGCTCCATCCTTACCTGGTTAGCTTCCTTCATTGGATCTATAACTGCCTTAGAAGAATTATCCCAGAATCTTGTTTCTAGAGTTGGAGAGAAGGCCATTACTTACATTGATAGTCAACTGGATCCTGTTGTGAAACTTTCATCAAGTTTTGCAGCTGACATTACCAACGGATCAATTTCTCTTCAACCCTCCATTAGCAACTTGTATCAAAAAGCAACAATCTACAAAGCATCAAGTGTTGGTGTTTTCTATTCACAAAGTTTGTACTCTGTTGTTTGGGCAGGTGTTTATCCGAATGAAGTATTGACCTATTCAGAGGCAATTCCTGGTCTAGTTTATTGGAAATTGGATGCTAGCAATGGAAATGTGGTCTCAGTGTTCAAAAATACGTCTACTATTCCTTTTTCAATCACTTCTCAAGCGTTCTGGGCTGGAAGTTTTGCATTATTCAACTCAACTGGTGCTGAAACGATTCTTGGAGCTCCGTATGTGGTAATCAATTCAGGAGTAGTGATTTATTGTTCTACAAAGATTTACGATCCAGTATTGATGGTTCAAGGAACAAAAAAAGTTATTGGAATTGCAAAAGTCAACTTGACCTTAAAGACCGTTCAGGATTTTTTACAGAAATTGTCCGTGATTGGAAATGGATACATAATATTATCAGAAACGAATAACAATGTGATCGGAGCTTCTATTAACTCAACTGCAACTGATGGAGTGTCTAGAATTTCCTTATTTGACCTTACTGATAAAAACGCTGGTCAACTGATGACAGATCTCAAAAATCAATATGGAGATATGAGCAAAGTTCCATCCTATAGCCAAATAACTAGTAAGGGAGTAGAATATTTCGTTTCCAAAATGGACTACCAATATCTCAATGTTCGTTGGAATCTGTATATGGTAATTTACAAATCTGATATCCAAAGAGTTACCAATATTAATACTGGTATCTCAGTTGCTGTTGCAGTTGTAGTTATTGGAGTGGGTATCATTTGTGGTGTCTTTATTGGACATATTGTAACGAAACCTCTCAGATTCCTTGAAGATCAATTTTCAAAAATCAAAACTTTTGATTTGAATTCTTGTAATTTCATTTCAAGCCAATTCAAAGAAGTTGATAGAATTTATGAGCATTTGTATGATATGGTCACTTGGCTTAATGAATTCAAGTCCTTCCTCCCAGAGAGTGTCTTTAATCAACTCAAACATATGGAACTAGTTGAAGATTCGAAACAGCACTCAGCAACTATTCGACAAAGCGTCCATGATTCACAAGCCATGATGTCCAGTGCTCAACTATCTTCCAAGCATTCTGGAAAATCAAGTAATCTCCAATCTGGCTTGGGAGGAATTACTTCTGGAGGTTTATTTAAGGTTGGATTATCCACGAATAAGGTAACAATAGTCTGTGTTAAACTATTTGGGTTTTCTAATGAGAATTCCATGCATGATTTATCGTTGCTATTCTCAAAGATTGCTTCCTGCCTTTCAAACTTGTCCAAAACTATGCAAGTCACTGATATGAAGATTAATTCTGTCGATGAATTTCAATTATGTTTTACAAATGACAAGAAGAAGAAATCAGAATTTTTGGCCTTAGATGCAAGTTTGAAAATTGCAAAGGCATTGAATAATATTACTGGAAAGTCGGGTCAGAAAATTGATTATTCAATTGGTGTTTGTTCTGATTTGGCAAATATTGGAAATTTGGGAACTAGTTCACTAAGATATTTTTCAATTGTTGGTTCTGTGGTTGACAATGCCAAGATAATTGCATTATTGGGACATTCTAGTGCTAGCAGAGTTCTTGTGGATGGAAATACTCTGACTAATGTCAAGGAACAATTCGTATACAAACCTGTGGATCGATTGGAAATGGAACTACACTCTAAAAAGACAATTTGTTCGATTTTTGAAGTGATTAGAGAGAATGTTGTTAATCAAGATGAATGGCTATACGAATTGGATCAATCGAATAGTAATAATAAGTATTTAGAGTTACAATCTATTTTCCATCAACTATTCGAAAGTTCATCATCCATTTCATTCGAAACTTTGAATGATTTCCGATCTAAACTTTCCCAATTCATGAATGAACATCCACAAGAAAGTTCAAACATGACCAAGACTTTAGAATTCTTAGAAATGGTTTTACAATGCTCTTCAGAATCTCAATCCCATGAAATGCTAAATAATTACAAAACTGTTTTGGAGAAACATTTGACCACTCTTTCTAAATACACCTATTCTGATTCCGATGTTATTGTAACCAAAATTAAAATTGATTAAAGTAACTTTGAATATCAATATGTTAGAATTCAGTTCAGTTTTTTCTCAAATTCCAATAATTTAATTGTCCACAATCCTTTCATTCCATTCCTCAATCTTTTGTAAAATTTCATTAATGTTTGGTCTTTCCTTTGGGTCATGACTCCATGATTGTCTAATGAGTAAAGTCATTTCAAAAATGATATCCGAGTGGTAGTTCAACACTTCGTTCCTAGGTAGGAATGTTTCACACCAAGTTTGACATTCCTCTGCAGTAGAAAATGGAATGACAGGTCTCAATCCTTCTTCACAAACACTCTTATGGAATTGATATGAGCTATTAAATACATTTGGTTTGGATAATTTCAATTTTTGAAGAGCTCTTGCGTCCATACTTTGATATGGTTCTGTTATTTCGAATATTAATTGCCACATTACAATAGCCAAACTGTAAATATCAATTGATCGAGCATCATTTCTACCAATATCTCCCGAAAAGAGTTCAGGACTGTTTCACCACCATATTATTGATATTGCACAATTATAAATCCATTCAGAAAAAAACTAACCTCATATAATTACTCGTTCCAATATGATTGGTGAGGGCTGAAATGCTGTGAGAAGACAAGACTCTTCCCAATCCAAAATCACACAACTTGGCAGTTCCATTCTTGTCTAAAAGAATATTTGCTGGTTTCAAATCTCTGAATAATTGTGGACTAATTAAAAAATACTGAGATAGATCAAACATACCTGTGGACAATAAAGTTCGGCTCCAAACAATGTAGATAATTGATTCCACTGGCTACATTGAGTAGAATGGACAGTTTCAGTTGAAGTGAACACTTCAATTGGTGTAATTCCAAGCTTCTAATCAAGGATTCCAAACTCTTATCCATATATTCCATTGCAATAAACCTCTTTGTGGGTGTTGATGAAATACCATAAAAATTGATAATGTTGGGATGTCTCAATTTGGACAATAGAATGGCTTCAAATTTGAAATCATCTTCTGAAATATTAATATTATTCAAGTCAAATACTTTGACAGCAATAATAATTCCATTATATTTGGTTGAAAAGACACTTCCCATTCCTCCTTCTCCAAGTCTCTGAGTTAAAAATGGTAAATTAGAACTAAGAATATGAATAACGTACCTTAATTGGTTTGTCCATGTGTAACAGCTCAACAGGAATAATAAAATTCTGCTCCTCCTCACTGGTTGGCTTGGATCCAGAGCCATTACTTGTATATTCCATTTCAGATTGAGATAAGAGTCTTTGATCTAAAGTGAGGTCAGTATCATTTATCCTCTTTTGCTTTCTGTACTTCCTTGTGATGAAAATCAAGACAACTGAAATGATTGCAATGACCAATGCAAAAAATCCTATCAGTCCAAGAACAATTCCCAACATTAAATTGCTGTATTCACATCTCTCTCCACCAAAGCCTTCCTTACATTCGCACATATCATGCTTTACACAATTTCCATTACGATTGCAAGCTTCAGATCCAGATATTCCAAAACAAATTGCAATTTGACATGAAACACCTGTATATCCAATACTACAATTACAATTATTTGGAGAAATACAAGTTCCATTAGAAGAACAAACAGACTGGCTTTCACTGGAAATCCCATTACAAATAGGATATTGACATTGAGAGCCAGAAAATCCAGCATGGCACACACACTTGTTATATTCAACACACGTTCCATTTCCGCCATTGCACGAAGTGCTTTCATTTGAAGCAATGCCAAAGCATGTGGCTATACATTCTGTCATTGTCATACTAAGGACATACCCATCTTTGCAGTAGGGTTTCATCTTGTATATGACATTATATTTGGAATCTGAAATGTAGATTTCACCTTTTCCATCATTGGAAAATGTAATACCTTCAGGAATTCCCAATGGAGCACTCACTGCTGACAATTCCATATTAGAATAGTATAGACCTCCATAGGATGTGTCTGTTCCATTTCCAGCAATTGTTGTAATTATTCCATCTTTGATTCTTCTAATTCTACCATTGTTAGAATCTGAGAAAATGATATCCTCGTATGGAGGAATGAGCTTTAAAAATGTTGGACTGTTAAGTTGGGCGTTTTTAGCAGGTAGTCCATCTCCACTAAATCCCTTAATACCTGTTCCAGCCAATGTTGAAATTGTTCCATTTTTGTAAACTATTCTAATTCGGTGATTGTTTCGGTCAGAAAATATGATGTCCCCTGTGATTTTTGAATAAGCAATACCAGATGGGTAGGCCAAAGATGTTTGTAATGAATTAATATCATCTGCATAGAATCCATATCCACCATTTCCAGCGATTGTGTGCACAATTCCATTTCTAATCATCCTAATCATGTTATTCGTTACATCAGTGAAATAAATGTCATTATTTGGTGCGATGGTCAATCCAAGACAATTTCCAATAGCATTTTCAGAAGGACCTAAATCTCCAACTCCTCCAGCAAGTATTTCTATTGTCTTTTTCATAGTATAGACTCGAATTTTATCATTTCTAGTATCGGCCACTAGTACCATCTTCTCCTCTAAGGAATTTGCTACTGCATGAACAGACATAGGCCCATTAATTTTGGCAGTAAGTGCTGAATCGCCATCTCCCTCAAATCCAGGAAATCCTGTCTGGCTAACAACTGTTCTAATGTTGAAATCAGTTGTTGAAATGGCCCTAATCTTATTGTTAAATGTATCAGCTTCAAGAAATGTTAATTATTGAATGGATAGAAAAACAGAACTTACCAACATAAATGTCTGAATACCCATAACTGACACTGTGAGGATAAAAGAGCTGACTTCTGATAGCTGGACCTTCATCACCACTACTTCCATCAATTCCTGTTCCTGCAAGTGTTTTTACTGTTACATCTGTAATCACTCTAATTCTATGATTATTTGTATCCTTTTAGTAACTTGTTAATGTTTCCAATATGTGATAAAACTTACAGCAACAATTAAACCCATTTGTGCTGAAATGACACCCATTGGGTTATTGAATTGAGTTTCGAGTGGTAATTTACCATCTCCATTGTAACCTGGTTCTCCAGATCCAGCAACTGTTGAAACTATTCCAGTAGATAACGTAATTTTACGAATAACATGATTATTAGAGTCTGCAACATAAATAGCACTATATTCAGCATGTATTCCTGAAGGGTGGTTGAAAGTGCTGTTCAATGCTATTCCATCTATATGTCCTTTAATACCTGGTTGACCAGCAATAAGTGAAACAGTTTTTGATAGCAAGTGAATACGCCACACACAGTGATTACTATCCGAGAAGAATATATATGTTTCTCCTTCACGTCTAAGTGTAGTAATGCCAGATGGTCCACTAATTCCATGATCCTTCTTATTTGCAATTGTTGAAATAGTTCCATTTGTTGAGCTGATCATTAACACACGATCATTACTCGTATCTGACACAAAAATCAAAATATCATTTGAAGAGGCAAAAGAGGAGACTCCTGATGGTCTGTTCAGTACTGAGGATTTGACATTGGTTGGTGCATCTCTTGAAGTGGAAAATTTGTTTCCAAATAAAATGGAATGGCTAGCAGTATTTGATTTGTTGAGTTTGACAAGAAAGTTTACAGTCCAATAACTAATATCATTTGAAATTAGTAAATTTGAATTCAAGTCCAATGCTATTGAGTATGGGTTAGAAATTATTGGTGTTGCTCGATACGGTTCATCTTGTGAGAGTGGAACTAATGTATTTTCAACTATTCCAATATTTCCATCTGAGAGTGTGTAATTGAGTATTGATGCGGATCCAGATTCCAGAATTAATAACGATGGAGAGCCGCTACTATCTGAATAGATCAAATCTTTGGGTGACCTTAGTAAAAATGGTGCTTTCATATCTTTTGCATTCATATTAAAAACTCTCATTCCATTCTTTGAAAATAGAGATGAAATAATGCCAGTTTTCAAATCAATTTGTCTTATATGGTTAATTCCTATCAACCACAATTTACTTCCAATAACAGAAAGTGAATTCAAAAAATTAATGGAAGCGTCAGTGGCTAAACCTCCATCCCCTGAATCTCCTGATGTTATAAAAGCACCACCTATTGATGTAGTATTCATTCCAATGATGGAAGATCCCGAGTACTTGACAGTGGTTTTAAATATTTGAAAGTCTGGAAACTTAAAATAGTAAAAAGACTCGACACTGTCAATAATTTCATTATTGTCAAGCTCAAATGTCAAAAAGTTGCTGCTGCCACTAAGTGAGATGATTGTCGTTATGTTTCCACTTGTATGATGTAATTTCCTTATAGTGTACAAAGCAGCAATGTACAAATCATTGTTTGAATTGACATGAATAGAATTAATATGTAACAAGTCGTCAAATCCTGGAATCTTTTTCACAGAGGACTGTCTCTCATCGATTTCATAAATTCTCGTATAATCTGAATAGTAAATAAGAATCAGGTCATTCTTTTTGTGAACAGAAAGTAAACCCAACAAGCAAAATGTCATTTCACTCAATTGTGTAGTTGTTTGCGAATCACAATCACAGGATCGACCACCAGCTATAATCACAGAACTCCCACTAGTAGCATTATATTTAACTAGATTACAAACACCAGCTTCTTCCTTCATACAGTAAAATATATCATTTCCATTCTCATTGATTGGTTTAGCCAAATATCCAACAGTTTCCAAAATTGTTTCCACACCCCCATCTGTTAAATTTAATCTCATCAATGACCACACCGATGTAGAAACATATCCACCGAGGTAGACTATTTGTTCGGGATGTTGAAATGATTCATAAACCATCTTGACTTCATACTTGAGCCATGGTTTTGTCTTGTTGCTGGTGGCCAAGTAATGGCTTGATGGTATATTGGACACCAACACTAGAACCATCAGTGGGAGAGGTGTATCCACTCGCAACCATCACCAGCATCCAAGTTATGGCAATGAGAAAATAAAGATTGTAATGGATTTGCTGTCGTCTCATTTTTTTGTGAACATTCAATCCCATTTTGATATTCGGATCAAATTCCTTGTAAAAGTTTAAATCCACATCATCATCATATGAGACATAGATAATATTATCTAATTTCAGACAGAAAAATATTATTAATATTTTGCAAGAGTGGACCAATGATAGTACGAAAAGGTGGCATGAATTAATTGCTGGAAAACAACCAATTTATAATCCATCATGAAAATTTCTTCTACTATTTAATTCTGATTTAGCAGGGTGATGAAATCATGATGAGTAATTACCCATTGTTTTTTTTTTGTTGAATATTTAACGGTCGGAACAAACAACTTTCAGCGGTTTTGGTTGGCGCGAAATTACCCTTCCTTTATGAGTGAATGTTAGTGAACCAAGAGAATGTTGAGTCATAAGTGGATGTAGAGCAATAAATATTCAGAAATAGTATCAAAACTGATTGAATGTTAGGAAGTTTCCATTTATTTGTTAAACAATGTTTTTAGAGAATAGAGAACCAAGCCAGTCAACCCAATTTTCACAATTGTTTTCAATACTTTCCAAATAATAAACAAAGTTGGAGAAAGAGTTTCCTTCAACATTTCATCAATATCCAACTTGGTTGGGATTTCTCTTTTAGAATTGAGATTAAAACTTCTATTTCCTTGAAGTTTTTCATCGAATAGAGATCGCAATAGGAAAGAGGCAACATCCTGACGAGTAACTTTGGATGTGCCTTTCGGATAATTATTATCCTCTCCAAATTCGAAATCTAGAGTTATTGGTGAGTCCACCAATTGAGGAGGTCTTACAATGGCATAAGTAATTTTGGAATCTTTGGTCAATTGGCACAAAGCTCTTTCAGAATTTGCCAAATCTTGATAAACATTGTGGATAATATACTTTTTAAGGATATTATCAAAAAACCATGATTGTTTCACATCGAGAATGCCAGCCGACGTAATAATTGCAATTCTCATTGGCTTATCCTGTTTTAACATTGCTTTAACTGTATTTGAAACTCCAGTTTCTACTAACGTTGTCTTTCCAATAGTTTTTGATCCGAGTGAACTAATCACATGAGTAACTGATGAACTAATCAACTCTTCCACATCTTCCAAACGAGTAGCATCTCCCTTCACAATTGTCATCAATTCTCCAAAATCCTTCTTCAAATACGAAAGCATACTAGGATTCCTGGCCAACACTCTCACTTTCATTCTATTCGAAAGGAGTAGTAAGAGACATTGCTTGCCAACTCCTTGAGTAGCTCCAAGAAGTGCAATTTCACCAACAGTTGAATTAAATTGAGACATTTTTTAATGTTTAAGTTGGGCTGAGTTGAATAAGATTGATTTTGAATGGAATTGAAATGTGCGATCAGCGGATGTATTAGTAAAATATCCATCTCTCAACAAGAAACATTTATTCCGCCACGCCTCTTGAATATGGTTCATCTGGTTGGTTGGACATTTTGATTCTTACGTTTACTTCCAATTAGAAAAATCTTGTTTAATTTTGAGTTGATGAAGATAGCTTAACAATTTCACTCGGAGTTTGATAAGAGTTTGAAGATTGCTCACAAATAACAACACTTTGTGTTTCTGTTTCAGTAGTTGATGACATTTCTCAAATTATTAAAAAGCTATCACTGTATTTCAAGTAATCTTAATTTTTTTTGGATAGAAATTGATAATTTCATGCTCCTGTATATAAAGCTGTAAATTACAAAAGAAGCGCTGAATTGTGAACTCTCGGAAGTTGGCTACCTTAAAATCTTAATTCCAATTCGGATCAAGTTCAAAGATCAGAGTCATCACATTGTTGAATACACTCTTCAACTTCAATTTGAATGAATCAAAGTCCTTTGAATTTCCTTCCGTTCTGTCCACCTTATTTTACCTTAATGATTTCTCTCTCTGAGTAAAATCCTCCAATTCTGCTGTGTTGTGGTGTTACATAGATCACAACCCAGCAGAATATTAAAACGCTAAGAATTCATCAAATTGCCCGAACAGAGAGAATTTCAATAACAAACAAAATGTTGTCATCAACATGCAAATCGTCAAGCACCTTAATCATGTTCGAAATTCTTCTCCTCATTGTTTTATTACTCAACAGAGAAAGAGTAAATGCACAGACGTGTAAAGTTGGCACCTTCCTTAATCCAACTCCTTGTACCAATTGTTCTGTTTGCTCTGGAGCTGCATCTTCTTCATGTTGCACACTTGATAATGATGCAGTGGTCAGAGGAGTATTACAATTGATTGATCCTACCAATGAGAGTTGTCTGAATAAGATGAAGGAATATCTGTGTGCAATGTGTGATCCGAAGAATCAGAAATTTGTTGTGAATGGAAAATTAAACATGTGCCGTTCGAGATGTTTGGAGAGTAATGATTTGTGTGGGGTTTCGGCAACCATGACTTGTTCTTCCAATTCGGATAACAATTGTTGGAGTGCAGCTGTATCGTTGAATGTTGTCAGCTATCGAATGCTACTACCCATCTCTTTATTAATCTTCTTAATGTTTGTTCATTAAAGATTTAATAAATATTACCAAATAACGAGGAAATTCCATAGACCAACGCACTCACCAAACAGAAACAACAACAATCGTTATATTATATAGATTATTGATTTATTGGTGATGATTTCATCTCCGTGCTTGACATCATTATGGAATCAAAACGATGGGGCAGAAAAATATTGCAATTGAACAAACATCATGCCGGCTGATTCACCAAAAGATTGTCAAGTTTGAGCTAGGACTTTGAATTTAATACAATTTGATTTTATTCGAAAGTTCACTTTAGTAAATATTGTAAAGTGTTGATTAGTTTGACATGACACCGTAACTGCGCAAGATAATTACTTCTTTACTAACATGTTCAGCATCATAATCAAAAAAATGGCATCAAACAACCGAAACTTTTTCGTCTTGTTTGCTTGTGTGATGAGTTTAGTCTTCCTACAACTCGTTTCGGCCAAGTTAACCATCCAACCAGAAAGCAATTCTTGGTGGATTCAACTTCACTCTACCGAACCAGCCAAATACATTAAAGTTTCGTATAAAACTTCTTCAGGCCAAAGAGTTTCGGTTACTGCAAAACGTCCAAGTTGGGATTCAGCACATAACTATTTCACATGCAGCGCACCAGCAGAAATTCCAAACAATGCACTCACCACCTTTACTCTTATCAAAATGAATGGAAAGCGTCAAACCATGTCCATGAAATTCTATAATCGAAACTCTGTTTCTTCTTCTGGAGCTAGCTCTCACTCTGGTGGACACAGCCATGGATCCAACCCTTCTAGCAGCGGCAGTGGTCATAAAATTGCCTATGCCACATGGTATGACCAAACAGCTGCTGGAACTCCAGTTTGTGGATTCAAAACTAAATATTGTGGAGCTCCCTCAGATCAATTCGAAGGTCTTGGCGAAAGAGTTGGACCATGTTCTGGTGGATCTGCCAGTTCCACATGTCAAAATTGTCAACGTGGCTACTGTTATGGTCCTAAATGTGTAGCTCCACATTGTAAACATGGTGGTTGTAATAAGAAACTCAAAATTTGGTGTGTGGACACAGCTCAAGGAGCTTGCAAAACCACCAAACCAATCATCATGACCATTAATAATATTTGTCCGAAAAGACATCCTTGCAATACATGTAAGGGAGGTGAAAATCCGTGTGCCAGAAAGGATCACTTGGATTTGTGTGAGAGTACCTTCTTTGCCATTGCAAATCATCAACCAAGAGCTAAGGGATTGAAAATTGCCTTTGAATTGGTTCATTAAATATTTTTAATATTTATTAAAACGATGATTTTTTATACTATTGTAAGTCAATACATGTAAAATTTGATAAAAAATATAATTGCAAAAAAGAAAGGAAACTGGAATTGATTGAAAATGGAATTCGGTTGATTGTAAGATCTTTGGGATTACAATTGACAAGCTGTGTGGGTAGGAAAACTGAAGATGTGAGTGATTGACATTTAGAGAGATATAACATTTTGTTAAAGAGATAACACCTTTACAATAATAATATGGATAATAAAATTGGAAAGATTATATTAGAATCATAAATAAAATATCAAAAAAATGACAACACTAACAATCAATACCAATTTCATTTTAGAGGGTTTTAAAAGCTTCCGTAAATCCCTTACTACATCACCTCTCTTTACAAAATCACCTCCCGCTAAAACTATTCGAAACCTCAATACATCCAATCATTCGAATAATGATAGAGACCACGACGATTACTTCTTTCACGAAGAAGAATTACAAAAGAGAAGAGAATTACAAGTAAAGAAAATACCGGAAAGAAAAAAGGAAGAATTCGAAAGAAGAGTAAAGAGACGAAAGGTTTCGATTGGTTCCGCCAAGTATAAACCAGTTGTAATTGTGGAGGTAAAGAGATCAAACTTGCAAATTATTAGTTCCTTAAACTTGGAAACTCGACAAGATTTTGATGAGAAACCAAAAATGGTGATGAGAGAAAGAAGTAGAACTGCCGCACCTTTACTTCACCTTTAGACGAAACTTGCAGAAGAAAGGTTTTGGAGCTTATTAAAATGGTTGGCCCATTTACAGAAAAACAGAATCTTTCTCTAATAAATAGAATAACTTGCGAGAATTAAAATTATTTTTGTAATTTTTGTAATTTAATAAAAAAATTTAATTAAAGATCTGCATCTTCAATCAGAGAATTTTCAATAAGAATAAACAATGCCTCCAAATCATCTTGTTTTTGTAAGAGTTCAATACTTGCAGTGTCTAATCTGAAAGATTTATCTCTCAATCGAATAAATCTGATGGCCTTAACAAGAATGTCAAAGATGATGTGTTTGTGGGCCTTGTATGTCTTATTCCTCAATCGATCAATCATTGAATTAATATCACAGAATAGTGAGAGAATAAAGACTGCATGCATGATGAATTTTCTCGTATCAACGTCATCGTTGGAAGAAATTGTGAGAATATAATCGAAAAGAGTGGAAACTACATTGTCGTTCACTCGTTCAGATTTGAGCATACCAATGGCCTTAATGGCATGTAAACGAAGAATGACCATTGATCTTCCTTCCTCGATGATTCTCAATAAGAGAGATTGAACTACCTTTTCATCGTTATAATTTGCAACGTATCCTAAAGATTCGGCACAGAGAGCTCTGATTACTTCTGGAACTTCACGATTTTCCAAACGTTCCATCAAGTGTTGGACAATGTTTTGTGCACCCCTTTCTGATTTTCTACCCAACAAACGAACTGAAACTTCCACCACACCAATGTCAGTATGTTTCAATAATTGAATAAAAGTATCAATGACTGCTTGATTGTTTGTATGACTAATCTTTTCCAAAGTTGTTGTACATGAGGTAATAACTTCCTCTGATTCTGAGAGAAGTCGCTTACAAAGAATTTCAATGATTTTCTGATCACCTTTCTTTGCAATTTGAGCAAGAGCAATGGCACTCTGTTCTCTGTTTACATCCTTGGATGATCTGTTTGAAAATTGTTCCAAGAGTGCACAAATGACAACTTCATCCTCCTTTGGAGCTGAATATCCAAGTGCACAAATAATTCTGTCAGGTTGAGATGAGGTCTTTAACATTTGAAGGAGTTTGCTAACAAGGGCAGGATCCTTTCTTTGACTGATAGATCCCAAGGCCATTGCAACTCGGTATGCAATTGACTTTCTTTCATTTTCCAACATGTTCAATAATCTGTACTGAATAACAGGCAACAAATCAGGAATAACAACTGCAGAGAATGCTTCACTGACAATCATGTCATCAAAACTGCTTTCTTTCAAACAATCAATGAGTGTATCAATAATTTCCATGTCACCCTTTTCGGCTAATTTACCCAAGCAAATACAAGCTTCATAACACTTGTTCGAAACCTTGGTCAATTCAGAAATAACAAGCGGATCACCATATTTTGCAACAGATCCCAATCCAATACAAGCAACCTTTCTAAAGTTGTAATCGTTCAACATTGGAATCAACATGTTAATAATTGTCGAATCTTCTTTCTCTGCAACCTTTGTAATTGCTTCAATGGCTGCTTCAATAAGAGGAACGTTGGCTTTGTTGCTTGTACCCTTTGGAGTATTGTTAATAATATTAGTTAGGGCTGAAATAACCGCCTTGTCACCTCTATCAGCCAATTTACCAATACAAATGCAAAGTCTCTTTCTAATATTGATATCCTTGGTTTCTTCCAATTTCTTAATGAGAATCGAGACGAATTTTTGTTCTCCCTTTGGCATAATAATTGAAAGTGCATGAATAGCATATTCGTTGGTTTCTACGTGTTGTAAAAGCCCATCACCAATCTTTTCGAATAATTGATTGTACATGAACGATCTAGTAATTGCCTTATTTCTCAAATCTTCTGATTTGTGAATGAGTCCTTGCACAATCATTGAGACATTCTCATCAGTCTTTAATTGCTTCATAATCTTGGAGTATTCTTGATGCTCAGATTTTGGTCTCTCCATAATCATATTGTAAATAACACTGTCAACTGAAGTCAAATCCTTCTTGAATAATTTCATGATGAGTTTGATGAAATCATCAAAATCGTTTTTGGCCATTTCAGATGCACAGAACAAGAATGTTTCACTAATGAATTATAAGATGAAAACTATTCGAAATAACTTACGTATAGAATGGATCAACAATAAATTGTTGAATTCTTTCCTTGAAAAATTCAAGCTTGTTCTTGGAAAATGGACCAGTTGCTCTCACTCTAAAATCACTGACAACAGATGTGTTAGCCCAGTGACTTGCTACAAGATATTGTTGGAAAGAAGTGTGACTGAAACGATATTTACCATCTCCACATGCCATAATTAATGGGAATTTACCCGAGTCAATTCTAGGTTGAAGAACTTTCCATTGGTTTTGGAATTCTCCATTCGAAACTGCATGGAAAATCCAATCGTCACCCTTGGAAACTAAATCATTTTCTGCAGTGCTGGTAAACAAGCCACCATCACTGGTATTATTGAGAGATAATTTTCGAGCAACTTCAATAGAATTAGTAAAATCTTGAGAACTGAACGTATGTCTTCTCAATTTGTGTAAAAAGATGGACACTTTTCTCAAGAATTCAATGAGGGTAATTTGCATTCTATTGACTTTCTGCTGATCTGACACCAACTTGGTATAGTGAAGTCTGGTAATTGTTTGGAGAGCATTTTGATAAATCTTGGATCTGATTTCTGGAAGGGAGCCATTTGTCTTGTACTCTTGAATGATGAGTGAAAGTAAAAGTGGATTCTTTGCCAATTCTCTGTACTTTCCCTTGATTGCTGAAAAGAATAAACTATCCACAATGTTACGTTTCAGAGCAATCTTCTTTTGAATATCAAATGTTAAATTTTCCAAAGTGGCAGCAATAAAGGAGGAGAAGAATTTTCTTGTTTTAGAATCAGCTTCAATACCACCCAATCTAGTTGTAACCATAAGTCCATTAGAGTTAGAAACTTCATCTGGAGGTGGGAATTGTTCAACCAGAGATAGCAAGAGTCTCTTCTTTTGTTGAGGAGAAGCAATTTCATCAATACCATCGAAAATGAAGAGAACTCGTTGTTCCTTCATGGCTGTCATCAAGTAGTGTTCCAAAAGATTGACATACCTCACACTGTTACCATTGGCACTATTTTGCATACTGGCACCAGCACTAGCTCTAATACATTTCAAACGGAAATCAGCATCGGCATTTCTCAAACTAGCAAAAATACCAGCAGGAATGAAGAGTGGAATGAGAATTCTGTCACCAGTGACTTGAGAGGATTTACGTTGCTCAATCTTCTTCTTGATGAATCTTGTGACCACCATCTTGAGCATTGAGGTCTTTCCTGATGAAGCATTTGAAGTAAGCAAGAATCGAAGATTATTAGAAGGAAGTGAAGAAATGAATTCTGCTCCATCTTCATGGAAAATATTCTTGTACTCTTCATATTCAACTTTTTCGTCTGTTTTACCATTCGAAAGTTCTTCAGAAAAATCTTCAATAATGTGAACTCTTCTTTCATTGTCGAATTCCTTGTCATCACTGGCTTGTGTAGTGGTGGTAGTAGATGCACTGTTTGTTGAAGAGCCAGTTCCAATCAATTCATCAACCCAGTTCTTTCCATGTTGAATCAAATGAAGAGGAACACAATGCTCATCCACATATAAAGTTTCCTGACTGATTGGCTCGACAAACAGTCTTTCATTTTGTAAAATCATGTCCAAATATTGGCTTTCTGCTGTTTCATAAGCTTGTTCAGAGAGAGGTTTCAAATATTCTTCAATATCCCAATTCGATTCTCCAATAACAAGACAATTTTGAATCAGATTGAGTACGTCCAAGTTGAAAGGAAAACCTGCCTTTCTAACTAGATTGTTATAACTGAGAACGGTAACAATACCTGTCCTTTCATCGTCCACAATGTCTACATCAAATCCTTGATTGGCTGTAATCATCTTCTTGAAACCTCTTTCAGCATTCTTTGGAATTTTGTCAAAATCCAAGTATTCTTGGTAAGCTTGTCTAAAGTTTGCCCAGGTTACTTCTTTCATTTCTGACCAACCACTTTGTTTCCAAAATTCTCTGGCCTTGTCCAATTCAATAGATTTGAGTGGGTCTCTAATTTTCATTAATCTAGCTCTTTCCAATTGTCCTAAAAGACTTGCCAATTCTTTAACATCATTATCTATGAATTCATCACTTTTGGATGGTGTAGAAGGTGTATTTTGATCTATTTTTGGTATCAGTTCAGAAATTTCCTTATCCAAATCACTAATAATTTCCTTAGCTTCTGGTCTATCGACTGGGTCAATCTTTAAACATCTGTCAATAATTCTAACTAAAACTTCATCATTATTCTTCAATCTTTGCATGATATATTCTGGATTATTTCTAATTTCATTGATTAAATCAGGAATTTCACTTTGGGAATACAAACAAAGCAATTGGAATAATAAAATACCCAAAGACCAAATATCCACTGCCTCATCATAACGCTTACTTTCAAGCATTTCTGGGGCAATATATTTCATTGTACCCATGACAGTGTTCATGAGTTTTTCATCTTTCCTAGTGAAACCAAAGTCACAAACTTTGATCATTTGCTTATTCTTTGTAAGTAAAATGTTATCTGGTTTGATATCTCTGTGTGCAATTTTCTGACTGTGCATATATTCCATACATTTACAAATTTGTTTAGTCCAACTCTTGATTATATCAGTTTCGAATGGACGTTGTTCACGTTGTCTTCTGGAAATTTCTAATTCCAAACTTCCATCAATACAATATTCCATAACAATATAGAAACGAGTTTGTTCAACAATTGATCCCTTCTTTTTCTCTTCAAAAATGTAGTGATGTTTCACAATATTTTCCTGTTGCAAGGTCAATAAAAATTGTAAATCTCTTCTTGCAGTTTCTATTAAAGAATTAATTTCAAATCAATTGATTGAGGAGAAAAACTTACCAATTTCTTCTGGATCTTCACAAACAACCAACTTGATGGCCACGTTTGCATCTTCTCCCTCGAGTGGATTTTTGAGCTCTGCAGAAAAAACTGCTCCTTCATTACCTCCACCAATCTTTTTAACAATTTTGAAATCTTTTAATGTTCTTTGAGTACTATTCTCGATTGTTGTACTATTCACAGTGGCAATGTCTTTCTTTTCTGTTGTTGTTGTTGTACTGTCACTTTCTTCACTACTATTGGAAGGTTTAGTTTCAGATGAAACCTCTGTTTCTTCTGGTTTCTTCTCGGTTGTATTAACTGTATTATTGTTAGATATGGTATTAGATGACTCGGATGATGATTTTTCAGTTTGAATTTCCTCTTTCGTCTCGTTATTTTCAGTAGACGAAACCTTTTCCATCCCATTATTATTGATATCGCCATTATTATTATTGATAGCAGCAAGACTTCCATTCACACTACCACCCACCAATGAAGATGATGACGATCCGGCCGAATTATTCATAGTCGGACTGACAGCTGTCGATCGAGGTGTTGTTCCTCCAGCACTATCAGCACCACCTCCACCTCCAACACTTCCATCATTACTTCTTGGTGAATACAATAGACTATTACTATTCCCTCCTCGTGGTGTTGTTGGTGAGGCCTCCACTTGCACCTTGTTGGAAAAACTCTCGTGCCTCTTGAGCGCGTTAAAAATGCTATCAGACATTTTTTTTTTTTGGATGATGAAAATTGCTGTTGTTGATGGGAGGATGAGAATGAACGAATGAGGAAGGGACAAGAGACGAGATTTCAGTGATGTTTGTCTGAGGAAGTTCCCTGCAAAGAGTTTGAGAGAAGATTTTTTATGGTGGATTCGTGTGAGTTTTTTTTCGATTTGTATACAATGGTTGATTGTAATAAATTAAAGGATTTTATTAAGGGGAAGCAAAATTAAATTGAAGGGAAGCATTTGGAATGGTAGGAGGGAGAGGTGGAGCCATTCCAATTGGATGTGCTGATATTCCAGATAAACTTCCAAGGGTTAACCATCTGAGCAAAAGAATGAGACCAATCATGGCCAAATAAATATAAAAGAATTTCAATGCCAAAAGTGCAATATTCAAAATAGCTTTGAAAGCAGACTCTAAAAATGTATCTTGTTGACTTGGTGTCATTGTAACAGTTCCAACTTTGAGTTGATTTTGTAATTGCATTTCAATCCAAGTTGATTTGATTAGTGAAATGTAGAGTTGTTGATTTTTGATAATTCTTGATGGAGAGGTGTTTTGTACATTGTTATTTACAGAATTTTCTCTTAGTGAGGTTGAAATTTGGTTAGTTTGATTCGAATGAGTTTCTAATAAATTATTTGAGGTATTGTTTTGAGAAATGGATGGAGGAGTGGAAATGGTAGAATTCTCTGATAATGTTTGATTGAGGGTCACAATCGTAAACTGTTTCTTATTTGATTTGATGAGCAAAATGACTTGTTCATCAGTTTTATGGGAAAGAACGAAGAATGCAAAAACAAACAATCCAATCGTTGTAATTATCAATCCAATTCTTCTCTCATGAATCAAAACCATACTATAGTTGACAATTTTTTGGATAAAGGTGTTGCTTGATTGAGTAGTTGTTATCGTTTGATTATCATTGTCCATTTCCCTATTAGGAATTGATTTCAAAAAGGATTTTATCTTGTCCAGAACGGAAACAAGACATAAACACAATACTAAACATAAGAGTATTGTCAGGTGATTAGGACCTGTCGCCGATGATGTTGTTTCTAAACCTGTTTCATCCACACTATTTGACTTTCTATTACAAAAACTAAAGAATTGAAAGTTATGCGAAATTAACCAATCATACACCATTGAATGTATGGAAAATGGTGGTATGGCAGTCATTGAACAAAACCACGACGATTCATCCATTACAATTTGATTATTACTGTTCATTTTCAAATCTCAATGCTCGGAATCTATTTTTCAGTCAACTGCTAATTTGTCCTTTCGTTTTTATCAATTATTATTAATAATAAATAACCCTGAGAGAGCTCTTCAGAAGGAATGCTGTTGTTTTTTTTAAATATATCATCATGCTGGTTGTTGGCTTGGATTGATTCTTACCAAACTTCCAACATGCCTCAAAATGGCACTCCAACCAAGAATTGAAAAATTGGCGCGATAAATGGAAGATCCAAAAAGACCTCACTTGCCGAGCGCTGAAGGAGGAGAGAAATTGCTTCCGCTCTTAAGGAAAATCCACGCTTTATCTGCATCAGCAAGATGATGTTGTTTTTGAGCTTGTGTTGAGAAGGTTATGAATTGGCAGTTGACAGATATTGGAAAAAGTCCGTCTTATTGAAATATAAATTTCGCTCGTGGAAAATGAGGGTGTAATAATGTGAGAGTGTAAATTACCGATTAGTTCTGTTATCGATTCTCAATTTCATCACCCTGAATGCATCACTAGAAAATGATTGTCATTTGAGTTGATTAGTTTCGGAATTGATTTCAAATTTTTCGAAAGGACATTAGAGAATCACCTCATGCTCACTAATCTCTCTCAGCAAATGTAACCTCATAATTAATCTGGGGATGACGCTTATTACTCAAAGTGCGATGATCAGCGCACTAAAATCGTGGCTTTTGGATTTTGATTGTTTTTTAATATATCCTTAAAGGAATGAGAAGTTTTCTTTGATAATCTCCTGTAGAATCTGTGATTTACAGTAAATTGAGAATGACAAAGCTTTTTCTGGGATTCAAACAAGGTCGATTTATAAATATTTAAAACAATTAAATCGGAACAATTAAATAAGAGATAATATTTGTAAAATTATTTAGCAGCCAGAATGGAAGAGTCCCCTAATTATCTTTTTAATTTCCGAAATCTGTGGTTGTCGATCATATTAATTTTTAACACGTTTATTCATCAGAAATACTGGCGTTCTCTCTATCATTTCTATAGAATTCGGGTAGCTCTTCTACGGGAATGAATGTAAGGGTATGGATCTTCAATTCTATTGGAATAGAATTCATGAATTGAGTCAAAGTAGGTAGTGATCCCTTCTTTCCCGATGAGACTACTGTTTTAAAATCATCGATGCGAATTTCCCATTTTTCAAAGTACTATTAATGCATAGTGATTATGTCAAAGTTCAGTGACTAGAAATTTAAGAGAAAAAGCCCAGGAAAAGATGCCAAATTACCTTAGAGTGTGAATTTATTGTAACCAAGATTGACAAGTAGAAACAGCGTTAGGAGATGTAGTTCCAACTGGTGGGAATCTCAACCATTCTCTCATGGAAACTTGTGAAACACCCAAAGTTGGATCGTGCATTGGCATGGTAGCAACACCTTGAGCCATACCAACTCCCCATTGTGGATGTTGCAAATCAAAGATAATAGTTCTGGCATAATCTAAATTTTGTTGAGCATCTCTCCAACCATCAATGAAAGTTTGTGAGCTAACTCTAATTGGAGCAGTGAATTGAGTATTATTGGATTTGTAAAAGAATGAATAATATCCGAATTGAGCAATAGCATCCTTAGGAATTGGATAATTAGTGAATGGATCAGTCTTGGATGAATCCAAAGCAACAACTGTCAACATGTCAACATAAACCTTAACAAGTGGACTTCCAAAGAATCTACGGTTTGATGTAACAGCACCAACAACTGAATATCCTTCAAAACTACCCTTTTCTAATCTGAAACTTGTTGGTAAATTGGAAGAATTGGTAAAATCAATGCCGAATCTTGTCTTGAAAAATTGCAAACCTTCATTCAAACGTTGAGCTGTGAATCGTTGAGTATTTAATGGATATTCTAAACGTTTAGGGATTAATTCAAAGGAAACAGCATCATCATATAAAAGTGTCAATTCAGCAATAAAATTCTTGCTTGGATCACAAGTCACTTGTCCATATGTGAAATTTGCAAGAATTAATAATATTAATACATTAACAAGAAGAATAAACTTCATATTGTACAAGAGGAGGAAGGAGAGGTGGTTAATAATTTACAAGAGGAAAGAAAGACCTTTCGTTTAGAATCGTTTTTTTTGTTCTGAGATTAGTTGTGTGGTGAACACTTCATTGTGACCGACACGTTTGACAATTAAAAAGATATTTAACAACAGAATTGAGAAGTAGACTGCCTTTATTTATTTTGAAACCAATAAGAATCTTCTAATGACCAAAAGCCCTTCATAAGATATTGTAAAGGTTACATGTTAATTATTGTAATGTCACCAATTATGAAGAAGGTACTCTTAATACATTACTTGATTGAGTTAATTGGGTAAGCATCTCTTTTGAGGAAGGTAATATCTTGGGAAAATGTTTTACAAAAGTGCCAACTTGCCGGCTGTCATTTTTTTGAAATGGCAGTTGACAACCATTAAGAAGGTATTTAATGACCCGCTAATCTCATAGATCCTTTTTCTTTGCGCATGTTCCAACGTATTTCACAATCGAACCTTCAAAACCAGAGTCATTTCCAATAACAAAAAAAATCAAAACTAATCTCAATAACCTTTAGTTCACACTTTCTCTCTGTATCATTATTATTATCCACAAAGTGTTCAATTTACTCTAATTGATTCACTGCCCTGTACACTTCCACCTTGTAAAATATATTTCCTTGTAACAATATTAAATAATGACCTCCAACAATTATTGTAAATTAACCATCATGATGTTTTTCATGATGATATTATTCATGGCCTCTCTTTCCCATGCCTACTCTCCAACCACCGAAACTGATCCAGATGAATACGATACTCAATTCTCCCTCTCTCTAGTTTCGAATACTTTAGGTTCTATTGAACCAGGTCCAGTAACCAGATATCCAGATGCCTACGAAAAGGCCACAAGTTTCTTCAGAAATCAATATGGTTTAGATATTTCTGCTGATGGATCTCGTCTCCCAGTTGGTGCTCAACTCGTTACTGGTTCTGCCTCAGCTTACGTTATGAATTATGCCAAAGTTCGTGGTTATCCAATTTTGGCAGGTTCACAAGATGTTGGAGTTCATGATGATACTATTAGTATTGTCCTTTCTCAACCAGCTGTTGTTCATGGAGCTTATGGTGGTAAGAATGGAACTTTTGTCGATGGAAATTCTGTTTTAATTTTTGGTTTTTATACTTTCTTTTGGAAAGTTAATGGAACTTCAGTTTTTCCAAGATCTACCTTTGCAGGAATGATGCCAATGAAGATTGGTCCAGATGGTTCAATGGTTGTTGATTGTGAATTGACTTCTAATATATTTGGAAAGGGTATGGCTAGAGGAATTATGCTCATTAGAATTAATCCTCTAACTGGTCAACCTTACACAACCATTGTTAGTTCACATACTTACCAAATGTCAAAGACTGATACATCTCCAAAATGTGCTGTATTGACAACTGAAAAGGACATTCACAATGATGACTTTGTTGTCAAGTGGAATAATGTCTTGTTGAGCGTCATTCGTGATTTGAAAGTTGCTCCACCAATTGCCTCAAGACAAATGGCCATTCTTCACACTGCCATTGATGATGCCCTTGGTAATTGCAGAAGATTGAGATATACTTCTAGAAAGTGTACTCGTGCTACTTTGGTTTCTGTTATTTCATATGCTGCTCATCGTGTCTTGTCCAATTTGTATCCAGCTCAAATTGATTGTTTCAATGGAGCTTTGAAGAGAGCTTTGGAATGTAATGAATGTAAGACTGTTCCTAGAACTGAATTGGTTGCCATCGGTAAATCAGGTTCTTTGGCAGCTGACAGAGTTTTGAGATGTAGAGATAATGATGGTAGTACTGATTTTGTTGATTATAATTTCTCTAATGGACCAATGTCTTATCAATCCCATGCTCCAAACTATGTCAGAGTTCCATTGTTACCTCAATGGCCAAATGTTGAACCATTTGGTGTTCAAGATGTTGATTCTTTCGATCAAGGTCCTCCACCACAAATTGGAACTCCTGCATTCGAAAGTTCATACGATGAAGTTTTCACATATGGTAAGAATGATTCTAGTGTGAGAACATTTGAACAACGTAGAATTGCCTTGTTCTGGGCTGATAATGCTGGTACAAGTACTCCACCAGGTCACTGGAATATCATTTTACAATCCATCATTAGAAAGATGAATATTGTTGATACTTTCAAGATTTCTGGCATGTTTAAGGTTTTGACTAGTTCATTGGCTGATGCTGCTATCGTCTGTTGGTATCATAAATACAAGTATGATGCCTTCCGTCCAGTTACTGCCATTGCCAACAGAAATAGAAATACTAATTGGTTCCCATTTTTGGCAACTCCTCCATTCCCAGAATATTCTTCAGGACACTCAACATTTTCTGCTGCAGGTGCCAGAGCTTTAAGTTTATTATTGGGAACTGATGATATTTCCTTTGAAACCATTTCTGAAGGTTATGTTCATCATGTGAGACAGTTCAGTAAATTGTCAGATGCTGCAAAAGAAGCTGGTAAATCAAGAATCTATGGTGGTATTCACTTTGAATATGCCAACCAAGCTGGTTATACTTCAGGTGTTGCTGTTGCCAATGCTGTTTACAATCAGTTGTGTAGAAATGGTTCATGTCTCGTATAAATAAAACTAATCCAATAAGAATTTTCAATAATTCTGAACAAATTATTATTCCCTATACTCAAATCAATTGAACTATGTAAATAAAATTAATAATTTCACTTCAATTCATTGAGAATTGACTTACTTAATATTTTTCAAATATTTTTGATGGAGAATCTTACAAAGGCGGGAAAATGGAATGTAGTGCGTACGCAGAAAATAAAAATAGATTCAAAAAAAAATACCTCGAAAAATGATGCAACAACTCTTGACCATTTTGAATTTGTCTGCTGAGGATGCCGAAAACACTCTTCAAACAATTAAAACTGTGATGGATAAGCAATTGGGACAATTTTATAATTCTACAAAATGTGATTTTACTAAAACCATTCCATACGGTGATCTTTCTTATGATTTTGTGATTTGTTTGGAAAAGAAAATTAGTGATGAATTTATTTTGGAATGTTTCCGAGTTTTGAAGAATGGCGGATCTATTTTCCTTGCTAATAATAATGACAATTCTGATGCATTGATGATGAACGGATTTTTAAGTATTACACAACAAGAAAGCGTTGTCAAAGCTACTAAACCTTCTTTGAATTTGGGATCCAGTTTCTCCCTCTCAACTAAACAAGCACAAACTGCTCCAATCAACACAACTACACAACAAACCAATGTCAAGAAGTGGACTTTGACAAATCTCGATGACGATGATGTTATTGGTGATGATGACTTGTTGGAAGATGATGATTTGAATAATGCTAGCACTAGTGATGATTGTGGAACTGGTATTGGAGGAGAAAAGAAGGCCTGTAAGAATTGTACTTGTGGTAGAAAGGAAGGTGAAATTCCAGAGCCAACCGAATATGTTAGTTCTTGTGGTAACTGTTTTAAGGGAGATGCTTTCAGATGTGGAACTTGTCCATATCTTGGTATGCCAGCATTTGAACCTGGTGAAAAACTTCAACTTAAGAACACTATGGATATTTAAAGCTATTTTAATTTACATATAAACCTAGTTTGATTTGAGAAGCTTTCTAATACTCATCTTGATAATATCATCAACTTCCACTCTTGCTTGTCTCTTCTTATCCAATTCTTGAGTTGTGAGTTGAGCAAGGAATGGCATAAAGTCTTGTTCAACTTGTCTATGTACAATATCGTAGAAGAAACCCTCTTCTTGCAGAGTTGTAAAAACATTGAGATCCAAATTTTCAAGATATTGATTTGCAAATTGTCTACTAGCCAATTTTCGTCTACATTCTTGTTCTCTTTGTAATCTTTGTCTTTCTTGTTCCTTACGACGCTCCTTCTCTTCAAATCTTCTCTTTTCAGCTGCTTCAAGTCTTTGAGTTTCTGCCAATTCAGCATTACGCTTTTGAGCAAATTCTTTCTTTTGTTGCTTGAGAGCTTCCATTTCTTCCTCTTCCAAAACTTCAAGCATTGATTGTTCTAATGTTTTTCCGATAATTACTTCCAATATTGGTGCAACCTCAAAGTCAAAATCAAACAAATCCTCTTCCACTTGAACACCTGTATCAACACCTGTTTTTGAGGGTATGAAAACTGGAGATTCAGGTCTGTCTTGAAAAGGATCTGTTTGCGTCCACACATCTGTTTCTTCAATTTCCTCCATATATGTTTCTGTTTGGATTTCAATATGTTTCCTACCATCAACCGGATCTAAATTTCTCTCAGCTAGTAATTGTTCTTGTAAATCTCTTTCTTGTCTTTGTTTTACTTCCAACAATTTTCTTTTTTGTAGTTGTTTTTCCCTCTTTTCTTCGAGCTCCATTTCAAGTTGTTGGTTTTGTGGTATTATTTGTTGAGCATAGGTATTACCTCTGTAAACTCTTCTATCATACATAATATTTCCAGTGTTATTCAGAGAGTTCCCTCGGCTAGATACTTCCGCAAAGGGATCTCTATACTTGTTCTTCTTTGAGGAGTTGTTGACAGGCTTTGGCTCCTGCTGAAATGAATGAAATGCTGCTTGCATTTTTTTTACTTGTTTTAAAACTGACAAACTGTAAGTTTTTAGTTCAAAAATGGCGCCATTTTATTTGTTGAGAGATGATGAAAAAGGGAAACTTAATACCTATGGCAAGATGATGAAATAAGGATTACGCAAAGATTATTAAAACATAATAGAAAAATATCATGATCAAATTATAGAATTTTTGGAATTATTTTTAATGTGTTTAATATTCATATTCAACTTCTTCATTTATGAAGCCTCTTTCACTGACGTAAATACCGTCCAAGAACTTACGAATATCCTTGTTCTTAACGAGGGTAGCAAGATGGATAGCGGCAGCAGAGTTGGAGACAAGTTCCAAATCATTACCAGTAATTTGAATTTCGTCCTTTTGACCAGTAACTTCAACAACACAACCTTCTCTCATGTCGACCTTTCTGACTCTCTTTTCACCCAAGAAGTTTCTGATTTCAATGTTCTTCTTGTCGTCAGAAATCTTACAGTTGACAGGGAAATGCGCATAGACGAATCTCATCTTGTACTTGTATCCCTTGGTAACACCAACAATCATGTTTTGAATGTGGGTAGCAACAGTTCTAACGAGAGATGATTCTCTTCTGTTACCGTGGAACTTTTGAACGACAACTCTAGTGAAGTTATTTTCTTCAGTTGGTTGTTCAACGAAGACGTCGAGTTGAACGTGTTGGAAGTTTCTATGCAAAGTACCTCTTGGACCAGTAACGGCGACACGTCTAGCCTTGACAGTGATGGTAACACCCTTTGGGACCTTAACAGTTTCGACAGTGTTCAAGCTCTTCATTCTTTGTGTAAGCAGGTGGTAAGTAAAAAACCGAGAGGATGACAACTTACTTGTTTTGACGATTTTTTTTTCAACAAACTTTGTTTAATTTTTGGGTGACTAAATCTTTACAATGAAAAAGTTTGCTTGGATTTTTGAATGGATTTTTCATTATGAAAATAAAATTGCACTTTGAAGCAGGAATGACTTCATAAATTTTCATTGTTCGTTCATCACTCTCCACCTTTTTGTGTTTGATAATTCATGATAATTTCCCAACAACAATAACTTCTCCGCATCATCAATATCTACAACAACAATATGAACATGTATTACTAACGGAATGGAGGAACAAATAACCGACATTTGGTGTTAAATCAACTAATAACATTAAAATACAATAATAATTTATTCTTCTTCACCATCATCAACAACATTACTACTACTAGCTCCGTTGTTATTATTACTATTACTATAGGCTTGTGTTTTTTGTACGAGTTGGTAAAACATGTTCAAATTGAGAGCCATGATGGATTGATTTCTCTTCGATTCATCTTCTCCTTCATCAGTAATAATCCTTGACTTTAGCTGGCCATCCTTCTTATCTAATTCCAAACTCACTTTTCCTTCCTTCACTAGAAAAGAAAAGTAGAAAATGTTTTCAATAGTGTGACAGAATGATGTTGGATCAACTACAATATCGGGCAGTGAAAGCTGTTGTTCATTTCCCTTTCGTTTCTTTAAATTACTTTTCATTGTCTTGAAAAGTTTTCCTACAGCCCTAGTGGTAGCATCCTCTTTAGATTGCTCATTAAATTCCTCTGCTTGTTTTTCTTCTGTTACTTCATCTCTTGTTCTCTTTGTACGTTCCTTCTTCTTTCTTTCCTTTCTTTCAGTTGACAAAGGTCCATGCATAAATGTCACTGTTGGTGTTCGTTTAAAGATGTGTGTAACACTACTTCCAACACTATTCCAATCGATATCATAGGTAGCATCCTCCGAATCATCACGACTTGATCTTGTTCCTCCTCGTTGTTTTCCAAACTTTTCATCCAATTTGATCAAGAAATCTGTTGGATCCCATTCTTTTCCTAGTGTAATTGCTTTCAATTGTTGAATACTATGTTTAGATAATTGTTCAAAAAGTGCTGATTCCAAGGCTCCTTCTCTAGCGTGTACAATGTTCTTTTCCATTGCTTTCATTTTGCCAAACATGTGAATGATTTCCTTATCACCAGGCTTTGTCAGTTTTTCAATATTCTTGTCAGCCTCGTTGACAGAGGCTATGATTTTGGCTCTCAACTCTCGTCTAAAAGCATCTGTTTTTTTAGTATCATCATCAACTTCTTCCCCTTCCACCTCCGAAGAATGATCATCTTGTTGTGATTCCTCCTCTTCTTGTTGCTCTTCTTCCTCTTCACTTTCTTCCTCCTCCGAAGAATGTTCTTCAACAACTTGTTTCCTCTTACTTTTTTGCATTTTTTTCTTCTAGTTTTTATTGGATTGAGAAACGGTTCCCGCCAAAAGCAAAAATTTTATGGATAAAGACAACAAAAATTGTTGGAATTCATTCTTGCACAAGAAGAAAAATAAATTAATTATTTTATTTGGACCAAAGAGAAATGTTTGGGAAGGCTACACAAATTTTAGTATTGAACTCTTCTTCTTCGTACGGAAGAGGATTTTCGTCAAGATTGACTATTGTGGCACTATTAGAAATGACTCCACTTGGTATTCTCTTGATTTGATTATTCTTCATGGATAACAGGTTGAGTTTAGTCAATTCGCTCAAACCTTCCAAAAATCTAATCTTGTTATTATCAAGAATTAATGTTTCCAAATTCTTCAATTTTAATTGAGGAATAAAAAGAATATCATTGTTAGAAAGATCAATAACTTTCAAATTGTCACACAAATTTGGAATAGCATTGAGGATATTAATTCGAGAAATATTCATGGAAGGAATGGCCAATTTTTCAACATCATCCTTATTGGTATGTTTGAGTAAAAAGTCACTTCCTAATAAAAAGATTAATCACAATTTCTTTCAATAATACATACTAATGTCATTATAGTAACCCTTGTGGGTAGGATCGATTTGAATTAATTTCTCAAGATGAGTCAAAACAGTAGTCTTTTCCGATTCTTCAAGCTTGTGTTCATCCAACATGTTCAATACAATAGTAACAAGACACCCTAAATAATAATTAGTAAATTCAACTAATTGTGAAAAACTCACATTTTTCATCTAATGGATTCTTCAAATCAGTCATCATTTCCAATAAATCATTACAAGTTTCCAAATCCTTTGATTTAAGTTGTTTTCCTTCGGCTATTTACAATATTAAAAAATCAAATTCAACTCGTTTCAAACTTACATGTTGACAATAACCAACGGTGATAAATCCAAGCACTCTGATTGGATGGTTCTGTATAGAATGCATTTGTACAAAGATCATATTCTTGATTGATGACTTCACTGAGGGGAATGCCTTCCTGTTCAGAATATTCCACAAGGAGAGAGGATCTATTATGCCAAGCAGAGTAATTTTGTACATCATCCAACATGCCATATAAATATTCCAATTCTGATGATGGCTTTCTTTCAAGTAAATGTAAAATAAATCTTCTATAATTCCAACAGTGGACTAAATTGATCAATCAACAATTCCGAAATAAATTATTCACTTACAATTTCTATTATCATATTTCAGTAATTGTGATGTCAAATCCAAATCAGTTTCCCAATAAGTCTTGTCAAGCTTTTTCATAACCCATGAACGATGATGCCAAGTACCATATGACTTCATGTGATGCTTACTAAGAATTGTAGCAGTTAATTTTAATTCATTTTCATAAACTTCCTTGATTTTTTCTGGGGCAGTTTCAATCAAATGTGTAATAATTTCCTTTCTATAATTCCACAAACTATAAAATTCCGGGGAAATACAAAGAGCAGTTTCAATATTTGCCAACAATTCCTGAGCATAATTTGCTTCCTTCTTATTCTGCAAAATATTCTTTCTGAGTGATGAAAAGACTTGAATTTTCTCCTTCAGAATGAGTGCCTTCTTCTCATCAAGGGTTTGATTTCTTGGTCTTCCGTGCATTTTGGGGTTGTTGATTGTCAAAGATGAAGAGAAAAAAATCCAAAAGATGTGATGCTCCTATTTTTTTGATGATTTTTGTAAACGTTGGTGATGACGATTTTCATAAGGTTTACATACGTGTTGATTGCAAAGTTATTATTGTTATATGAAGTGATCAATAATATTATCAAACATAAGCGTATTGGTTGTCAATTTTTTCAAAATTAGATCTCATTCTGAAGTTGCCATGAAAATGGCGTTCGATCACGAGGGAAATTTGAATCAGAAGGAAATCCATTCCAATACTCTCTGGATTTTGGTTGACTTTGAAGGAATCAATTTCTCCAGATTCAAAACAGTACTGTTAAATAAGAATCCAATCATTCTCTATTTGAAAGATTGAGTGAAAAAACCGTAAACTGTTATCCAGATGTTCGTTTGGTAAAATTCACCTCTTTTGTTAATAGATCTAATTTAAACAAGTTAGTTTACATTGATGAAGATTGACCATTTTAATACCATGCAACATTTATACAATCATTGAAGTTAATGAGCAGTGTTAATTTAATTTTCTCTTTCCAAAAACATGGAAATGAATCAAAACTACAAAAAAGGTAAAAAGTTAAAAATATACGCGAAAAAGTACTTATTTGAAATTGTCCCCACCATCTTACAAAACGGTTACAATTTAATCAATGATTGAGACAGAACAATATTCAATAGTATTTATTTGATATTTTGTGAGGGGTTTATACAATTGCATACAATAACTTCCATCATTATCAATTCAGATCTACATTCGGTTGTATTTCCATCAGTCAATATTAGAGAGTTAACAACACTCACACTATTCGAAATGCTTTCAATGATTGAGAGAACATTGGTCAATGAATAATTGTAAGAGTGTGTAGATGCATTTCATTGTGAATCATTCGATTTCACAACACATCAGTTTTAGGCATTCCATCATACTTGCAAAAGAAAACTACCAAACTGATCAAACAATATTCTTCACAGATGATAACTCGATATAAATAGGATTGTATTTCTCTTTAATCTTTTAAAAAACCATTCTCAATCTATCAACAATCTTGCCCAAACATCAACGCATTGTAGTTTGAAAAAGGCGCCATCACATCACAAAAACGATTCACTGGTTGACGTTGTAGGAAGCAAAACAAGCCTTACATCAAAAGCGCGATCCAAGCAGCTTCTTTTGTAGTCACATCTTCAACACTGGCACGATTGTGTCTTTTTATATAAATACACTGAGGTTTGTAGCAGCGATACAAACATCAAGATACATTAAAAAAAAGACAGAACAAGATTGTCTCTCAACAAGAAGAATAACATCAGACTGCAACAATACTAAACAACAAATATTTTGAGACAAGACAATTTGATAACATCCGATCAAACTCAATTACAACAACAACAATACAACAACAAGAAGAAACTCAACAAGAAACTCAAAGATGGTGCACAAAACAGTGATAACCGAACAAAGTAAGTATCCAAATACACTACTGATATCAACAAGCCTTTTTCAGAATGGTTCAAAGATTCGCCAACAGGTGGCCCTTGTGGAAGATATGGTCACAGATGTGTAGTATATGAAGATACAATGTATTTGAATGGAGGATATAATGGAAAGGAAAGAATGAAAGATACATTTGCATATAATTTAGGTAAGTGAATCAAGCCTTCAAATTCTAATTGACTTGTAACAGAAAAGAAAGTATGGAGAGAAATTGAAAATAAGGGAGAAGTGCCTTCCGAAAGAGATTGTCATTCAGCAGTACTTTACAAACACTATATGGTTATATTTGGTGGAGGTGATGGTTTCAATTGGTTAAATGATATGTACATGTTCGATATTAAGAACGAAGCATGGAAGAAGATTGAACCAAAAGGACAAGTACCAAGTGGAAGAGCTGGTCACTCTGCTAATGTTTACAAAGATAAGATGTACGTATTTGGAGGATGGAATGGTAGAAGAACTTTGAATTGTCTCTATTGTTTCGATTTCCTCTCAGGATATTGGAGCAGAGTTGAAACAAGTGGTGTTCCTCCTCAAAGCAGAGACTCTCATACTTGTAATCTGGTTGGTGATAAGCTCATTGTTATTGGTGGTGGTGATGGTAAACAAAGACTCAATGATTTACACGAACATGATATCATTTCTGGTAAATGGAGAAGACTTTCATACATTGGTGAGGTGAATGCTGGTAGAGCTGGTCATGTGAGTGTAGTATTTGATGGTAAAATCTACATCTTTGCAGGTGGTGATGGTTCTAATTGGCTCACAGATGTCTATGAATGTGATACAACTTGTATGAAGTGGACTCTGATAGAAACAGCTGGTACTAATAATGAATCGAATATTGCCCCAGGTTGCTATGGTTTGTCTGCAGTTCTCTACAAGACAAGTATGGTAATCTTTGGCGGTGGTGATGGTAAATCGTGGCACAATAAGATTTACGAATTCAAATTGGGTGATGATAAGAGAAAGAGAGAAACTAAGTCAAAGCTCTTCAATGAGGCTAGATATAACAAGCTGACAGATATTTGCATTGTTTGTGGTGATGAAGTTTCATCCACAATAACAACTAGCTCAATGATGTCTGCCAAAGTTGATGACGCCTCATACTTCAAGCCAAAGAGAGCTCTCAAAGAACCATCTGTCTCCTCACTCCTTAGTACAAGTACAGTGACGAGGAGCTCGTTAGATATTGCTTCGATTATTAGAGAAAGCGATATTGGTTTTAGAGAATTCTTAGAATTTGAGAATGCTCTTATTCAAAACTCTAGAATGGAAGATGACAACTAATGTAAATAACAAACAACAATAACAACTGTATAACCTTAATCGCCAAATACTAAGATCATTTGGTGATTATTTCGAGAGCTTTAAAATTTTCCCTTCAATAATAAAAGTGAAAATGTACATAATTTACGAGTTGTTTACTTGTATGGAATTTAATCAATTTGGAAGCAACTTGTGTTGATTGATAAATAACAAGTGTGCTCGTTTATCATGCATTGCCATATGCCAGTAGTATTAGAAACAAATGAGAATAATAAATTTAATTAGGAACTCCACTTCATCCAAAATTACAATAACAATTCCATTATTCATAATAATCCCAAACCGCTTCTATGTGAAGGAAAGATGACAATTTTAATGGACTTCCACCAATTTCATTTTGTTAATGGCATTTCTGCTGATGAATAATGTCAAAATTGGAAGGATCATTAACTGTTAATGGGATTGTGAGCAGATATGTTTTTGATCTATTGAATATTCCATACTGTGCACTACTGTTACTTGATGATTCAAGCTCATGATGACTAGAGACTCACTAATAAATTAATGGAAGAGTTTCCATACTGATTTCAAATCTCCAATAATTTAGAGATCATAATTCGGAAGATGATTACTCTTCCAAATAACCTTTGGTCTTTTGGTTAGTCTTGTGCATTTTCTTAAATAATCATCATATTAAATATTATAATTAAATATATTATTAATAAATTATTATACCAAATATCAACAAATAGCAACAAAATATTAGATCAAGATTTGCCGATAATAATACTCACATCGATGAAACTCTCCAAATCAGCCAAATACAAATCCATAAATTTGACTTGTCTTTCCAAGTCTTTCGCAATTTCTGTGGCTAGTCTGGTAGGAATATCAACCAACAGTTCGCATCTCTTCTTCAGGTATTCAATTTCCGAAGAGGATGGATTTGTAGGATTTAATGATGGATTTTCGCTCATTTTTTTTAAATATTTTTATTATAATATTTTTTAAATATTTTAAATAGTTTACAAAGTAGTATTATACACCAATGTATTTCGCAATACTTTTTGGATTGGCTCCCATTTTCAATAGGTCATCCACAACTTGTTCGAGATTCCAAGGATTTTTCCTTTTAAAAGATTCTCTCTTAACATGCTCTAAAGCATTTCTCTCCAAATGCAGAATCCAAGATTCACTGTCACAATTCAATGCATATTTGTACAATTCAAATATTTCCTCTCCATTAAATCGACTTTTAAATAAAAAATCATCACATTGCTTTACAAGAGATGGCATTCCAAATAATTCACCCAAAGTGAGGAATTCTACAAAGTTTCCCTTATTCAACTCAATTTTTTCACAATAGATAAAGTTTAGAATGAGAATGAGAGTTTCCTTTGGTAGAGATTGATATAATTCAATGATGGGAAGCTCTTTTCTTGCTTCTTGTTCTCTGAATTTGTTTCCCTCCTCAAATTGACAATTGATAATGACCTTGAAGAATTCACTTCTATCCATGATGAAATTCTTGTGGCAAGGAATGAATATTTCCTGCGGATTTTCAATTAAAGTAATGCCCATGTTACAGGTCACTCTAAAATTCAAGTTGAGTTGTGAAAATTGTAATGAAATACTAACCTTCTTATCTTGGTAAAAATGTCCATCTTTTCAAAAGGTTCAATTAATGGTAATATTGATAAATCGCTTGGTGATTGATTATTTACAAGAATGGGTTCTTTTTTCAAATAACCAAAAATAGTATTAAACAACTTTTCAATTTTGAATCTTAATGCCACACTAGCAAGGATTGACTGTTCTTCTAATTGTTGAGGAACATGTCCTGTATAGATCCACGTCAAAATACTTTCAAATAGAGACTTTCCTAAGGGAACCTGTCCGAAATCAATGAATGTTAGATTAGTTTGAATGTATTCCTTTAAACCTTCCATATCTGTAGGAATACCTTCAATGTACTCATCAATTGGAGTGTTCATATTAAAAAGAGAGTAACTTTCTTTCAATTTCTGAACTTTCTGCTTTTCCTTCTTTACAATACTGTACAATTGCTTTGGTGTTTCTTTTGGATATTTTTGTTTCATTTCATCTTCAATTTTCTTATTACTTTTCAAAGTAAGAAGATAATCTTCACATGAAAATATAGGAAAAACTCGTGTATCAATCTTATTCTTCACAAAATATACAATTTCAGGCCATTTTGCCAAAATAATCCACAAATGACACTTGTACTCAATTGGTGCTTGTTGATCTGCAAATTTCAATTTGAGAATCAAATCATAATCTTCATTATTTTGCGATTGATAAATAATTCTCTTCAAATATCGATCCAACAGTCCATTCAATGAATAATCATCCTTCTTTTTTGGTTTCGTATTTGCTTCCTCATTCGTCTTGTATGAATTATACAATTTGAGAGCATTTCTAACTTCCAATGAGAGACTATTCCACCAACATCGATGATATTTACAATCCCTAAGTCCCAAAGCACTTAAATAATGAACAATATCCAATGATCCACAAACACATGCATAATACAAGAGTGAATTTCCATGAAAATCAATTACGTTTTGCTTGACTCGTCCAGAAAGAATTAAATTTCGAAGTTCTCCCAATTTACCAGTTTTACAGAGAGAAATGGCAGTGTCCAGGTCTGGATCTTTGTTTTCCATTTTTTTTCTAATTTTTTAAAAATTTAAAATTTCTCTCTCTAGCTCAAATCAAATTCTAGATTGAAAATCAATTTCAAATTGTTCATATGAATTGGATAAATCCTCCCTCTGTGTTGTAAAGTTAATTTTTGGAAATATTTCATCTAGAGTATTTAAATTATTGTTATTGGAATTCTTACAAGCAAAATTGTTGAATGAGAGAGAAACTTTACAAAACATAGGGAGGACCACAATTCATTCGCGCGTTCCATTTCGAGCAATAAATATAAAATAATAAGCAACAGATATCAAACTTACTATCCGGAACAGCAAATTTCATTCCACACATTTCTAATATTTTCCTTTTGAGGAACACTTCTAGGACGGATGATAGACTAATACGAAAGAAAAATAATATCCAACAACAAGCAGAAAAACTTGAAGCGAGCTTTCAATTACCCGTAGAGCAACTTTCTCGAATATTGTTGGCGTTTTCGAATAGCAAACAATTCGACAAGGCGAAACAAAGAGCAGTTCTAAAAAAATGCAGACATTACCTAATACCCAATACAAAACATGTCAGAGAGCATGTTTAGTCATGTTTATAATGCTATTCATATTATCTGCATGTATTGTCGAATGCTTTCTAACAGTAAACATTACTTATTCGATTTCCACACTTGTTGGAAATGATGATAATAGCAAAACAATGGACGGATTGCCAGGTGTTGGCACTTTTGTAGATGGACCTACTGGATTATTCTGGCAAAATGGAATCTTGTTCTATGCAGGTAAGTTTCTTGTTGCATGTTGTGTGAAAAATTAAATTGAAATCGAATAGAAAGAAAACACATTAGAAAGTTGGAGAATGGAACAGTAACTACACTGGCAAGTGGTTTGTCTACACCAAATGGATTATTTGCTCTTAATAACACTATTTACTTTGCCGAAACTTCAGCTAATAGAATTAAGAGAATCAACAGTGATTTGACAATTGACATTGTGAGTGCAAACAATACTTCAGGAGGATATAATGGTGATGGCATGCTTTTTAACGCAACATTCTTTGATCAACCAGTCAGTTTATGTATTGGTAGTGAAAATATAATTTACATTACTGATTCGAATAATTACAGAATTAGAAAGGTAGATACAGATGGAAAGGTTAAAACAATTGTTGGTGCAGGACTGAATGGTTTTAATGGTGATGGTCTCGGTGTTGCCACATACATAACGTAAGTTTTCACATGCACTTTTCATTGTTAACTTTCGAATAGTTGGGCAACTTCTATTAAATACTGGACGAATGGCTTGAAATCACTATTATACTTTGTACAGTTGAATGAAGGAACCATCAGAACACTAGATCTGAGCACTAACTTGATTACAACCATTGCTGGAATTAGGGCAGCTGGAACTTTTGATGGAGATGGAAAATCAGCTTTACAAACTTCATTCTTTCGAATGACTGATGTTACAATATCAAAAAAGAATGGAAATATTTATGTTACTGATAAGAGCAATCAAAGGATTCGTAAAATTAGCAGTTCTACCAATTTGGTTTCGACAATTGCAGGAAATGGATCCATTGGATTTGTTGACTCAATGTCAAATGCCATCAATGCTTCATTGTTTAATCCAATGTATTTAGTTTTGACTGATAATGATGAAATAATCTTCTCAGAGTTTGGAAATAATAGAATTAGAAAATTAACTCCAACCTGTCCAGAAGGTTACATGTTAGATCTTTACAATGACACTTGTAAAATGTCTTGTTATGGAAAGGCGTATAATGATCCCAATGTTTGTAGTTCAAGAGGCATTTGTGGTTCTCCTGATAATTGTATTTGCTCTGGTGATTATTTTGGACTGGAATGTGGATCTCAATGTGATGCTTTTTCACTGCCAACTGTCAGGTCTGGATCTAAATGTTTGCCATTTTGTTACTCATTGATGGGAAAGGTAGATTTGATATTATCAAGAGCTAAAGCTATGGTCAATTCAAATGTTACTCTACATGCGAGTATCAATGATAATTGCCTTTCAGAAGTCAAGCAATTTTTGAATATTTCTTACATGATTACAAAACCAGATAATAGTACAGACACAATTAGTACCAACGATATGATGATCATCTTGAGTATGAATCAAATAGGCGTCTATACTGCTTCGGTTAAAATCGAATTGAATTCAACCATCATTTTCATTTCGAATAACTCAATTTCAGTAACTTGTAAAACAAAGGAAGATTATCTTTCAGGTGACTTGACCAAGATTCCAGTTGATGAACTAATTGATTTAGCTAACTCCCCAGATACTTATCAACAAATTGGAAACTTGACTGTTCAGTCAATTATGAAATCACTTGCTTCATCACTTTCTACTCAAATTAACCAGCAATTAGATTTACCTTCTCTTGCCAAGTTGACCAATGCGTTAGTTACTGTTTCTACAAAAAAAACATATATTTCAGAGGATGTTATTGTTGACTTGAATAATGCAATGTATAATGTTTCATTCTCAGTTGACAAGTTTAGTTCTAATTCGTCTAATTTCCAAGTTTTAGAGAGAATTGTGACCTCAATAGTTGAAGGTTTCACCAATTGTTATTCAACATCAAACCAAACATCACCTTCAACTGTCAACAATTTGCTCAATCGAGTTGTTTCTATGGTTTCCAAAACATCCAACAAGTCAGACGATGAATTTACAACAAAATCATCAGAATTTACAATTAATGTGAAAAGAAACATTTTAACTCAATTTTTCAATTCCACACACGTCAACTTGTACTCACCAAAGAATCTAAGAGATTCCACTATTTCAGTTGCAACCATTTCATTCACAAATCCTCTCAAAATGGTCAACTCATCAAAGGATGCAGAAAATATTTTAACATCAATTCCAATTACAGAGCAACTCTTCAATCAGTCGAATGTAAATATTAGTTTCAGTATTTCACCAATTGTTGAAATTCACTATCTCAAAAATGGTCAAGTAATCAAGCTGGTCAACCTTGCCGATCCAATTATCTTCCAATTTATCACTCAAAATATTTCAACACTTAACATGACTAACTACAAGGTGAAATGTATGTATCTACATGAGGAAACAAACAAATGGTTGTCAGATGGCTGTCAATCTTCATTTGATTCAATGTCATCAGTTGTGACCTGCTCTTGCAATCACACGACTAAATTTTCAAGTTTCGTAATGAGAGAAACTAATCTCACCTTATACTCTGAACATCAATTAGAAACTGATATTTCCTTAGCAGTTTCTGGAATAACAGTCTCGTCAATATTCATCTTATGGATTATATTGATTATTATTGGCTTAATCTTTACAAGAAATACGAATCCAAGAAAGTCAAGATGGATTATTCCTTATCTTTGCCTTACTTCACTCTTAATTGACCTCAGTTTCTCAGATATTGTTTCGAATGCCCTCTTCCTCTCCAAGGAAATCAAATCTTCCGATATTATCAGATCAGTTTCTGTTATAGTGACATCAGTTTTCTACATTCTGGCCATTTTCAATTATCTCATTCTCCATTTGAGATATATCCTATTCAGATACACATACGAAATTATGTTTTCTATTGCAGTCAAGAATGAACAGCAAAAGATTGGTAAATGGATCAAAATTGTAAATAGCAAAGTGGCAGTTTTTGTGGTCAACTTGATTGGAGCTGTTGTCATTGTGATTTACTTTGTAATTTTCACTGCTTTGGTTAATACTGGATATATTCAAAAAGAATACTCAAAGATAATGTCAGCATCTTTCTTTGTGGTGGTTTCTTTAATTTATTTAATACTTTTAATGCTTGCCATATTTGATTTCTATATGGAAAATAGACATGTCAGTAAGGAGGAGAAATCGACAAGTGACAAGAAGAAGATTAGCTTATTTTTGGATATCTACAAGTTTATATTTGTGAATGATGTGTTGGTATTCAGAAAGGAGTTGATTTTTTCATTCATTTCGTATTTATTCTTTGTTTTGAACTTTGCTTTGGGTTTCTCCTCATTGGATAATCCGACTGTGACTTCATTTGCTGAGGCATCCTATGCATTTGGTGTTGTATACGAGTTCTTTAACATTCTGGCGTTTGGAGGTTTCGTATTCCTTGTGAATTTTTGCTCAATTAATTGGAAACGTAGAAACTATTCTAATCAAGATGATGAGAATGAAAATAGAGAACTAGATATTGTACTTTCCAATCCACAACTTTTGAAAATATTTGAAGAATATTGCATGAGAGAATTTTCTTTGGAAAATATTTTGATTTTCAAGAAACTTGAATCTTTACAAAAAAGTGAACTTTCACCAATTGACAACGAGTCACTTTTTGAAGAAATGAAAAAGGATTACTTTATTAATGGAGCAGAATTTGAAGTCAACCTTTCCTCCTCCATGAAAAAGCAATTTATTCAACTTTGTTCCGATCTGAAACATGTAGAAAGGACTCAAGTGGATGAAATATTGGAACGTTTGAGGGATGACATTTATATGAACTTGAGTGATACATTTTCTAGATTTATTTTCACCAACGAATATGCATCTATTAATGAGTGTATAGAATTGAAAGAAAAAACAGGCCAGTCCTTTACAAAATAAATCAATTTACAAATTATCACGTGAATTAAGTGCTGTCTGTGTCTTTGTAATTTTATGATAAAAATTCCAGATATCCAAACTCCAAATCATCAGTACTAAAGTACAATCTGCAATTTTACTTTCTTGACTTGGAAGAAAATTCATCATAAATTACATCAAGTTCAATTTCAGAAGAATCCTTAAAAACAATCTTTTGAACTCGACCTTGATGAATGAGCTTTTCAATGGGTTTCTCAATAATTTGTATTCCATTTTTAACATGCACTAAATGTTGTTGCTCTGGAGTGAGAGTACAAGGGCCATCAGTCAGCAATATTAAAGCCTTTGCCCAATTACTGATCATTACACATAAATCAAAGGTCTTTTCACTATTCGAAATGGGGGCTGTTTTTTTTTCAACCCATTGAAATGCAAACCTTGAAATCCATTGAAATCCATTCATATTCTTAGAATTACTCGTTATCTCTCCTCATCATCTCTATGTTTTTTACATTTATTTTATTTTTAAAAAAAATGTCTCTATTCCTTAATGAAAAACCATCAAAGAAGACTTTCCTCAATCCCGAGGTGTTTGAAGTGTTGGTACATTATTCGGAGAGTTGTGATGAGATTATTGGGATGTTTGAAGAGATTTTGAATGATTTGGATCCGAATTGCTTTATGAGAAAATTGAATTGGTATAAGAGTGTGGTGGAGAAGGAGACCATGTTGAATGGAGTAATTGATTATAGGATGGGATTTGACTGTTGCTATGGAAATGTTTGTGTTTTTCATTATAAGAGAAGAGAAAGATATTGTAGAGTATTTGAGGAACCATTTGGGAGGGAAGAAATTATGGAATGGTTCAAGTCGATTGAGGAAGGATCAGCTCAAAAACTTGAGATTAGTGAGGAACCATATGTAAATAATGAGCAAATGATTGTATACAAGAATTTTAAAGAAAAGATTTCTATTCCTGATAAGGATGTTTTTGTCATTCTTACTCAAGGTTAGTACAAAATATTAATACTAATTATATCATCGAATTTAGAACATAGTTTTTCGAAAAAGAAAGTCACCAAGCTCTTAGAAATGCTTAAAGATGACAATAATTTGATATGCTATCAAATGTGGAGACTTATTNGAAAAGAGTGTTGGTGCTAACCCAGAAAAGTTGAAAGGTTTGGTTTTTTCTCTGAGAGAATACAAATTGGACTGATTTCTCCTCTTTACTCTACCACAGGATTTCATATTCTAACAAACGATGAATAAACAACTGATTTTTAAGCTTTTTGATGGGCATTTTACAATTAATCTTATAGGCAAATCATAAAATCACAGCATTTATCTCACTTTATTAAGCAAAAATTCCAAAATTTCAAAATTGTGAATTTTCTTCTAGTTGTAAAAAATTGAGTCGTCTTTGCTTATTTACGCTTGTAAACATCAACTCTCTTATTGTGTTTTCTATTCTTTCTATTCTTTCTGTGTTTTCTACCATGTTTTCTATTCTTTCTATGCTTCTTTCCATAAGTGTCGATTCTTCTCTTCTTATTGAATCTTCTCTTCTTTCCATAGACGTCAATCTTCTTTCTGATAATTCTCTTCTTACCATGTCTCTTCAAACCTCTTCTCTTTCTTCCGTAGGTATCCAAATATTTGTGAACTTTCTTATTGTTTCTTCTCTTCTTGTGGGAAACCTTCTTGAGTCTTCTTTGTTTGTTGTTCTTCTTGGCAATGTACAAGGACATGGTTTGTTCCTCTGCATTAACGTCAGAAGTCATGGAAAGAGCAAGAACTGCCAAAGTTAAGGCAATCAATAGAATTGAAATGAATCTTTTCATTTTGTTTTTTTTTGTTGAGTGAGTTTGAAACAATGTTTAGTTTGAATTTATTGGTTTCGAATAGTGAATAGTAATTTAGTTCTTGTATTTATAAGGAGAGAAATCAGACGAGTTTGTTTACTTGTTTGGATTCTGTTGGATATTTAGATAGGTATTTATATGGATTTTGTTCAGAGTTTCGAATAAAAACAGAACATTCGCATAGAACTTCTCAACTCTGGACAATCCACCTTGTAATTTTCAAGATTGTTTCCAATGACCATTAAGAAGAATCCTCTTAATAACAATTTAAGAAAATAATAAGGCTGTTACCCACAAGTATTCTTTTTGTGGTTTTACAAAAGTTGTAAAGTTCAAGTTCCAGATTGAGGCTAAAAATATTCCAAAAAAAAAAAGTTCCAACTGCCAAACCGCACATAACAATCATGTCCTCATCATCACTTAGATTACACTGCTTTAGAAACGGAGACTGGGAAAGAAGAGATGGTTTCATTCTCCTCATTGAAAAATCATTAAATAATTCATTGATGGAAAATTTGAAGAATAGAGCAAGTAGGATATTGTTTCCCTTCTTGTTTGAGAATGTAAATAACGAGTCTGAATGTTTATCTGTTGAATACTTGCCGAAAATTAGAATATTTTCAAAATATGGATCCGAAATTAAGAAAGAGGAAGAATTGAGAGATGATGATGTCTTGTTCCTTTCATGTTTTAATGAGGATTTTATAAATTCTATTGCCAAGATGAATTATCAAATCAAACAGCTAAGTGGATTGGAAAGCAATTTGAAGAGACAAACTACTCCTTGTTGTGGGGAAACTCAAACTGGAATGATTACTTCTTGTTTGGGATTCTCTGTTACAATTAATAGTTTATCAACAAAGAAGGAAGTTACATTGGATAATTTGAATGGTAGTTTGACCATTGATGAGATTAAGAGGATGTTATTAAATAGTGGCACCAACAAGGAACGATTATTGGGAAAGAGTGATTATCCACTCAAATTCACTGAAGATTTCATTCTAGTTCACAAAGGGAAGGAACTTAAAGATAATGATGAAGTTGAGAAGCTCTTCTCTCAAAATCCTAATCCAACCAAACTAACTGTGTTCATGGTGTTGAAGAAACCTGTGTATTATGTAAAGATTGTCATGGAAGGAGGAAGAATGGTAATTATTGACAATGATTCCATTAATTTCACATCTCATGTTTCTGATTTAAAATATTATATGGAAAAACGTTTGAGAATGAATCTCAATGCCAGCAATAAGGAATTGATATTAATGTGGAATCAAGAAAAGATGATGGGCTCTGAATGTTTAGGAAATGCCTTCCCTTCAAAGTCAACTCTAAGCTTGACATTTATTTAAACAACATTCTCATATTTACTTTCTAATAATGTGTATCGTACACTCCCTACAAATGCTGTATCAGAAAATCTTCTACCTTCCTGTAACTCCTTTCCAGCAAAAATAAATCGAAATTTATCCCATGATTCTCCCAATTTACTTTCCAATAATTGTTTCATTTCCTTAATAAAATAATAATAGCCATATTGATATGTGTAAACAGCTGTAGAGTTATCGTGGTTCCAAACTTGTGTGAAAGGAGATGCTTAAAAATAAGTCAAGTCCATCAACAAGATCAATTTTGAAATTTCCTTCTCCAGTTCTCTTTTCAATATTCTGGGCTTGATTTGATTAATGTGTATTCTTATAGAATTCAACTTGGTAATTTTACTCAAATCTAAATCCTTAATTCTCTTGCACTTTACAACTGAAATACTCTCCAAACATTTCAAATTTTCACAAATTTTCTATTCACTCTGTTTCAAAAAGTACCATCCATCGAGATTTAACTTTCTCACATTAGAAAATCAACTTGACAAATCGACCTGATAATTACCAAAGTACAAGCATAATTTAGAGAGAATGATCGTTCTCTGATTTGATGTGTGACACCAACCTTCTAATAATATTTTTTAAAATAATTGGTTGGATTCAACATCTTGCATTGTAATTTCTTCTGATTTCAATTTTCCACATTTTCTGACCCATTCATTTACCTTTTCAATATTCAAAAATCCATAAATAATGGAACAGCAGGTATGAAAGTTCCCCAGTCTAAATGATGGTTAATGATTCAGCCTATTCAGGTGACATTCCGTTTCCGCAAGCATCCACACATGGGACCAGAAAAACAAGTAATCAAATTATCTCCAAGATAACAAAGTAAAAATTTACGATAATTTTCACTCTTGTTGATTCGGCCTTGGTTTAATTGTCATTTCTCAATTCATTTGATGCGTATTCCAGTGCCTCACCCTCTTGTTTGACAGCTTCCAGAACAATTTCATGATCATTTCTCAATTCATTCGATGCATATTGAAGTGTTGAACCATCTTGTTTGACAGCTTCCAAAACAACTTCCCTATCATTCTTCAATTCATCAGATGCAAAGGTAAGCAAACAGCCGAGATTTCTAACTACTTCCTTGATGACTTGTTTGTCATTCTTGAATTCATCGGCTACACTCTCGAAATTGTGAGGGAATTTTTTGAAGTAATCCACTACGAAGGATCTATCGTGCATGAATTCGATTGGAAGAAATCTATCGTCCACTCTATCACGATTATTCATCCATTTGATCAAATCTTTTTGATAATTGTGGAACTTGTTTTGTAGATTTGAATAACATGTTCCAATTCCGAAATCTATTAACTCAATTATGACAGAACAAGTTTTGCAGTCATCATTGTGTTGTTGTTGGGACATTTTTTCGGATCTTAATTCCAAGTTTCGGCAGGATTACAAAACGAATGAGACCAATGGCCCAGTTCAATAACAGGTTTGACAATTACATCCACCTTTTCTTGAATCCACCAGACAAGGGAATAATAAGTTAAATATTTAAAGTTGGTGCAATTCGAGATGCATTTCTCTACATCAAAAAATCCAACAGATCTGAAACACTACTCTCCAGCAACCATTTGATAATTCTCCAATCACTCAGGACTCATCTAAAGGAAGTTAATACCGATCAGGTTCCTTTAAATTTTCAAAGTTCAAACTAAACAATTCGAAACTTCACATAAAAAAAATGCCTCATCACAATCCAAATAAATACATTAAATTCAACTCTCTAGCAGCCTGCATTCAGGACGACTATTATCCCATTGACGAAAGGGATGCCTATGAAGGATATGAGGACATTGATAGATTTCAGGTTTTTAAAAGAATAATTCCTTTCGCCTTGATTCTCTATTCAGAGGAGGAAAAGAAATTTATATTCCAGACAAATTTGAAAGATGTGTGTCCACAGAATACATCTCCAAAGTATTTACTTGTTCAACTTCAAGATTATTGCGATTTTAAACTTGCATTGATCAAGTTAGGTCAATTGGGGTTTTTTATGGATCGATCAAAGTTTATTATTTTGAAATATGTTTCTGAGAGAAGTGAAATACGTAAGAAATTTTATTCTTACCGCTCTTCTTTGCTATCTATTCAGGAATATTCCAATTCTGGCATTGAGTTATATATTTCTGATTGTGAGAAAATTTCAAAAGTGAAAATTGACTTGTGTCAAGAAGATATTCTGAAAACAGAGATCAAATATAGCTATTGGAAAGGATCATCCTTAATTCCTTAGCCATTTCTCATTTGACCACTCTGTTTCATTTTCATCTCAAATTATTAGAAATGGCCAAAGAGAGAATATTTATTTAGATTTTGATATCTCTCTGTTTCATTACGAAAATGCTACTCAACATATTGAATTTATGTGTGAACACCATTTTGAAACCAAATATAGTTTACTAGTCAATCAGGAAAACAATGAAATATTTATAATGAGCTTTCTTCATAATTTAGAATTTCACAAAATGGAATTTCACCA